CATTAATGTATTGTGAAATGACTAACGATTAAACATCGACCCGAGCTATAAGGGTTTCTGATATGAAAAATAAGAGTAGGTTTTACCCGTTCTGGCAATAAAACAGGTGTTAAGATGTTCAAACACCAAATAGATACATTTTGCGAGGAATCAACTAACTGCATTAACCACACATGCTTGTGGTGAACATGCAAACGTGTGCTTGATGCAGACTTTATTCCTTGCAAAAGGTAACTATTTGGTGTTTTAACATCTTAACACCTCCTGTTTTATTGCCGGAAAGGGTAACACTTATTCTTATTTTTCGATTTAAAGCTTTCGTGTGTTGTGGCCGAAACGTCGTGAGAATATTATTGTTATTTTATTTCATTAATTTATTATTTTATTCTCATTCTACGTGACTTTACCGATAGAACCAAAGAAGACTAATTCTCATTTTTCATACTTTGATACTGGCAAAAAAGTCCCATAATAGGGTTCTGATACTTGCATTGCCTTTGTGCTGTTCGCCTTTTGGCGTTCTCTGGTCTTAACACCGGTGAGACAAGGACATTAAGAACAAGGCTGTCTCTGCTATAGGCCAATCAGTTTTAAAGACTGCTTATATCATCAGAGCATGATGGTTTGTATGTTTTGCCACAAGTATTTGTGATTAATGCAGACTTAATGCCTTGCAAAAGGTATCTATTTGTTGTTTCAACATCTTAACACCCGTTTTATTACCATAAATGGTAAAAACCTAATGTTATTTTTAAAACATCATTCTCAATGACCAACTCACGTGGAAAGGCTCGGAAGCTCAGCAGGCTTAAGCCTGATTTGGGTTTTGACGGGTTGACCAGCAAGCGGGCCAGGTTTTCATCGGCGGCTGTAGGGTTATGTATGCCATGTTGTAGTAGGCAGCAGAGGGCAGTGTTGCAAAACCCATTGTTGTACAGTACTGTACTGTGCTACTATGCTCCCTCGTCTTTGCTCCCCCGCCCTCACCAATCCGCACTGGCCATCGTGGGGAGGCCTTCATCCAGCAGTGGATAGATGATGACTGGTGACGAGTGCCTTCGTATTTCTCAACTCACTCCCTTCACCATAAACCACAGCACAGCATACAATCTTTATAGTTTTAGGACTGAATAATTCACAGCTTTTGTAAATCCACAGCTGAATGAACTCTTTCCCCCACGCCGTGTCGGTCTCGACGGTTGTTCGATCATTACTTCACCACGATGGTCATTGTGGGCTGGTGGAGGAGGGCGGTGGACAGTAAACTGTCCAGATAACAATGTTCGCCACTGATGTTAGCCGTGGCCGGGGATCAAAGTCGGCAAAGTTCATAGTGCAGTGCGACAACTACTGCGCCACTACTCCCACACTCTAATTGCATTAATACGAATAAAAACGTGCGTCAGCAGTTCTCCTGCTGTGTTTGTCTCATCTGATTACTGTTGCTTTGTGTTGCGATGGAAACGTCGTGATCTATCTACGTGACTTTACCGAAAGAACCAAAGAGTCATACGAATGGGATTATCTAACAGCAATGTTACAATATCTAACAGTGGTTATCTATGAGTGGTAGTCGTACAGAAATATGTAACCTCTTATAATACCTTACACCAGTTGGAGGGACACCACTCGGAAACACAACAGTGCCTATGTACCTTGGACAGCGACTGAAGGAGGAACGGGGATGAAATGCTGACAATGTCGAGGCAACTTTTGGAAAGATGACCTTGATAATGAAAACTAACAACGCAATGTGCCCAGAGGAGATTAAAATCGGTGCGTATTGCCTTGCTGCTACATGGATTATTGAACGTGCCTGTACGCTGGCGCTGAAGATGATTCCAAAACTGAATGGTGAGCAAGAGAGAATGATGGACAGACGCGTGACTGAGACAGGAAGAGGAACACACGCGTTAGACAACATACGATATCTGATAGAGGCCGACCAAAACTAAATTTCTGGTTTCGGCCGAAACCGAAAGTAAACCGAAAGTAAAAAATTGACTTTCGGCCAAACCCGAAACTATGCTGAAAGAGGCCATTTGACAACTTTCTGCGCCGAACCCGAATTTCGGTCGGCCTCTAATCTCTGAATACTGCCTTGCCATGTATCCCAACACTGCGTAACAAATTCCAGTCCAGTATGTGTACTACACTCTCAAGTCCATTTCCATGAGCCACATACAATACATATTCCACAGTAGTGTACACAAATACGCTTTGAATTTCAGGTAAATAGTGTACACTCTCGGAAGTTCAGACAATGCAAGGTTAGTAATACTCACCGGTCTGGGAGCGAACTTAATATACAGCACCTTCACTGGTTTCCACGTGGCCGGACATTCGGCGGTGTGATTCTTGTGTTTCAACGCAATGACTGTGTGACTGATGCTTCTTGCACAAGATTAAAGCATTCCAGCCAGCGCATCCCCACGTGATTGTGGACGTAACCGTTAAATGTAAACACGTTTTTATAGCCGGTGATGAATCACAATGGTCCCAGAGATGTCAAACATTCTCAGGGGTTGACCATAATGTTCCTTGCCCCAAATTCCCAAGTTATTGATTACAGCAGCACTTGCAGTTATTTGTTTATTAAAGAAAACCCAACATTGTCTTTCGCTACAGGTTCCCAGTTTTTCCGTGTCGAAGATAAAATATTTTGGCTTTCATCTTGATAAAGGTGTAATCATAAAAAATATATTTTTTTAAATCAACTAAAAAATATTGTAGTAGTTCTCTTTTATCGTATTGGAGTATAGTGATCGTATGACCGTTCCAGCACAGCATTGTTTTTACACAATTACGCTATAGTATACTGGACTGGATTCCAATTGTGCATAATGGGTTCATGTAATGAGATGATGGAATTTCCATTCTGAACTCCAAAAAAGCAGTGCAACATCGCCCAATGTTAGAGTACGGCTTCTTCATGTTAGCGCAGAAATCATTCTAAGGTCCTTTCAATTACGTATCTACACGAGGTGATGGTGTAGAGTAGTCGGGTTTTCGCCTGGACCCGGAGAGTCCAGTCATTGGCATGTGTTCGGGTGGCACCTTTATTGTGTTGAACTTTATTCAAGTACTGTACTAGCCTTTTGCCCGTCCAAGGAGGTGGGTGTATTGCAGTAAATCTGAAACTTGCAAGCGAAAAGCAGACCGCGACGTGATATATTCATTGCATCCATTCCTGCGCAATTTGTAAGGGCACGGTGACACAGACCTATTTCATTTTAGGGTTATACTCCCTTGTTCATCATGACGTCCTTATTCTTGGGTCTTTCGATAAAGTCACGTAGATAGGTACAAAGCAAATAATAATTAAAAAAAAACAGAAAACGACGTTTCGATAGCAACGCAAGCGGTCGTCTTCTCCATGACGATGGTACTTTGCAAACCTACTTGCTATCAACAAAGATTCGTTCATGAAGCCATCCATATATACGGACACAGACACAATTTCAACCGAGAGGATGGTTATAAACTCAGCAATCAATGGAAAGATGTCCTCAACCACTTTGGGTCATGACTTGACTTGTGTTTTCTTGACAATCAACCTCCACCGTCAGCAGTGTGGTGTGTGGAGCGGGGTGCAGTGATTACCTGGCAGCCCTGTGATTGGTGTAGAGCCACTTCCGGTGTCGTTTTCTCCTGCATTAACATAAGCTGCCCCGCCCATGCTGCTGACACACTTGGGCTACGCCCATCTCCAAACCTTTATAAACAGTTTGCCTTTAGAGGCTAGCCCCCCTTTTCCTGATGACGACCGCTTGTGTTGCGACCGAAACGTTGTGGCTTTGTTTTTTTTTCAGGCTAGTCTACATTATAGACTGCCACTACACTCACCGAGGTTAAGAACCAGGCTACAGTCTACATTATAGACTGCCACTGCACTCACCGAGGTTAAGAACCAGGCTACAGTCTACATTATAGACTGCCACTACACTCACCGAGGTTAAGAACCAGGCTACAGTCTACATTATAGACTGCCAGTACGCTCATCCAGGTTAAGAACCAGGCTACAGTCTACATTATAGACTGCCACTACACTCAGCGAGGTTAATAACCAGGCTACAGTCTACATTATAGACTGCCAGTGCACTCACTGAGCTTAATAACCAGACTACAGTCTACATTATAGACTGCCAGTGCACTCACTCAGCTTAATAACCAGGCTACAGTCTACATTATAGACTGTCAGTGCACTCACTCAGCTTAATAACCAGACTACAGTCTACATTATAGACTGCCACTACACTCACCGAGGTTAAGAACCAGGCTACAGTCTACATTATAGACTGCCACTACACTCACCGAGGTTAAGAACCAGGCTACAGTCTACATTATAGACTGACAGTACACTCACTCCAATTAAGAAGCAGGCTACAGTATATTATATATATTTTGTTTTTATTCACTTTATTTTTTTATTTTTCTATCTACGTGACTATCGAAAGAACCAAAGAATATGAATTCCTGCAGTCACGAAAGTTAAGTTAAAATCTGTTCATGATTATTCATGAGGGGGGCTGGTCGACGTGGAGTGACGTCACGTGCGGGACACAGACATTCTTGGCTCATTATAGTAGTAAATAGTACACTGCACAGTAGTATTGATAGACCTAAGCTGACTGAGATATATATCAGGGTTTGGTCTGTGGAAAAAGTGATGACCCCGTGTACCTTCTCATATGCCCTTATTTACATGTGTTCACTTCATGGCAATGCACGAAAATATAACATCTTCAGAGCCTGAAAATATACAGAATTAAGTCCACAAATGCCATTTTTTGTCATTGGTGACTGGGCTGAGGACATTAACTCACTACACCAGAGAATGACGCTTAATCACAGAATGAATTCCACTTATGTAAACTGTTGGTGTTCTAAAAGTGCAATATCAATATACGATCATGTATGTGTAAATGTATTTATACACTTTACAACACCGCATCATACTTAACTCCATTGGGTGATTTAATTCAGGCACGTATTAATTTAATTCAACAATAGCATCTTTATTCAATCAAAACAATAAATTAGAACAGAGATAAAATTACTTGTAATACTGCAAAAAGGGACAGACTGTAAAATATAACCAAGATGGCACTAACACGTTTCATCAGCATAATTTAAAACAGAAACATAAATAAATTACAGTGCGCTTAAGCTCACTACATCTCACAATCAAATCTGTGTAAATCACTATTGCTATGAAAGCACTTGGGACCATAGGAATGTACTATTTGCATATTTAGAAAGCAAATTGTTATTACGGCCGCTGAATAGACATACAAAACGGGCCATTCGTTTGCTTATACTGTATTTCACCAGTTATTGACAATAATTCAGGTTGTGTCTAGATTTAAATACATTTACAGTATTGCTTAATGATCTAACCTTCGACATTTTTCTCTACATTTCACAATGTGAGCTGTTTTTAGAATGAAAATAGTTTCTATAATCGTTACTCCCAGGCAGTATATATTGTAAGGCCCTCAATTTTGACAACCCTAGGCAGATAAGTGGAACTTTATTTCTTCATTCACCGCAAGGTGGGTTTGGTCATTGATCTTAAACAAATATTTAATGAATCATCACTCAGGGGCTCAACCAGATACGAAACCACCAATAACTAATCTGGACAATGCTGCATTTCAATTTACACTGAAAACTCGCTTTGGTCTCTTCCCTGTGATACATTTTGCAAAACAATATGCATTCTTTGAGGCCACGGTCAAACATTCAGATAAAAGACGCCCCCTGCTGAAAATATGTCATTCATGATTGCGGCTGCCACGTTAATTTACTTCATGAGCCGAAGACGATGCGGCGAGTCGTTGTCATATGTTTAGCGACCGATTCAAGTATTAATTTTTCTACAGCCTGCCGCTTTAGGTGATGTTGGTCTTTTGCTCTTGAGTACCATTAGTATACGACTATCTGCAATGCTTGTCCGGGATAACGCCACCGTTCGCCAAGGTATCCTGGGCACAGGGTGTGCAGACGGCTGATAGAACAACTGCAGCCTACCCACCTGGTCAGAAAGTACACTCGGAGCAAAGCAGAACCCCTTTGGAAATAACCAAAATGAACGCCGACCAGGCGCACTGAGTTCTGAGATTAGAACGAGCGATTCCGATGACTGGAGTTTCGTACCGTAACCCTGCTGTAAGTTTTACACAGCATTCCTTGTGCAATCCTACATTGTCGGTTCCCTACCTTCCTTGGTAAAATTCAAGTTAAGTCTACACATCTTGCATGAATCCGATTAGTGAAAATGAAAAACCGAGCCATAATGAAGGCAGGAGGAATGAAGTCTAATAAATGCAGGCTTACATTCATGCAGTGTTGGGATGGGTGTTTGGATAGGTGTGAGAGTGGGCGTGGCAATGGGTAGTGAAATGTGTGTTGGAATGGGTGCTGAAATGCAGATCGGGGGGGGTACTGGGAGAAGGGCGAGTATTTGAATGGGTATTTGGTGCTCCGTTGGGACGGGCGTCAGAATGAGCGGAGGGCACCGTATTGGGCTGGACATAGGTGTCATCTCCCCCCTCCTTCTGGGCGATGACGCACCAGTTTGCATGATCATAGTAGGTGCACACAACTCGCAGCCCCGCTACATGCCGCTCAATCATCTGAGCCAGCTCTCCCTCACGAAACACATGGTAGTAGCGCAGCCAACGGGGTTCTTCCGGTGTTTCTCCTCCCTCTGCCCCGCCGCCATCACCTTCCCCATCACAATCGCCATCAGCATCATCATTACCAAAGTCTTCCTTGGTGCCATTTCTCAAATGCTCCCTGTTCTCGGTTACGTCCGGGCTCTCTGGACGGTCCCATTCACAGCTTCTGGCAGTACCGTTAAATAACTCACAGTCATTCCGCACATGGCTGCCGCTGTCACCCTCTTTTAAAGACAACCGGAGGGCGGCAGAATGACTTTCTAAGGGCTTCTTGGTGACCTGTGTCATCCCCCGTCCCGCAAGCGCGCAACTCCGACCCGGCGCTTCTACAAGATCTGGAAGGCAGACCTTGGAGCGCGACGTACTGGCAAGGACCTCCACGAAGCGAGAGGCCTCCTCGTGTGATCCCAATGCTCTCCGTGCAGGTAAGAAGCCCGTACGATCGCCAACACTCACGTCCATTCCGCGCAGGCGTAAAAAGACATCGTCCTCTTCGTCTGAGCTCTCCGTCATTCGCATCTGTTCAAAGGCAGGATCTTGGTCTAGATCATCCAGTCCCTCTTTGCTAGAATTGTGGGTGCTCGGCAGATGGCTTGGCTGGAAGAACCCACAATTGTTGTGCTCAAGACTTCGGTGCCTTGTGGGCTCTGCGCTCGGGCGGCTAGCTGACCCAGATGACCCTGGATGATGATTAGCACTCCTGGACAGCGGCTCATCCAGCGACCGGGAAAAGAAGAGAGATGCGAAAGTCTTCTCCAGCGCTGTGTAGAGGCGGCTTGAGCTGGACCTATCATCGATGCAACACGAATCACTTCTGATTCCCATGCGGAGGTCTCGACCACTGGAGCGCTTCACACCCAGGTCTCCGACAGAAGAAGAGCTACTTCCACGGCTACCACAGCACGAGCTCCTGCACTGGTTGCCGTGGTCGGGGCTGCCATTCACAAGAGATACATGTTTGGTCGGTTCCCTGCTCTGGTGAGGCGTAGGTGAGGAACCGCCCCAGGTAAAATCACTGTTCGAAGAGGCAATTTTGTTGCAGATGTACCTCCTCATATCAACACCTCCGTTTTCACAGTAGCTAGACTCCTCTGCATCACGTCGCCCAACATCATTTTCCGAGAACCTCCTTGCAGATTTGTAAAATTTGACGTTGGACAAATCCTCACTCGACCGACGGCAACCGTCACCGTCTCCCATTGCGTGTCCTGCCAAGAGCCGTGGAGACGATGCCGTCAGGGAGCTTTGCCTTGGGGGCGGCCGCTTGACGTGCGCGTCGCCGGTGGAAACGCCACGCGGAGCGGACGGGTGCCAGGGGATAAAGATGTCCTGCTTGTTGAAGCGCCGCCGAGTCTGCTCCATGGCCCACACGTAGACCATGATGCGTCCACCGGGGCGGAGGGTGCGTGACATCTCGCGCAGGGCACGAACACGCCGTGACTTCGTACAGAAGTGGTGCAGCACTGGCAGCAGCAACATCACCGACAACAATAATAAGAGCGTAATTTGTTCATTCGTCTATTCAGCTATACAATGAGATTAATAAATGACATGTTGAATGCATCATCCAGGAAAGAATTCAAAAAAACGTTTATTAAAAAAAATAAGTTAGGTCCTACATTTGTGTCCTATTTGTTACCAAATATCTGAAGTACTCCTCATCGTTAAAAAGTCCACTTTCAGTAAAGACCACAGTTTTATCTTGAACCCCTTACACTCTGATGTCACACTGGCAAAGACCGTGGAACACCATGAAGTTGTAATTAATCCCTTGCTCTGTTCTCTTGCAACATATCTAAACTCTGCAGGACCTCATACCTCCATCCACACAACGACCATATCCACCAATTCCTTACCCAAGCTACCAATGAGACCCTGGTCCATGCCTTCATCACATCCCGACTCAACTAATGCAACTCTCTCCCCTATGGCCTCCCCAAATCCCTCATCTCCAAACTTCAGAGGACCCAAAATACCACTGCCAAACTTCTCACCCACACCTATGAACAAAACCACATTTACTTCAATACTCCAATCCTTCTACTGGCTCCAAATCCAATTGAAGATACATTTTAAGATTGTACTCTCACCCTCTTCAAGATTATCCATAGACTCATCCCTGCCTACGTCTCCCCTCTCATTTCATTTTACTCCTCTCCACACACTCTACTTCAGCAATCAAGAACTGTAAACATTCACCAAGTGCGTATTCGCTAATTCTCTTGCACTGTCCCTGTAATCTGGAACTCTATTCTCCAAGAATTCCACGCTGTTGACTGATCTGCCCCTATTCCAGTCCAGGCTCTGCTTATGACTCTTTCTCTCCATGTATGAATTTTGAACTTCTTTTGCACCGTACATAGCCAACCGTGCTAATCGGATCTTGAGACTCACTGCATTAAAATGCTATATAAATATATATTGTATCCCATAATTGTATTTTGTATTTGGGAGGAACTGAAATTCCATTCCTAAGAGGGTACAGCGATGGAACTCTGTACAATAAATGTTTGAAACAGCGTTCTGTATTGCCCTCTACTGTGCACCTCCTTGTCGATCTATATAAAGAAAGACCTTAATCCGTATGTCTAAAAAACCTCGGGCACTTCCCGACAAAGTGGAAAGCTGAAATTTGATACGTATGTAGCTTTTAGGACACAAACAACAGTAAAATCCGAGATTTTTCATTTTAAGACCTCCAAATTTCGATTTTAAGTGCCCCTTAAACACGTTTGTGCGTGTCGTTCAGAACACGTTCAAAATTAAAGTGAGAACCATTGTTCTATATTTTATTGTTTTGGAGATATTTCGGATTAAAGCGATTTTTAACGAAAAAATATGCATTTTATGATAATTCTAAAATGGTAAAAGATAGGAGTTTCCCCTCAGAGTATTACGTTAATAAATGTTTGTTCTTTCTAATAAAAAAGAAATCTTTAAATTGAGTGGTTTCCGATGATGGGTACATCACTAACATCCTTTGTTTAAATTTTGATTTAAAGCTTTCGTGACTGCAGGGATTCATATTATTGGTTCTTTCGGTAAAGTCACGTAGAAGGGAAACAATAAAATAAAAAATATATAAAACAATAAAAATTCTCACGACGTTTTGACTGCACCACAAGCAATATCCTTTTATCATTTTATTGTTTCCCATCTACATGACTTTACCGAAAGAACCAAGAATTTGAATCAAGTTGTCAATTTGCGTTTTTTTTTCCCCAAAAATATATATTTTTTAAGTAGTTGTTAGTGTCTGATCGTAGACAAAAACTGTTAAAAATCATACCAGGTTAATTATTGCCTGGCAAATACAGGCTTTGTGAACTAGTGATCAAATAAGCACAGATTACCAACCGTGCCTCAAAAGGCAATGGATTATAGTTACGCGCCAAGTCCAGCACTCTCCACGACACCAGTACACCCAGCAGCACAACTTCTATGGCACAGCGATGACAGCCATTCTTTGATAATGAAACCAAGTGATGTTGAACCTGGTCTGAGGTTGAAGAGATTCATCATCAAACACTCCGAGAAAATGTACATCTGGAAGAAGCCCAAAGGTTAATTAAATGTCATTTTGCTTCAGCTAGTCATTTTAACAACCAATTAAAATTAACGATAGGAAATTATGCAAGAATTTAACAAAACATACTGCAAATATGAGCTATACGAGTTAAACAAAAGTCGCAAACATCAAGTTCCCCGAGCAAAAGAAAATTCATGTTTGAAGTCCAAATCTGAAAAAGACAACCGAGTATATATAGACAGGGAACATATTGAAGATGGCCTGGGATCATTGATTACATAAATAGGTAAGAGAGTGCAGGTTAGGGTGTTTTTGGAAATTTGAATTTGAAAAGAAAAAGAAACATACCAATGTGTCTAAAGAAGAAAGCTTGCAATCAGGGCCTAGCTAGTGCCTGTTATGACATGGATTGGAAAACGTGATTCTGACATAAAACGTGGAACACAAAATAAAATGTACACGAAGAAACATGGAGAGATGCATGTAAAAAATATTACAGAGAAAGAGGAGCAAACGGATTAGATTTTAAAAAAAACATCAGAGATTCCGTATTTACTGTGAATGAAAGTTGGCTTCGGCATGACACATCGCTCTAAGGGATGGTGGCTCATGAATTAGACTGATGAAGGAACAGCATGCTAAAATAGGGAACATATGCGTGAAGATGACCATGACATAGATGGGCGCAATAAGATCAGCAGCAAAATGGATTGAGGAATCCCAAAACTGAGAGATGGTGATGGTTTTGGGAGGCCTTTACCCAGGAGTGGATTTGTAATAAGAGAGCGCCATCTCCTGTATCATTGTGGGGGGTACATTACCTTATACAGTCCATGGTTTATCGATAGTAGGCATTACATCTAGGGCAGTGGTTCTTAACCTTGTTGGAGGTACCGAACCCCACCAGTTTCATATGCGCATTCACCGAACCCCTCTTTAGTGAAAAATAAAATGTGATTTTTTTCAAATTCAAGACATAGATATGTTTTTTACTGGTACACAAAATGAGCCGTGCATGAACATTACCTTGTTCAAAGAATAAAACCAACACAATGCATAAACTCACAACAAATTACATACCTGGAAATCAATGTGACTTCTGCTGTTGCCTTTGAGAGATCAGTTCAGATATGCGTGGCTTCACCTTGGCAAGTGCCACTCTCATGTCATTTTCACAGCAAAGTCTGTTCCTTTTCTTCGTTTTTATGTCCAGCATCCTCGAAAAGGATTGCTCACAAAGATATGTTGTAACAAATGGTATAAAAAAATCCAGGGCTTTCTTAGCAATAACTGGATACTTGTTCATTTGTCGACACCAAAACGTTGAGAGCGTTGTTGTTCTGAAGAGTTGCTGTTGAACCTGGCTCTGCTGAATTTCAATGATTTCGTCGAGGAATTCATCATTGACATCTGCTGTTTCAACAGCAAACGTGAACGGCTGTCTCACCCATGCTGGATATGACTCTCTTGTAGGGAAATATCCGTCGAGAGACTTTGCAAGCTCATCTAAGTGCGTGGCAATTGTTTGCTTCAGTTCCGTGGATACAGAAATATCTCCAATTCCAGACACATCTTCGATCTTACTTGCACAGTCGTCCAGAAGCGGGAAGTTTGCGAAGTTATTGTTCTCTGTTCGTCGTTTCCATAACGGTAGCTTTTTTTGAAAAGCCTTCAGGTGTTCTTCCGCTTCCATGATATTGACTCCACCACCCTGCATCTGCTGATTGAGATGATTGAGAGCTGCGAATATATCAGCCATGTACGCTAAAATGAGAATGAACTCAGGATTTTTGAAGCAATCTGCATGGCAGTGTTGGTGCTCTTGCAAAAACAGGGCTAATTCCACACGCATGGCAAAAACACGATTCAGCACCTGTCCCCGGGATAACCACCGAATATTAGAATGGAGCAGAAGTACCTCAAATTCAGAGCCCATTTCTTTACACAGCTCACTGAAGATGTGGTGCCTCAGAGCACTTTTTCGCACATAGTTCACACATTCCACCACAGTTTTTAATACTTCTGCCATTTTTGGAGGTAAGGTTTTTGTTGCCAACGCATGCCTGTGCAGAATACAATGCGTCACAATGATGTGTGGTGCATCGGCCTTTACTAGCGCACCAAAACCAGACTTTCTTCCCAGCATGACTGGAGCTCCGTCCGTACAAACTGCAGAAACCATATCCCATGAAAGATTGTTGTCTCTGAAGAAGTCATCCACAAGCTTCTTCACATCGGCTGCCTTCGTTGTTGTTGTAAGAGGCTTACAAAATAAAAACTCTTCTTTTATCATGTCGTCTTTCACATAGCATACAAAAACAGCAAGCTGGCTTAGATCAGAAACGTCTGTGGTTTCGTCGAGTTGAAGGCTGAATTTTGCCGGGCTTGAAATCAGATCCGCGACTACTTGAGCCAAGATGTCTTTACTCATGTCTTCTATTCTGTCACTGACGGTGTCATTTGAAAGGGGAATTTGGGATAATTTACCTTCGGCCGCTGTTCCGAGTATCAGATTCGCCATCTTTAATGCAGCTGGTTTCACAAGTGTTTCACCAATGATGTGTGGCTTGCCCTGCTTTGCGATCAGGTAAGCAACTTCGTACGATGCTGTCAGGATCGGTTTGTTAACAGGTACAAATCCAAGAGCAGGCAGAGTGGCCCTTTCATCGAATCTGGCTCTCTTCACCCTGAATTCAGCAAGTGTTGTGTTCTTGTATTCCCCGTCTCCATGCAGCTTCAAGAAGTGTTCCTTTAGTTTTGCCGGTGCAAGACTAGAGTTGCTCAACTTGGCGTTGCAAATCATGCAGATAGGACGCTCACTCCCATCACGTTCCATGATACATGAGAATCCATGTTGTACATATTCGTCCGACCACTTTCTTCTTTTGCCCGACATAGTTAGTATGGATAAAATATTAAAGAAATCACACGACGTACGACAACAACAGTCACACGTTGACTACTGAGTACGCACTAAATTCCCCGCAGCGCTGATTGGCCAAGCAGTGTAGCATGATCATCTGCAGCCAGTGATGGCCAAGCGGGCCGTGTGTGTCATCACAAATTTACACAATAATTCAAGTGTGTCCGGACCTCCGTGGCGGGGGCTCTGCCGAACCCCTGAGATCGACTCACCGAACCCCTGGGGTTCGATCGAACCCAGGTTAAGAACCACTGATCTAGGGTAAAGATGATGGGGCAGATCCACCAGGGAAGCCTCTGGAACGTTCCCGAAGGTTCCAGGAGGGGCGTGGCCAGAGGCGGGGCTTAGCCTCCGGGGAGCGAATATAAGCCGGGGGCACAGCAACGTTAGGGGTTGGTGTCTGAAGATCTAGAGGAGCTCCCCTTCGCTGCTGACCCGCCATCTCCACCTGCCACGTGGTGGCTCGACCTCCAGCCGCTCAGCCGCTCCCTAGCGCGCCGTCAGCCAGCGGCGTGTTGGTGAGCGGGGTGAGCGCCACGTGGCGTGGGGCAGCGCAGCCACGAGAGCGGGTCGACATCCGTGGAGAGAGAGAGACGTGGCTGTACCGAAGATTTATTAATAAACAACTTGAAGTAATTTACCATGTCGGAGCCACTCATTACAGATTGAACATGGCCACTGATGATGATGACGAAGGTTGAGTGATTTACTATTCAGAAGTCAACACCGGCGAGCAGACCAGGAAGGGAAAGACAACCTGCGATCGAGATGACGGCGTCAGCACAGCCGTTTCGTAGTGGCAGACGCAGGTTGTCCGACACCATGACCTCGTGACCTTTGGCACGGGACGCCTGGACCAGTGGCAGGCAGTAGTCGCAGCCCAGTGTGAACGCCTGCCCGTTCAGTGCCAGGTACTTGCCATTGCCGCAGCCTGGGGAAGGGGAGAGTGCGAATTACTACGCGCACCTGCACGTGTGTGTGTGTCTGTGTGTGCGTGCGTGCACGTTTGTGCATTGTATGCGTGTATGAGTAGTAAGTGCCAAGGTCACAGCGTCCCCGTGTTCAAAACAAGTACCATGTGGGAGTTGAGCCAGCAATAGAAAATCACGTTCCTCTTCCGAATACATTTACGTACAAATTTAATATAAGCTGTATTGGTGGATTGTGAGGAATACAAAACAACTTAGAAGGAGCCGGGCAGGGCATCGAACTAGGACATCAGATGACAGATGTGCAAAATGAACAATGCCATTGAAGCCAATGGATGGAGGAACAGTTAAGTAAGAACATTTGACATTGCACACTCTTATGAGTCCAGTCCATATTTCTACATATTTCCAAATTGTTATAAAAGACAAAATATATAACACGCCAGCTATAATAGTCAACTTTCCTCAATGTGTGAACGTGCTGGGCTGGGTGGCTCAGAGGTCAGAACACTGAGCTGGTAGACACGAAAATCTCAAAGTCAATGTTCAACTCTTTTCCCTCTCTCTTTTCTGAACGATGGCCACTTAATATAAACGCCCAACTTGATCTATTTGTGATGAACATGATGAACGCTTGAGAAAGAGAATGAAACGATTCGGTGTTGATTACCAGAATCGACTTTTCCCCCACCGACACGACTTTGCCTTTTGTTTTGCGACGACAACAATTTCCCATTCTCCCCGCATATGCTATCACAATCAACAAGTCGCAGGGACAGACGTTCGATTACGTTGACAAGCGCACTACTTTATCTATCTTTCTATGATGAAAATGATGAACGCTTGAGAGAGAGAAGAGCGAGGAGAGGCCAAGGAGAGGCGGCCCCGCTCTTCTCTCTCTATTTGCCTTCAATATGTTCCTTAAAGATTTTTTCACTTCCAGTAACAAATTATGGATGAGGACGAAGATCCCGTCGCAAAAAAGCGTGGAAAGGCAAACAAACGAAAGCAAAGATGGTTGGCCAAGAAAAGTCAGGAGTCGCTCGAGAGAATTCGTGCAGCACATTGTGAATCTCAACAACATTACATCAATCGACAAACTGCTGAGCAATCGCAGTCGCGCCGTGAAGCAGATGCCGCAGCCCATTGACTTCGAATCGCGGCAGAAACTCCTGAACAATCGCAGTTGTGGCGTGCAGCGGTCGTTCAGAGTCAGCCCTTCCAGAGCGTCAGAGACAAGCGATCCGCAATGAAGCCATCAATTTCGACGGCACTCGAGTAGAGGCGCACAATTGCAATTTTTGCGGCTCAAGTTGCCAAAGCCAAAGAACATCAACGGAGTTGAGCTGGAATATCCTGAGTTTCTCTGCGCATTGCTGACTGACCCAACTCATCCGAATCACGCTCACTTCCGCGATCACATACGATCCTACAACAGCGCGGTCTCCTTCGCGTCGATGGGAGCGAAGATCGTCGATTTGCCAGGACGAGGCCCATATGTCTTCAAGGTCCACGGCCAGACATATCACTGCACATCTCACCTGCAGCCACTTGACAATCAAGCACCGCAGTACGCACAGCTGTACGTGCTTGACAGCACGCAAGCAACGGAGATCCATCAAGAGCACACCGCAAATGCTCAGTATCGTCAACCTATCCTGGACGAAATTGATCGCTTTTTACGCCGGCACAACAGATTCGCCAACAGCTACCAGTTGATTCGCAAAATCGAAGCACGAGAAGTTGACCGTGCACTTCAAGCTGGAGAAGAAATTCCTTTGGTCAGCATGGTGCTGAGACGCGATTGTCAGTCGGATCAACGACGATACACTGCACCAACATCAAACGAAGTCGCGATGGTCTTCGTCAACGACGATGGCGAGCCGCCGTTCGAGCGTGACATTCGCATCTACCCGAGGAATCCACAGAATCCCAATCAGCTCTTCATCAACCTCAATATTTTTAGTCGCAACATGGATCCCATGACGTACTCGAATTCTGTATCCGTACGGCGAGCCCGGATGGCAACCGAACTGGCAGTGCAAGGCTTATGAGTGAGCTCAACCGAATAGAGTTGGGAAAAACGTCAGCATGCTTCAGTGTAAAGCAGCTCAAACAGCGACTGGAGGCAACTTCAATCCAGTCATGCGTTCCGGAAAGCTGACTCAACAATGGTTGGTGGATTCGTACCTGCAAGTCGAGGCCAACAATCTCAACTACAACCGCCAAAATAAGCAGCGACTGCGAGCAGAGCAGTACCAAGGTCTCGCAGACCACGTCGCAAACTTAGCCCAAAACGCAAACATTGCAGCTGGCGTCGCAGTCATCCTCCCTTCGAGCTTCGAGGGATCGCCGAGAAACATGCACGAGCGATGCTGCGATGCAATGTCGATCTTTGCGAGATGGGGTGCACGCGACCTCTTCGTAAATCCGAGCTGGCCAGAAATCACCGACAACCTTCGACCAGGTGAGCAGCCATCAGCTCGACCCGACTTGGTGGCGCGTGTATTCAAAATCAAGTTGGACGCCCTGATCGACGATCTGATCAAACACGGTGTGTTTGGAGAATCGAAGGCGCACATCTACACCATCGAGTTCCAGAAGCGAGGCCTTCCGCCCGCCGACATCTTGGTGACGCTGCAAGCTCAGGACAAGTTCACAACCGACGAACGGATCGATCAGTTTGTGTGCGCCAAAATTCCAACGCGGGACCATCCACGACTGCGCGAGATTGTCACGAGATGCGTGATGCACGGTCCGTGCGGCGCTGCAAACCTACGCGCCCCCTGCATGAACGACGGAAAGCGCAGCAAGGAGTTCCCAAAAGTTTTCAACAACACCACAATCCCGAATGTGAGCGGCTACCCACTCTACCATCGTCGATACGCTGAGCAGGCAGAAGTCAGAGGCGTTTCCATGGACATTCGATACGTCATGCCATACAACCCCTACTTGACGCTCAAGTACAATGCGCACATCAACGTGGAAGTGTGCACTTCCCTTCAAGCCGTCAAGCCAACATTGCTCTCACTTCGAACGGGCAGCCGGAACTGCGCTACGATGAAATCACCAATTTCATCGATTGCCGGTATGTGAGCACTCCAGAGGCGATGTGGCAGCTCCACGAGTCGAAGATGTGCGATATCGCTCGCACACGGTGATGAGCCTGCCAGTCCATCTGCCCAACCAACAGATGATGGTGTTTGAAGCCGGACACGAGGAGGAAGCTCTGCTAGCAGCACAAAGCTGGAATCGTGGTTCTTGCTGAACGGAAGCGATCAAGACGCACGTCAGTGGCTCTACACGGACATTCCGCAGCACTACGTCTACGTTCGAGGCAACTGGCAGAAGCAGCAGAGAGGAGCCGACAAGATTGTGTCCCGCATGTACCCGATCAGCATCGAAGACGAAGAACCTTTCTATCTTCGAATGCTGCTGTTACATGTTCGAGGTGCGACCAGCTTTGAGCCGCTGCGGACCGTCGACGGAATGGTGTGCGAGAGCTTCAAGGCAGCAGCTTCAGCGCGAGGTCTTCTTGATTCGGACGACGAGTGGGATCGCTGCTTAACGGATGCCGGCACTTACATGAAGCCGAAGCAGTTGCGCGAGATGTTTGCTTTCATCTGCTGCTTCTCTCTGCCCGCATCACATCTTAAGCTGTGGGAGGACCACAAATTGGACTTAACTCTCGACTACATGCGAAGAGATGCCGACAACACCGCCATCAACAAAGCACTTCATGACATCAACAGCGTTCTGCAGCAGCACGGATTCTCTTGCAAAGCAATTGGCTTGCCAACACCAAAGGGAAACCTACCGGAAGAAGATGTGTATGACCAAGTTGAGGAAGCAAACGAGGGCGCACGACGTCTCGCGATGCTCAATGAGAAGCAACTCGACACGTTCAACAAGATCATCATGGCTGTCGATGACGAGAATGTGACGAATCGATGCTTCTATGTTAACGGTCCCGGAGGTTCGGGCAAGACCTTCCTCTACACAACTCTCATGGCGTACATCCGGGGATCGAGGACAAATTGTACTGCCATTTGCAACGACAGGCATCGCCGGAACAACGCTCAAAGGAGGACGTACTGTTCACAGCGGATTAAAGCTTCCATTTCCCTTGCTCGACACTTAAGTCTCTTCAATGCGGCCTGCATCGCCACAAGGTGAAGTTCTGCGCGAAGCTTCGCTCATCATCGACGAAATTACGATGCTGCCGAAGAACGGACTTCGCTGCATCGACAAGCTCATGCTTATGACAAACATGCGCAGCAAGGGACAAAATGAGCACAACGAATGGCTGCTTAAAGTTGTAACAGGCAGCTTGCCCCCAGTGCCGGGAATCTTCGAAGAGAGCACAATTCAAATCCCAGAGAAGATGGTGGCAACGGAGGATCTCATCGAATCCATCTTCGGCAGCATTGGAGATATGTCTATAGACGACCTTTCGAAGCGAGTCATTGTCGTACCGACCAATGCACAGACACTTGAAATGAACCGCAAGATCATCGGACAGTTGCCTGGCGAGCCCGCCATCTACTACAGCGCCAATTCAGTCGTGAGCGAAGATCCCAGCAACACAATACATTTTACAGTCGAGTTTCTCAATGACCAGATGCCATCGGGAATGCCACCACACGTCCTGCTGCTGAAGAAGGGCGTCATCATCATGCTTCTGCGGAATCTAGACCCAAAGAAAGGACTTTGCAACGGCACGCGACTGATTGTCGAGGAGCTCGCGAGAAATTTCATCAAGGCACGGATCATCTCCGAGTGTAACCGAGGCGATTCGGTGTTGATTCCCAGAATCGACTTGGCCCCCATTGACACGATTTTCCCATTATCCCCGCATATACGCTATCACAATCAACAAGTCGCAGGGACAGACGTTCGATAACATTGGAATCGATCTGCAGACGGCGGTCTTCTCGTACAGCCAGCTCTATGTCGCCTTATCTCGATCCCGCAATCCCAACCAGGTGAAAGTCCGCATCGAACCGAACCCCCAGCAAGGCCATCTATTTAACGACGAGAAAAAATTTCACATGAAATGTCGTTTTCAATGAAGTCTTCGAGATGTAAAATGATATAAGCTTTCAATGAAGAAATTCAATTATCTAATTCAAAACATAATAAAATTCAAAGATGTTTCATTTCAAAACTTAAAAACGGAGCATCGGGTGCTTGCGTGAATGCGTCGTTCGTGTGCAAATGTTGTGACTTTCCTGGCCGAAGGCCGTAAATGGTTTTGAGGAGCGCCACAGGCGCCCCCAAACAACCTAGTCATGAAATAATAGCTTCTTTTATATCGGTCTATTACAAGAGTATTTACAAAAAACTGTGTTTTATTTGACATTTGTCACGACTAACAATGCAACAGCAAAATCTTGTATGGAATATTTTGTTGTTGTGCTGTGTGCTTGTTAGGCATTTAATGATTCACCCCCCCCCCCACCCCGTAGAGATTCTATGAATCGCACTAATTGGGGTCATGAATCAATACAAAATCCAATTATTTTTGTCTCATTTTAGCCTTTCTTTTTTTTGCCTGGATTGTACAGTTTTGTTTGTCCATGACTCAAATGTAACATAAAACAATAGTTTGCAAATAATCTGCATGGATAATAAATAACTGATTCTTACATGCATTGTCTATTGTGAATTTAAGAATAGATTTTAACAATAAGATATGTATATTATTATATTCTTAGTTCTTGTCATGTTGTGTGTGCCTATTTCATTGTGAATGTGATCGTACCAAAAATTTGTAAATAAAATCCGAATTAGATTTGTGGCATTAAATGTGATTGTATCCCATGACACAGAAAATAAAACAGTTGGCATATTAATTTTATAGAAATACAGTTAAATCATAGGGAAAAAAGGAAGATAGAAAGGTCTCAAGGCCTAGACTTAAACAGGGGCAGGGAGTCAACAGCATGGACGGCTGTGGGGAGTTCCAGACAATGGGGGCAGCAGACGACAATGAACAATCTCCCACGTAGTGGAGGTTGACTGGGGGGCTTCGACAGAAAGCTTCGAAGCACTTGGCCTTGGTTGCAGCAGAGAGCGCGCGTCTAAACAGAAAGCCTTCGTTGTTGGATGCGTGATTGCGAGCGCTAAATGTATCTACACTGCGCCGCATCACATCGTAATGTACCGCAACGTATCGTGGCGCGAGCGCTCACCGACGTCGACGATGACGCTCCCGGGCGGCTGTCCCTGCAGGAAGTGGCGCACGCGCGGCCAAGCTCCGTAGCGCGCGTCGTCAAACGACGGCGCGATCTGCGCGTAGATGGCGTGCACGTGGGCACGCTCCAGGCGCCCAGCCTCCGCCAACTCCATGGTGGCACTCTCCTCCCGTCAACCGCCCTCGAAGCAACACCAACACAAACTAAGCAAGTTAGCAAAATCTACGCGTCCGCGTGGATTACTTAACGCTTTCTAACATTCAAAATTTTTTAACTTGCAATATCGATGCCGACAGGTGGCTTTCAAGGTAAAAATCATTTGCATATTTGCAAGTAGTTATATTTCCTCTGGTTTGTGTATATAGGTTTTGGGAAACCCTTTGAACGATTTGGCCGGTTTTCCATAAGGGCAAATAACCTTAATAATACACATGTTTGTTCACATTTAATAATCTCAGAGATAATTATGGACGGATGGACACAGAAAATTCAGAAACGCTTTCAACCTTCGTTGGAAAATGTTTAAAGCAGTTTGACTATATGCATGCAGGATGCAATGCAGAACATAGTGGTGCATGTCTGTACACTAGCTTTTTTGTATTAGTTCTTAGTGGACCATCAGTTTTGTCGATCTGAAAAAGTTGCTGGTCTGTGAGCTAGACAGGAGATGGCCATATAGCAGGTAGGTTCGTGAACCCAAATATACCGACGTTTGAATGTTATCCCCTCGTATGTGTGTGTTTTCTCCGTGTACTTCAGGCAATCGTGTCTTACAACAGAAAGTCAAATGACGAAATGCAAATCTTTGCTGAAAAAAAAATGTCTTGATACTTAGTGAGAATTCCTGGAAAAATAAATATTATCACTATTTATAATCAGGTTAGCACTAACTGGGATATGTTATTTTAAGAATGGTGACCAGGGATAATAATAAATATTAAATAAACCAGACAGCAGATTTAAACTTGCATCCATGAATTCATAATAAATAAGGCCTCAGTTGTGAAATCGTTGGCATGTATTTTACAAAACACGCCGATGCATTTTCTGAATACATTTGAAAATTTGAATAATAGAATCAGCCTGGCATGCCGCTTAGCCTACAGTGTGATGCTATCAATAATACCCCCCAAGCCTAACCCAACCCATGAATATGAATCAAGTGGCTGGGCGAGCCTATACTCATGCCGAACAAAATCCTGTAACGCAACTCCACTGATGACATGCTTTGTCCCAAAGCTCGTCTCCATAGTGTAACAAAGGAGGGCCAATCAATTCCACCTTCCAAACAGGGGGATGGGATTCCTGATGAGATTAGTTAACACTCACACTGTAGAAATCCCACTCGCTGAGTCGCAGCAGTCACTGCGAAGATGGCCAGGTGAACTGTGTTTTGTATCAAGGCTATATCTCGTTTCCAAATGTTTAAAAATACAAGGGTGGCTGGTCGTATTATTTGGTCTTTAAAAACTGGTGTGGGGAAGTGTTAAAATATGTTAGGAATAAAGGTTTAAAATTCAGAGCACGTGCACACAAGATGCTCCAAATCCATGGGGACAGTAAAAAATACGTGGTCTATGTGCAGTCTCAATGCTCGCAATTAATATTATAGACTATATAGTGGATAAAATGCACTGAATAGAATCCATTCATATTCTTTGGGTCTTTCGGTAAAGCCACGTAGATAGAAAAATTATAAAATTATCGCGACGTTTCGATCGCAACACAAGCAATCGTCATCATGTGAAAAAATATAGCGAGAGAGCTGCTGAAACACGAAGTTATATAGGCTTGAGATGGGCTCAGCCCAAGGGTAAGTGGGCGGGGCTAGAGGTGGTTCGTTTACATTCACATGCTAATCTCTCACAATACAATGGCCACCTCCACAGCTGCGCCGTCGTCGTGGAGGTACATCACCGATCTTACACTGACATGCAAATTCCACCTCTAGCCCCGTCCACTTACCCTTGGGCTGAGCCCATCTCAAGCCTATGTAACTTCGGTTTCAGCAGCTCTCCCGCTGTATTTTCTCCTGCCTCGGCAGCTCTCTCGCTATATTTTTTCACCTGATGACGATTGCTTGTGTTCCGATCGAAACGTCGTGATAATTTTATTATTTTTCTATCTACGTGGCTTTACCGAAAGACCCAAAGAATATGAATTCCTGCAGTCACGAAAGCTTTAATTCAAGATAAAATCCATTCACTTCCTTTTGGGATTCTCCATGAATATACCTGTTGCCTGCTGTCTGTGCTACAAATCACAAACGACTTCTCATACCTCATTCGAACCTTGCTAAACACAGAGATCCACGCAAAGACATTTTCACAAAGGTTACAAAAATTACTTAGTTTGTACGTAATCCTGATATCTTAAGTACACTATGATGAAACATTGCAACATCACAATATAAATGTTCGTCTGTTTGTAAATCTATTTTATCCCTGTATGCTCTCCCCACACTTCTACCATCATTACGAGCACCAATGACATACCAGCAATTAAATGTGCATGACTGTTGCACAAAAAATCTACACCCATCTAACGCTTTCAGCATTGTCCTCCAATTAAAATCCCTCCCAGTTGTGCATGCATCATTATCACGTAGGAAAAAGTCCACTGGGTTATCTCAGTATCCAGTTTTTTTAATTATAAGCCACTGTTTTTTTCACCAAATTATATTCAAGGCTTTTCTCCAGCACTTTTGTTTCTTCCGACATTTTAAACAAAATCATGCAAAGCGCAGCCTTGGTGATGCTCTCCTGGGTAAACATGTCAACATTTAAATTTGTACATGCTTAGTACTGCATATTTGATTTAAAGATGATTTACAGGGGCTTTACTGCTGCGCAAGAAGTGTGCACTGATAATTAACCTTATGGCCAGACCCCGGGGTCCCGAATAAACGGAAGTAAAAATCGTAATTAATTTATTTATTTTGGGCGACTCCGTCCCACCGCGCACATAAACGCCGCGACCCACCAGAAATCAGTCCTCTCCTCGTTCTTCACCAAGCACCCGTCGTTGCCAAAATTGCCGTAGTCATAAACAAAACTTTGATTAGCACATCATGTAGAGCTCGTCGAGAGGAATAGATTGCCTTATGGTTCGCCGTCAGCACACATAAAATGACGTCGCAACATAGTTTATGCAAGACCCGGGGGCTTAAGGGACCCCGGAGTCCCGCCATAAGGTTCATATGATGAAAAACGAATCAGACAGAAAAGTGGTACAGGCTGGAGATTTTTTTACATGCATTAGTGTTTGCTTGTTGATGTTGTATGCAATCAGAATGCAAAACACTGAAATATTTGCGTATATATTGTAGCCTTACAGTTCACGCCATGGTCATCGACCAATCAGAAGCTGGCATCCATAAAAAATGTAGGATATACAGGAGAGTACCAAGGCCCAGGTGGTGCAGTCAGCAACGCAAAACCATTGTAGCCTTCCTGCAACAAAAGCAGCAAAAAGACGACACTAACAACGTTCACAATTCATCGTCCTGACCATGCAGCGATGCCTTAAGCTAACCATGATTTTCAATGTCAGACAAATGACAGTCCGTAATGTCCGCTCGCAAGCCCAAGCTCCTACAATGCAGGGGACAATCCTTAACACAGCGCTGTGGAGGTGGGGGTTGGTGGATCATGCAAAGAGTTACTTTATTGTGTGCTGTGAAACTCCCAATCTGCTGGGCCTCAAGATGGTTAAGGGACGGTGGTAGTACAGCAAAATTATTGGGGTTTTTTTAGCGTTTTCTACTCTTATAATTTGGTTTGCTCAGGAAACTCTGTGGTTTCCGCCTATTTGAAATTTAGAGAGGAGTTGGCCAATTATCCAACAAAGAACCCAGACGAAAAATTAGTATTAATACTCTATAAGGCTTTCCAGCGTAAATACCTAATTTAGTAACACTATGTAATAATAACAGCATGCCAATATTGAGGAATTGTTGTGATTGTCAGGTTTTATTAAACAATGTCATGTCATGTGAACAAGCCTGCATTAATTAAACAGGACAGAGCATCAACAGCAAGCAAAAAAAATAATCCATATCTTAGCTATGGCCACCGAGGCCCGATCAATGCATGCCGAGCACATTAAATTCACACAATGACCTTGCCGCCTCCAATCAGGCTACACATACAGTACAGCGAGCACCGCGTAAGGTGATATTTTGTGGTTCTCTAGAACAGCTCAAACAATCAAATTGTGCAATCCACACACCCAGTAATCTAACAAGAGCAACTTTGCGCTGTTGTGACTCAGTGATGAACCAATATATTTTATAACACTTACACCAACATAACTAGTTTAGCTCTATTCCTTTAAATAAAGCAGACGAAGACTTTCACATTGTCACTGTTTTTCAAGAACGACCCATGAATGTTATCTTTAGACGCAATTATGTTCCAAAAAATGTTAAGTGACCAAAGGTAAATGCATGACGCACCTTCCACAGCACTGATTTAAAAAATCTGATTTAAAAAATCAGTGCTGAGCAGTAAATCTCACCGCTTGGCATTTTACCCTGCAGACGTTTGCATGAATAAACCTTGTACATTAATTCAAGGGTTTGCGACAACCAGACTCCCTCGAGAGGCATCGGAGGACGGCAGCAGCAGCTGCAGTTGCCTCGTCCGCTGCGCACTTCTTGTCGTGTGGCTTAATTGCGAGCAGATGTCTGTTCATTCACGTTATGTCCTTTTCCCAGCCTTGTGTAACACGTCCACACACAGTCGTAACATCTTAATTATTACAGCACCCATGGATCTGGCGGTGTAGCTCTTACCTGTGCACGGCTTCAATGGTCCACGCCGGCCAAGGGACACTCGTTCTGCTGCTGTGACCTGAGGGGACACACAGAATGCTGACCTTCAGTCCTCAATGAACAATCGGGTGCCTCTGTATGCGTGCAGCTCTGGGTGTGCGAGGAGGAGCTCTGCTTGCGTTGTATCAGACCCCCCTCCCAACCATTCTCCCCACGTGCCCCTCCTCCTCAAAGAGAATCCTCTCCGCCCCCAAGGCCCACACCCCACCCTACTCTTCCCCATCCTCCTCCACCGCTCCCTGCATGTCTCCCTGGCAGGCAGCTGCACCTCCATGCTCATGACAGTGCAGACGCATGCGCGAGTGTCTCATACTGTGAGTGTGTGCTGTGCATTCTCACATGGTAGTGAAGTGAAATTATCACGTGAAAATGAAAACATGAATCTAGGCAGTGCAGTCAGTCAACCTTTATTTCAACCAAGTAACCACCCATTTTAGAATTCAAGGTCTGTTACTCAAACGAGACCTGGCTCTCCAAAAGGTAAATACCAGTACGAGAAAGTAAATTGTATGACAAGAAAATCAAGTGTAACTGTATTACTGTATAAATAAAAGGAAATGAAAGCTTGATGTGTGAAAGAAAATAACACGAATTACATAACATGAAAAACGAGGTACAACATCAAGGGCAAATTCCTATCACGGATTTTTGGTAATTAATCCAGTTTATCTCATTGAAGACCAAGAGGGGACCCCGGATGTACACTACAAGAGAGACACCAAATGATTACACGTTCGCGAGGCGTCGGGAACGAAGAAACAGTCTCCCAATCTCCAGTTAATTCTTAATGGCACACAACAAGGAACCATGCGCTACATCTAAGACTGCCGGGGGGTTTGTATCCAGGATGAGAAACCCAAATATAAATAGCAGATCCGTGCGGAACGCTTTCAAGACGAACGAAGGCTATGGTAAGTCGAATCCCCATGAATAGTGGAAGGCAGCAACATTTAAAATAGCAATGACAATGACAAATATCTGCGGCTCTTGTTAAAAAAAAGCACAGTGGGAGTTTCACATTCCTGTGGCGGGGGGGGGGGGCATGAGAGAGAACAGTTACTACTATTGGCCTCCCATGAAGTGGTGCACTCTGACAAATTGATTAAGACCAAGCTTTAACCTGTCAATTAATTTAACTTAAAAAATATATATTTATAAAATGAGTCAGCTGAGCAACTGCAGCAATGCCCGTTCCATGATACTCGGTGTAACGTGTCGTATTAGCGGGAGGGACGGCAGCTTAGCTATCCCGAGCAGCAATGATGATCTCCCACAGCTTCCACCGGTTGTTTTTAAGCTGCGGGCCGGGGTGAGTGTTCCTAAGCATGCAAGTTGAAGAGCATAAAGTACACATCCGGCTTACCCACACAGTCTGTGCCAGGCGAGGGGGAGGGAAGAGAGGTCTCGGGTATTTGGTTAAAAAAATCCAATCCTTCGGAGACATCAGCTCACAAACTCAACGACGCAACCCGGTCTGTCACCGTATGGGGCAGGCTGTTGTTGTCAGGGCTAAACACCTGTAACAGCTAACCATGGCATATACGTGACTGTTACATGTGCACCCGAGTACAAATTTCTCTGATGATGATGATTGATAAGTTTGACATTAATGACCGTGATTCAATGATCATAATCGTGATTCAGATGTGTGATGTGACGGACTCGATGATGATGGTCGTGACTTTAACGACAATGATGAGCGCAATAATTAATTAATTGAAAATACGCAATATTGAATCACTGGTCACACTTTAAAGTAATACAAGCCTTGGGTTATTGGGACAAACACTTCACACTTATCGTTGTGCATTTCAAAATCGCCACGTTCTAGTAAAGCACGCAGCACGCAGCAGTCACTGAGAGCATCGAGTTCACTGTTAACGGAAAGAACAAGGACACACGTGTACAGAGCTACATCAATATTTACCTGGGGACGGCAGGTGGGCTCTGGATTCAGACTCCGGGTGCCGAGTTGGAAGATTCTCTTGGGCACAGGGTTCACGGGCACCGCCGCAGCACAAGATGTGCCGGCTCAGTGGAATTACAGATCCTTACGAAAGCATGACGTGATGCTGACGAACATACGGAGAGGTGAAGGCTGTGCCGAGCAATCAAATTCAATATCCAGCACCTGCGCTCACTGCACGCTTTTTGTGTACATTTTTTTTAAATATTTGACTTTGAGCAGTCACCTGTCAAAAGGCTATTGTTCTTCAAATATTAAATTAGAATGACATTAACAAAAAAAATGTGTGTTTCTTCCCATTTATAAAAGAAACACTCAAAATAACAAAGGTTGAACAGACTCTCCTCGGCAAGGCAAGGGTCTCGCGGATAAACGAGGCTTTTTGGCTAACGATTAAAAAAAATCAAATTACGTACAGCGCTAATCCGTTGTTAACCAAGATTGGAAATGCCTGCCAGTACCGCACAAGTTGCGGCGGTGTCATTGAAAGGCGGCGCGACAGAATAACGTGGTCTCTGTCTGCTCGGACTCCCTGACGTGTGTGCCGTGGGGCAGGTGGTGACGAAGAGCTCCGCCCGGCAGGTGGTGCACGCTTTGTCCAGAGCCGGTTCCCATTGGCAGCTCCGCAGTGAGACAATGAGCCCGACCTGTTGCCCTGGCTGCAGGAACAGTGTGGATAGACCGGGTTATTAATATGTCATGTGGTCGGCAAAGCACGCCCGGCACACCCTGCACATGTCTGAACCTTTTTTGGGGGAGAATTTCCAATTTGGATTTTCTTGCTTTCAGTTTTTGAGGATTATATGTCATTAAAATGTCTTTCAATGAATCAACTACATATTAAAATCCATCAATGACTTACTAATGAGTTAAAGAATCAATGTCTAACATTTTTTTAAAAATAGATTCTAGAAACAATACATCATTTTAAATGGTCGTCTCTATTTGCCGTTGGCAGCGATGCAGAATGTCACGAATCATGAGTGACTTCTGCAAACGAGACTCCTTGGAAAAAAAAGTTTTCACAGGGAAGTGCTTTTTAATCGACGCCTAAGAAAGTCAAACGCAAAATCCCCTGCAGGGAACACCACCAAACAACCGCGATCATCGGTGACGTGGTTAACACACACACACGGCTGTACCAGGAACACGCGTGATGCCCTTTCTTTGAGTAGATTCTTCATCTTTAACAATGATAAAATTCCACCCCCAAACTGGTGAAAATTAAAATTGCTGAGTGAGAGTGACACCCCAAGCTTCACCACCCTCGTTCGTTTGAAACGAGTGGTTTTTTTTTCGTTCAGCGGCCGTGCGAAAATTAGCGACGAAATGTCAGGCTCACAAGCCTGAAGCTCTCCTGTTTTATACCGAGACAGGCACTCCCCATGCGGCGCTGTGGGCTGCACAGACTTGTCAAGACAGAGTGCACAATTTATCAACTGTATGTTTAAAAAATAACATGTTCCTAAAGGAAGATTACTGGCGTATATTTCACAATGTAGTTCCCCAGGAATACAGTATTGTAAAACGTGGAAACTAACTTGGCATCTGAATGGTGTTGAATTTGCAAATACTCGGGTAGATATAATGATAACACAATCCTTAATCGAGAATTTAAAAAAATATTTATACATTTCCGAACAAAGTACACGCAATAACGCCACGCATATTTATATTGCAGTGGCATACAATGACTCATAAGCTTGCAAAGCCTTTTATTTCAAAAGTATAAAACTAAGTCTGGCAGCAGCACGATGCTCCCATTATAATTTTCAGATGGTCAAAAAGGTACTGCAGAAGGCCCTTTAATTTATTTTGTAAATTTCCCTCAGTTTTATGCTGATTGTGTTGTCCGTGTCAAGTTATGGGACAAAATTGAACCTTATGGTGGGACCCCGGGGTCCCATAAGCCCCCAGCTCTCGCATCAACTCTGTTGCGACGTCATTTTTATGTCTGTTGAAGGAGAACTATACCTCTCGACGAGAGGTATAAAAGTTTTAAAGTTTTGTTTATGACTACGGCAATTTTGGCAATGACGGGTGCTTGGTGAAGAACGAGAGGATTGATTTGTGGTGGGTCGCGTCGTTTATGTGCGCGATGGGATGGAGTCGCCAAAAAATATATAGGATTTTGACTTCGGTTTATTCGGGACCCCGGTGTCCGGCCATAAGGTTCATAATTAGTTTGCACTTCTTGCAGAGCAGGACAGCCCCTTTAACAGCCCACAGAAGCAGATGCCACAGAGCCACCTCTGTCATCCCTCAAATGACCTCTGGCCGAGAGAGTAGGGGGCAGGAATTCCCCACCTGCTCTTCGACAAATAAATGTTCGTCATATGACAGTCAAACTGAAAATGTTTTATTTTCGGAGCAGTAATTTAGCCATAATTTAATTTAACATTATATTTTTGCGCACACTTTGGTGACCAGGCTCACCACACTAAAGAACCCAGTTTAATTACAGGAGGCTGCCTGGATTCCAACAAATCCAGGATCTCTTAAGATGTGCTAGCTCAGCGCTCTTACCTCTGAGCTAGCCAGTCACTCATAGTAATAATATATCAATATGCACACAGTATAGCTATCAACTTGGCTTCACAACTGGAGGTAGAGAAAGAGTATAGTGTCACCATCGGCGACAGTTGAAGCCACACAGCTATTCTGCACCAACAGATTCACAAAAGTGGTCTGGAATAGGAAAAGAACAATGAAACTCAAGAAACGTGTGTAGCTTTGAATCGTTTAAAGAATTACGTGTGTTATTTATCAAATCTTACGGTTGTTGAGCAAGTACATTTTAAGCCAAGAAAAATACCCAAGGGCAAATCCAGATCAGGCACTTTGCTATGCAATTAACCATAGTCGCTTCCATTCATTTTATTCACCAGGCAGAACACTGTAAACCATATCCTGCAACGGAGCTGCACATTGTTGGGTAATAAAAAATATACCAAAGCTCTTATCTCAATCCTGAACGAGGCTGAACACTAAAAGCATTTCATTATGAAGCTGTTATGTGATTCATACACATTTATATGGCCCAGCAGCTGAAACTAAATCATAATTCAACATGACATGCAATCTAAACCCAGCTAAACCAGAACCCCTCTTTGAAAATCACTTTGTGAACAATAAAGTCCTTCAAGCCCAAGCATTCACAATGTATGTAAGGCAGGCGACCACCGCCACACACCTGGTACCAAGGTTTACCAGTTCACATCCTATGCTAGACAGGCCCAATCATAACGGACGGCACCTGAGTTGTCACAAGTACATTGTTCCTTTAGGAGACAATTTCATACAATTATTAGCAAGCAACAGAGGGTCCGAGAGTGATGGACTGTGGCTGCAATTCAGGGTGACAATCCACCTGAGGTTTTCCAGTCTCTGGCCACACATACTGGTGGTCAAATAGAAGATGTAACGTGACTATAATGACAGTGATTGCTTCACCTTAGTAATGCCCTTTATTTACCAAGGGTAGCCTTACCGAGTCTCGAGACTCTTTTTCAGATGATTCCTGCATTGAGATGTTTGTCCAGTCCTATCGAGTGTTTAGCTTCATGTGAGACCATAACGATAGCTCCCCACAGATAGATTCCAAAATTCAGTTTTTGTACGGCAATCTTCTGGCCACTTCAGAGCACGATTTTACAAGGCCTCATATTCCCAGGCAGACTGCCATGCAAACACTATCCAGACTCACACCTGCTTAGCCTCCAAGATCTGACGAGATCACAAGAACTCAGGGTGATCCAGTAATTGGTTTCCTACACCGGGTGACAGCGTTTAAACCAATGCAGCTTCCAGAAAGTTGTGGTCTGGCAACCGCAGCCCAACTCTCGTACCAACAATTAAATATTAATTGGGCTTTAATTAGGCAGGCTAAATAACAAGACATTTAATAAATAAATAAAATGTTCTACTTTCATTCTTATAAGTTGACTAACTTCGTGGTTTCTAAAATGGCATTATTTTTCTTCAGCGACCACAGGCATCAGTGCACTGCAGCTATCGACTCCTGATATAATCTGTTCATCTATCGGTTATTGCTTCGATTAATCGAACAAAAAAATCATGATACAAGTTCCATATTATTTTGCACAAATAATAAATCATGTCCGTACACAAGGCTCACAATGCATTGTTAAGCACACAAGGCAGGCAGGGATCATCATGACGCCACGCTGGGCTTGAACTCCAGTAATTATTCCAGCATTTGAAGGAAGGGATGCTCAGAGGCAACTATTTTAAAATGTCTGCCAATTAACTGATCACAGAATGTTTTTTTATCGCTTATACCAATGGATTAACCTATTGCTTATGACCAATCACTGTGATGTATGCATTGTAATTTCCATCACAGTATATTTCAGATTGGAGCTATTTCTCATTTACCATGCACTATGTTCTGCATGCATTTACTGTCAACATACAACGTGCACATTTTCATCGTCTTGGGAAGCAGGACAGGATAAACAGCCTAAGGCCACTGAGCAAATCACCAAGAATGTGCCCAGAAGCTAAGCGGGAGTAAGCCTGGTTAGTACTTGAACAGGTGAACATCAGGGCTTGCCAGATGTTGTGTCACTCCCTCACATGTGAGCTTTCTCTGGAGTCTTCCCACATGAAGCCAGTTATTTATAGTTTTGGTCAAACATCCCAATGCAAGACAATCCTTAAAACAGTGTCTTGAAACTCAGTGAATAAAATAAATAATTGGGATGTATCACTTACCAAAGCAAGAAAGTAAATTGTAAAACTGCCAAATGTTTTTGCATCTCAGTTTTCAACTAAAACTAATGTGCGTTGGGGGAGTTTGTCAGCCACAAAGTGGAGCCATGAGCTATCACTCTCTTACACGTTCCTATTATCTGTGCAATGCTACCTAGACAATGACAATGCACTAACAAGGGAGAAAAATATAAAATAGGTGACGTTTCGGGCAATGGCCCTTCTTCATCTCTCTTCCTTTAAACGAGGAGCCTCACCCAAATGCAATGCCAATTGTTTTCTTTTGAGGGCAGCGTGCTTGTGTTGTGTTATTGACGAATGCGTTGAGTGCTTGTTATGTGTGTGTGTATGCACCATTGGCAACGCAGCATCACGATAAACCTGTGCTGTTTACATAGATAATGACTGCCGTGCTAATAGCAGTCCCCCCCCCCCCCCATCATTATCTATGCTTTCAGAGGGCTCCTATTGTGTGCACGCAGCTGCCTGTTAGGGTTGAATGTTGCATTGTCCGAGACCGGCAATGAAATGTCCCCTATTGACCACAAAGGGACCTTATGTTGTCGTGTCCTTACATTTCCCTTTCAAAGGCATGGCTCACATGAAAGCTGCTATATAAAATACGTTGTTTTTTTATTATAAAGTAATTTCTCATCCCCTGCTGGATGAAGTCCTCCATGGCTTGGGGTTGCTTGACCATACCTCCCCAATGTGGCAGGTCACTGCGGGTTAAAGGGTTAGTTTGAGTCCCCGGCGGGCGCAGAACCGGTTCGCATCTCACTCACCACTGACGTTAGCCGTGGCTGGGAACTGAAGCACTGCGCCACCGCAGATGCAATACCAAACACGATGTGGTCTGAATGAACACATTACACAAAGACTGTGTGCTTTATACAGTACATGGTGGCTGGGTGTGCGAGTGGTGGTGTGAACTACAGCCCCGATTCGGGGGACACGTGTTGGCCGTACTTCACGGCCATTCTCACCACGTGCGTACCTGAACTTGGCTCGTCCCACAACTAGGTGGGTTCAGCCTAAAATTCGCGTTACCTTGTGTGGTTGTGAAAATGAGGTACTGCACATTGTATACAGTATACCAAAGTCAATGTAAACACAGCAGATGTGTGCGGTGCTGGCCAAAACCAAACACACATTTAACATAAGGGTTTTTCCTCTTTTTTTCTGGCAACAAAACTGAAACCTTTTTTTTACAAAGAATCACGTCTGCATTAACCTTGATACTTGTGGTCAAAATGCAAACAAAAAAAATTGATAGGTATATGCATAATTATATACAATTGTAAAAAGGTTGCAGTTTTGTTGCCAGAAAAAAAACGGGGAAAAACCCTATTCTTATATGTTGTTACTGGCAAAGAAGGTCTAATGACACATTTAACATCACAGTGATTTACATCGATGAGCATTAATGGGTGCTCGCAAACAATGCGCGTTATGTTTGTTACTCTGGGTCGTGCATTGCCCAAACATCCTCCACCGTAGCAGACACGTGGCTGACCCTACACAGGTATATAAAAGAGAAAGCGTAGTTAATCCTAAAACAATTAAAAGCGGACACGTGTTGACTGACGAAAGTTAAAGAGGTGCACTGACCCGTCAACGCAATTTCGGCGAACGCAATGCAACGTTAACAAATGCATTCTCAATGGGGCTTACATCGTGGCATGCGGGAAACAAAGTCCTCTTCGCTTTCCAACAGACCGATTGTATGAATTAAATTATGTTAACAAAAACACGTTCGGTTATAAACGAACTTTAGAAGTAATATTGATCATCATCAATCATCATCGTCGTCACAACTCGCAGAACCGTACACTGCCAACCTGTGCCCCCACGACTCCTGGATCTTCGGTGCATCGGTTCTGCGATTTTAAAAAAAACGCGATTTAAAAAAACGCGATTTCTCGTTAAATAAATTAATATTACAACCCCGAATCCAATCGGCTCCCGTAGCGGTGACGCTCTCGTATTCAATCCGCCGTGGGGAATTTATATCGCGATAATCGTCTTATCGTGCTTGGAAGCTTTCGTGACTGCAAGTGATCCATTCTCTTTGGTTCTATTCGGTAAAGTCACCGTAGGTTGTTTTATTTTTTTTTACCTACGTGACTTTACCGAATAGAACCAAAGAGTAATCGTCTTATCGTGAACAAATTATATCGTATCGGCAACGCTACCGCAGCGCAGCGACATCGGAGCAACAACAAAATTCGACAAAGTTTTTTATATTCTTAGTTCTTTCGGTAAAGTGACTTTACCGAAAGAACTAAGAATATGAATTACTGCAGTTACGAAAGCTTTAAATCGACAAAGTTTGTCGATGACTCTACCTGAAAAGGAATCATGTACGCTGCAAAAAAATATATATCTATGCTTGTATGCACACTTGAAACCTGTTAACCCCTTTAGTCAGTGCCCTAACCTCTTACGGACCAATTCACACCTTTATATTGGTCACCCTGTGGCCCATTATAAATCTCAACGTTCATCCCACAAAGTCCCGTCACAAGAAAGAAACACAAACAAATAGACACGCGAAAATGTTTTTATTGTACAAGAATACGGGGTTAAACCGTGTGGATTGTCAGTATGTCACTTTCGGGCAATGCCAACATCACGATCCATGGGGCAGATATAACCCGCAGGCGTCCACTTCACATTTCGTCATTCTTTTGTTTCCACTTTCCTCTTGTATTGTGCCAATATGCTCTAGTCATATAGGACGTGAATAAGGGCCGTTTCACGAAACGTCGTCGATCATATTTATGTTCGGCGACGCAGGGTCACCCAAGTATTTGTCAGTAACACTCTCAGCATATCGTTTGACCTTTTTTGCCAGTATCAAAAGTATATATTTTTTTTTAAATAAGAATGTTTACACACCTTGTAGGTCGCGGTCTGAGCTTGGCTGTGTTCACTCCAGCGCTGTCCTCGAGACAGCCTGGTCCCTTCACCTGATGAAGGCCGCTTGTGTTGTGGCCGAAACGTCGTGATTTTTGTTGTTTTATTTTTTACCTACGTGACTTTACCGAATAGAACCAAAGAGTAATGAAACAGGTGTTAAGATGTTCAGACACCAAATAGATTCCTTTCGGAAGGAATCAACTAACTGCATTAACCACACACGGTACTTATAATGGTGAACATGCAAACAAAACATGCTCTGATAACATCAACATTCATACTCTTTAGCTTTTTCAGTAAACTCACGTAGGTGAAAAAAATATAAAAATATAAAATAAATTAGAATGAAAACAAATAAATAAAATCACGACATTTCGGAAGCAATGCAAGCAACCGTCATCAGGTGTTCACTGCTCATCAGGTGTTCACTGCTCATCAGGTGTTCACTACTCATCAGGTGTTCACCGCTCATCGGGTGTTCACTACTCATCAGGTGTTCACCACTCATCGGGTGTTCACTACTCATCAGGTGTTCACTGCTCATCAGGTGTTCACTGCTCATCAGGTGTTCACTACTCATCGGGTGTTCACCACTCATCAGGTGTTCACTGCTCATCAGGTGTTCACTACTCATCGGGTGTTCACTACTCATCAGGTGTTCACTGCTCATCAGGTGTTCACTACTCATCGGGTGTTCACTACTCATCAGGTGTTCACTACTCATCAGGTGTTCACTGTTCATCAGGTGTTCACTACTCATCAGGTGTTCACTGCTCATCGGGTGTTCACTGCTCATCAGGTGTTCACTACTCATCAGGTGTTCACTGCTCATCAGGTGTTCACTGTTCATCAGGTGTTCACTACTCATCAGGTGTTCACTGCTCATCGGGTGTTCACTGCTCATCAGGTGTTCACTACTCATCAGGTGTTCACTGTTCATCAGGTGTTCACCACTCATCAGGTGTTCACTGCTCATCAGGTGTTCACTACTCATCAGGTGTTCACTGTTCATCGGGTGTTCACTACTCATCAGGCGTTCACTACTCATCAGGTGTTCACCGCTCATCAGGTGTTCACTACTCATCGGGTGTTCACTACTCATCGGGTGTTCACTGCTCATCGGGTGTACACTGTTCATCAGGTGTTCACTGCTCATCAGGCGTTCACTGCTCATCGGGTGTTCACTGTTCATCATGTGTTCACTACTCATCGGGTGTTCACTGCTCATCGGGTGTACACTGTTCATCAGGTGTTCACTACTCATCGGGTGTTCACTACTCATCGGGTGTTCACTGCTCATCGGGTGTACACTGTTCATCAGGTGTTCACTACTCATCGGGTGTTCACTACTCATCAGGTGTTCACTACTCATTAGATGTTCACTGTTCATCATGTGTTCACTACTCATCGGGCGTTCACTGCTCATCGGGTGTTCACTGTTCATCAGGTGTTCACTACTCATCGGGTGTTCACTGCTCATCGGGTGTTCACTGCTCATCAGGTCTAGATTTGAAGCTTTCGTGACTGCAAGGATCCATACTCTTTGGTTCTATTCGGTAAAGTCACGTAGGTAAAAAAGGCCGCTTGTGTTGTGGCCGAAACGTCGTGATTTTTGTTGTTTTATTTTTTACCTACGTGACTTTACCGAATAGAACCAAAGAGTATGCTCATCGGGTGTTCACTGCTCATCGGGTGTTCACTGCTCATGACGCCTCGACCAGATGACGCCTTTTGGCGTCCTCTGGTCGAGCACCAATTGGGTCGAGGCTCAAAAGAAAGCCGTCCCTTGGTGTGGACCAATCAGTTTCAAGGACAATGCAACATATACTATCATAGTATGTTTTTTGTTTGCATTTTGACTGCAGGTATTGTGGTTAATGCAGACATGAATCCTTGTAAAAAGGTTTCAGTTTTGTTGCCAGAAAAAAGGGGAAAAACCCTATTATTATATGTTGGTACTGGCAAAAGAGGTCTAATGATTTATAATTCCTTGTTCATCACGACGTCCTTTTTACTTCGATGTCTCAACAGCAGCGTCACGGAGATCACGTGACGTGAGGGTTCTGCCTTTGTAGTGAGGGTTGTCAGTTGACGCCGAGGAGGGGGGAGGAGGCGCCTCGCCCCCCCATGTGGAGTGACGTCAGCCGCTAATTATTATTAATGTTGGGGGGGGTGGCCATTTGGAGGACGTCACCTCTTCATGATTATTAATAGGGGGGGAGTGCTACATGTGGAGTGACGTCACCCGCTCATTATTATTAATAAGGGGGGGTCCATGTGGGTGACGTCATGTGTTCATGATTATTAACGAGGGGGGCTGGCCAACGGTGGAGTGACGTCACGCGCGGGACACACAGACATTCCTGGCTCATAGTAGTAAAACAGGTCCCTGCAGGGTGGGCTGGTAGAAGTTCGCAAATGAGATAATGTGACTTCCAAATGTTGGGTGCAATAAGACATATCAAGTCTCTGCGCTGTCTATTGCTGATTTTACACCCAACAGCACGAGATTTCACTTCGTTAAAGTATTGAAAGGGGACGGACGGACGGACACATTAATCTATTGCAGGCTGGTACACTCAGTTTACAACTTCGTTCCTACCAGTAAAATATAAACATTTGTCTTTTGAAACTGATTAGCCTCCGCCAGAGACAACTCGCACTGTGAAACCCCCTCGCGGATGACGTCCGGGACGTCAACCCGCCGTTTCGCGTGACGTCATTTCTCCGTTTCGCGTTTTGACGTCATTTCGCGTGACGGCGGCCCCTCCGCTTCCAGCGAGCTGAGTCGAGAAGGGCCCCGGCGTCGTCCAACAGCTCCGTGACGACCGCAGCAAGGTGAGCCCCGCGTCGCCTGCCGCGGCTTCCCGGCTCAGACGCGGTGAGGTTGGCCCAGCCGGCGGCGGCGGCGGCTCGGCGGACCCCCGGCACAGGGAGTGCGAGGGATCCGAGAGGAGGTGGGTTGCGGGGGGGAGGTCGCCTAGCGGGAATTTGCCTACGTGGCTCGGGGCGGAGGGCGACCTTAACCGAGCCGCCGTGCCGGGCCCGATCGGACTGGCGGGGGAGTCCACGGGTGTCACGAGCCGTGTGCTTGCTGCGGGCCGTGCGACGCGAGCTGTTGGTTGAAGGAGGAGTTTGTGGAATGAGAAGCGAGGGCTCGAATGGTGAATTGGGCGGGCAGTCCGCCGTAGCGCTGCCGGGGACGTCGCTGCTTGTGATGCGCGCACTGGCCTTAAACTCCCGACGCGTTCGTCAGTAACGCCGCGCGCGTGGCCTTTATAGGGGAAAGCACTATATACAGTAGGCGACGTTTCGGACATTGGCCCTCCACACCACACGATGCGCTATAAAGAATGTGTTGAGTGTGTTATTATTTGTGTTTGTGCACCACCGACGTCTCGGTAGCAGCGCCAAATTAAGTACTGTATTGTATTACACTCGCGAGTAACATATGCAAGGAGCCATTAGTGGCTCGCCTTGTTTTTCTGTATTTAAAACTCACCATTAAACATATTCCTAAATTCTTACATCCCTTTATTGGGAGTAAACCGAGGCGAGTGGCTGCTATCCATTTTAATCCGAGTTTGGTGCCCCTATAGATAGTTCGCGCCATGGGAATGTGGAAGGGTCCAGTTTTGGTGACAGGGCCACAAAAGGAAATGAGGTGACACGGTTTGTTGATTTGTGGCTGAACATCTGGTGATGAGGAACCAGGGTGAGTTGGCGATTACAGCTTACTGTAGTAACATTACAATAACTTTATGAGACCTCCTTTGCCAGTAACAAGATATAGGAATAGGTTTTACCCTTTTAACTGCCACAAAAACTGACACCTTTATTCAAGGCATCATGTTTGCAATAACCACAACACAAGCAGTCAAAATGCAAACAAAAAGAGAACTGATAATAATAATATGCACTTTCCTTGAATTTGATTGGTCCACACCCGAGACAGCTTTTCTTAGAGCCTAGTCTCCATTGGTGTTGGACCAGAAGACGTCAAAAGGCGTACAACTCAAAAACAGCGCACTATCAGAGTATTGAGGGCTCGGGGTGAGCATTTACATTATGAGACCTCCTTTGCCAGTAACAAGATATGAGTTGTACGCCTTTTGGCGTCTTCTGGTCCAACACCAGTGGAGACTAGGCTCTAAGAACAGCCGTCTCGGGTGTGGACCAATCAAATTCAAGGACAGTGCATATTATTATCAGAGTTGTCTTTTTTGTTTGCATTTTGACTGCTTGTGTTGTGGTTATTGCAAACATGATCCCTTGTATAAAGGTGTCAGTTTTTGTGCCAGTTAAAAGGGTAAAACCTATTACAATAACTGATATTGGCTAATTACAATTGTTCGTGTGCTACGATTAAAGAAAAGAGCTATGATTTAATGGCAGCGGATAGCATTTGATTTTAAGTAATATGAATGAAGCGGCTCGTGCCGGAATATAACACGTGTTGATATGCATCGAATGTGTGGTGGAGATGGAGCAGTGGCCGGTGCTTTTCCTCCCCTTCCTCCACCAACCTCCACTTACCAGCGTGAGGTGCACTCAAACGAACCCTCTTGATCAACAAAGTGTTGGGAGACCTTCATCCTGTAGTGGAGTGACACGAGGATTTACACTTACTTAATGTATTACATATTTCTAACAACCAATTTTCTTTCCAAGGCAACAAAAGACAAAGACTAAAAATGTCCAACTTTGGAAAGCCAGAGCACATCGCCACGGACTTCTACAACTCCGAGTACAGCTACGAGGACCAAGGCCAGTCCTTCAACTACGCCCAGGGTGGAAACCAGTATGAGACTGGGTGCGTGACCACAGCTCCACCATGTACTCGTCCTCCCTGCAGCAGCATTTACCCTCATAACCCATTTTCCACTGGCACATTCGAGCTTTGCCAGCGTGGGGCTCTCACAATTAGTAGTTTTTCACTGGATGTTTGCTGAGCTGTGTCAGACCCAAATTGTGAAACTCTGGCCTCACAATACATTGAAATCTGGCTCAGGAACCAAGCAGGACAAGAGGCGGGATTAATCGTTGCATGTGACTTCAGTGGCACAGCTTTGGTTCTGCACTGGAAAACAACCTGGTGCTTCCTGAGCTGCTATGCTGGGCTGGATTGGCATGAACCCGGTGTGGTGCGGTGGTATAGTGGCAGCAGCCTCAAGTGTCCCACTCATGGTGTGGTATACCAGGGGTGTACCACACACCAGGGGTGTACCACACACCAGGGGTGTACCACACACCAGGGGTGTACCACACACCAGGGGTGTACCACACACCAGGGGTGTACCACACACCAGGGGTGTACCACACACCAGGGGTGTACCACACACCAGGGGTGTACCACACACCAGGGGTGTACCACACACCAGGGGTGTACCACACACCAGGGGTGTACCACACACCAGGGGTGTACCACACACCAGGGGTGTACCACACACCAGGGGTGTACCACACACCAGGGGTGTACCACACACCAGGGGTGTACCACACACCAGGGGTGTACCACACACCAGGGGTGTACCACACACCAGGGGTGTACCACACACCAGGGGTGTACCACACACCAGGGGTGTACCACACACCAGGGGTGTACCACACACCAGGGGTGTACCACACGTTTGGTGAGCCACACAGTAGCAAACACCTTAGCGTTATTCAGTTATAATGCAAAACATGACTTCTCACGATTACTGTACTAATGCAATGCCTGAGCCTGCTCTTTGCCACGAACCCGCTGGTGTTGGGTCGCAAGTCGCAATAACAGTAACATCATGAATAATATAATTATGTATATATTCACTTCACTGGACATTGTGGGATAAATCGTTTGTGAAGTGTATTTATATGTGTATGCATATCTGCTATACACTGTGATCATGGAAATTACACAATTAGAAAAAACAAGGTGGCTGAGAAAAAAGATCAATTTTGTTTGTCACGGGACAATTATTGTAATTTGGTTGGGCAGGTGGGGAAGTGCTACCGTGTTGTTTGGGGTTGTTTGACCATACTTCACAATGTTGGCCAGCCAAGGTTGGTGACGCTGTATAATGCAAAATGGAAAAAAATAGAAAAGTGGCGAGATGCAGTGCTCTTGTGTGCGATCTTTCCACCGGTGGGTGCTGTGTGCATTGCAGTGTTCCCCCTGGCGCGTACGGGTACGCGCCCCCAACGGGATACGTTCCCCCATCCCAGCAGGCGTACGCAGGGCAGATCTTCCAGCCGGCACAGCCATACACGGCACCTGCACCCCTACAAAACACATATGGCAGCAGCTTCGACGACGAGCCACCTCTTCTCGAAGGTGAGGCCCTCTTACACAGCTGGGATGTCCCTGGATTGGAAATATAATTCGTCATTAATTCACCCATTATCATTGATACTTATCCTTAAGATACCTGCAAGTCACGTACAAAATAAATAATTTCTTACAATGTATGCCAATTAAAGCAGATTTTTTTTTGGGCTCATGGTGCGAACTAGACAGGACAAATGAGAATAGCTAAAATATGCAAATCATATGGTGTGAATGAGACAATAGTTTTTTAATATGACTCCAAATTCTGACAATTCATTAAAGGATGACAGGGGTGAGTTGTTACATGTGTAGTGTCCTCGGTGTGTGTGTAGCACACACTCAGTTGGAGACAAGGTAGTTGCAGGAGGCACCTTCTCTCTCTTTATTTCCATTACACCAATTCCGACCGTTCTCATTCACACGGATCGCCTCCTCTCTCGACCACGTTGCCGTACAGCCCGGCCTAAACACAACCCTGACAGCGTTGCACGGACGGCGTCGACCGAGACAGCCAACTACTGTCCGACCGTGCAATTATCGGGCAAAGGCGGCAGCGATGACAAAACGAGTCCACTCCCCGAACCGGCAGCCCCGAGTTCTCGCTCTCCACTGGTTTTAGTCTACTCGGCGCGGCCTGGCTCTGGCGTGGCCTGGCTCCGCCCTGGCCACGCCTCCCTCCACCCTGGCCGCGCCTCCCTTCTCAAATCCACTAGAGGGTTCCAGGGGCCTCCCGATGAGGTCTTCCGTGACCCTTACCCCAGTTCCTCAGCCCTGCCGGCACACCCGTGTATATGCTCGACGGCGTGTGGGCCAACTGTTGCCGCTGCTGGACAGCAGTCGGCGCTGTGGCACTACATATGCAAAAGAAGCTGAAGAATCAGGGAGGCAATTCTTGGAGTCAGTTTCAACAATGAACGATTGACGACCATTTTTAAGCAGACATACTTCAGATACATAAATAATATAATTTCCATATCCAGAAAAACCTAAGTGTCAAAATTATTTTTCAGCGGGTGGTCCTGCGATATGAAGTTTTATTACCGTAGTTATACTTTAACACGTGCTTTATTTCATGTAGGAGAAAACTTACAATACTCAGAAAAATGAAGCATATGAGAGGATAACACTCAGAGGTCAAGACAGACAATGGACCCATTTTCTTTACTGCCATTTGCCCACATCACATATTTGGGAGTTTCACAATTCTAGAATTGTTATAGCGTGTGCTTTACCATCATGATAATTCTTTTATTTATAAACAAAATATTTAACGAAGCATAAAATTACGTTCCCAAGCCCTGGAAACGGCCGATGTGTCTAAAAAGAAAGATTAGAGATGTTTTTTTGGAATGTACTTTATTCTGAAGCTGTTATGCACCCGACCACTGGCCAAGTCTGGTAGTCTTCTTCTCCCACCCGATTGTTACACTCAATGTGGGGTCTGCTTTCCTTGCCAACCTTCTCCATGCTGCCTTGTCCTGCGCCATCTCTCTTTCCGTTCCTCGGGCCACCATGTCCGATCGCACCACATGACCCACCTCTTCTTTTGCCAAGTCGGGTAGTCACATATGTTTTTTTTCAGAGGTTTTGTCTGATTGGCTTCTTCCCACTTGACCCCTACACCTGCGACTGTAGAGCTGGGAATAAACTTTGACCACATCTGGCAGAAGACGTTGACAGTACTGAACCCGCTCAAGATCGCCGATGGCAGCATAGTGAACGAGACGGACTTGGCGGGGCCCGTGGTCTTCTGCCTCGCCTTCGGGGCCACATTGCTGCTGGTAAGAACACTCGCCATTCCAGTCATGATGCACATCTGCTCAGATAACCGTCATAATTAGAGACGATTCCTAAGAAGACTACTATTCCAGCAGAGCGCCTTGAAATGCTTAGACGTGGAATTCAAGGTTTTTCTATGATAGTGCCACATTCATATTTCGACATGAAGGCTAAAACACTTTGCCTTGCGATTTTTCCCATTAACAGACATTGGCATGTTTTGTCAAAAATTGCACAAAAAGCAACATTCACCAAAACGGTAATGGGGCCCATAGACCATGTACTGCAATACAAAATGCACCTTCAACCCCACCAAAATGTACAGAATTGAAATAGCTGATCACCAGCATTGTGGTTTATTTTATTTCCTCCTTTTAGTAAACAATTGTAAATCAGGGTTAGCTAATATATTATACTCATTGGGTCTATCGGTAAAGTCACGTAGATAGAAAAATTTTATTTTAGCTTATTCATAGCGCCTCAAACATATCGTAAAAACAAACAAGGACTTGGATTTTTTAGGGTGTCCATTTTCTCGGTTTTTAAGTTCATCTTTCTGTAATGCACTGGAATGAGACAGCTCCCTGACCCACAAGAAAGAAACGTAACATGCAGACAATGAGAATGCTGACATTGTGTAAATGCTTTTTTTGGTTCTGGACCCATGTGTGCGGTGGTGCTGTCACAGGCTGGCAAGGTGCAGTTTGGCTATGTGTACGGTATCAGTGCCATCGGCTGCCTGGCCGTCTTCTCTCTGCTGAACCTCATGAGCATGACGGGGGTGTCATTTGGCTGCGTGGCCAGCGTGCTTGGCTACTGCCTCTTGCCCATGGTGCTGCTCTCAGGCTGCGCCATCCTCTTCTCGCTCAAGTGAGTGGTCTGCTGCATGCCCCCTCAGATACACTTACAACACTAGGCCAGGTCTCCAGTCTGAAATACTGAATACCCAGCATTCAACGTTTGGCCTCCCCTGCGATTTGATGACTTGCAACGATTCAGGGTCATGATTCAAAACTGTCTTCTTTGTTTCCTGTCTAATTTGTTCCGTTGGCTGAAAGTAAACATTTTAATATAAAAAATAATGCATTCGTTCACGCATGTGTCAGGAGCATAATAGATGTTAATTTATGTATTGTTAAATGCCTACTGGATTTTATACCGCCTCATCAACTATAATGTTTTATCCTGAGTGTTATCCCAAAACACATCCTTACTCGAATGCTTCTCACACTCATCCTCGAGACCCCCTTTTGCGCAGCTTTTCTTGATTGCCAAGCATGACGTGCCTGGCAATATGTAGCAGCGCGATTTGCATTTTAATTGAACAGAATGGCAATCACAAAAAACTACACCATTGGGGGTCATGAGGACTGGAGTTTGAAAAGTACTTAATCTAAATATACTCTTTAAGGTGGAAGTATTTCACCTTGAAAAACATTATTTGTCATACAATGAGGTAGTTATAGTTATTTCTTGGACTTTCCTGACAATCAGCTGCTTGTAATAATAGACGTGATTTTTTTTATTTTAGTGGGGTTTTTTTACCCCCTTTTATCTCAATTGTGCCAATGGTGTCATAACATTGCCTATTTGGACCTGTGACAGAAAAGCACTTTGTTTTAAATCAGCCCATGGAAGCATATACCACAAAGCTTCCTCCATTGATGGAGATTGGGGGGGGGGGACACGCGGGGGCAATGCCCCCCCGCCCCCAAAACTAGACGCATTTATTAATTTATTTTCAGTAGTTTACAATTAAGATATAAAAACACAAAATCCATGTGCCCACAATTCCGAATGTGAGGAACAAAGCAAACCCCTGCCCCGCCCCCCCCAAATATACAAGTCAAACTCTGCCTTTTGCTACCTCTGACATCCTTTCAAGTGACCTCTGGTTTATACAGCAGGGAACAGTACTTTCCCAACCAGCCTTACACAGTGAATGGTTATGGCATGACAAAACTAGAATTCAAAATGAGTGCAGAACCAAATTGAATGTGATGGGTTTTTTGCAGTCATTTGCCACTGGCCTGAGTAGAAACTCACTACATTTGAGAACCTGGTTTAATTATAGGTCACTAAAATGTCAAATTAAACAAAGGATTCATATTATTGGTTCTAATAATTCATATTATTGGTTCTTTCGGTAAAGTCACGTAGAAGGGAAACAAAATAATAAAAATATAAAACAATAAAATTCTCACGACGTTTCGACTGCAACACAAGCAATAATCAGGTGTGAAAACCACAGCAAGAAAGTTTGTTTCCCTTCTACGTGACTTTACCGAAAGAACCAAGAATATGAATCCCTGCAGTCACGAAAGCTATAAATCAAAATTTAAACAAAGGATGTTAGTGGTGCCAGCTCAGTGCTCTGATGTCTGAGCCACTTGGCCACCTCTTAAAAATTATCTTGATTCTAAATTGAGCCGATGTCTTGTTCTGTACTTTGTGTCTGGGCTGTGCGCTGTGTGCAGGGGTACGATGGGTGTGGTGTTAGCAGCCGTGATTATTGGCTGGTGTAGCCTATCGGCCTCCAAGCTCTTCATCTCAGCCTTGGCAATGCAGGGCCAACAGCTGCTGGTCGCCTACCCATGTGCCCTACTCTACGGTGTCTTTGCCCTGCTCACCATCTTTTGAGGACCAAAAACAGTCTCGACTCACTCGCTAACTCGATCACCTACTTTCCAGACCGTTTTCCTACTTTGCAAACCACGGTCTTCATTAGAACACTACACAACCTCACAGCTCACCCTCGGTCAAACTCCAGCTAGCTCTCCAAGCAAAACCATACTTCTATTCATGTTCCAAACCAATTAATTCCCTTTAAAATGTATATTTACATACCCTTCTGCTACTCACTTGACAAACTATTCTCTAACCTAGCATTTCACTCTCCAACACACCGTACCGTTCCAAAAAACTACCAAAGTGTATCCGACCTGCCCCCTCAGGCCCATCACCACCCGCTTCACAACATAAATCATGTCTATGTCAAGTCACCGGCCAGAATCGTGTCCTTCACCCAGTGGGAAAGCTGTCCTTGTTGAGTACCTGTGAGCCGTCTCAATGAACTGTGTAAAACCACGCGCACTAATGAACAGTGGTGGCGTCAGGAAAGGCGTCTCCATGCAGCGTACGGTCAAACTACTTTTTTATTTTTAAGAAAAATGTTGCAATTTGTGCATAGTAACAAAAGTGTTATTGCAATTACTACTTTAGTTTTTTCTGTTTTGTTTTAATTTTCTTTCACCTCCCTTAAAGAAGCCACACAGTTGCAATGTTGGGTTTAAGTAAATATATGCACTTTGGTCTTCGAGGACAAACCTTCAGGAGTAAATTAAGACAAATCATCAGCTGAGATGTGACCGCCTCTACCACCTGAACCATCTACCATTTGGCCAGGTCATAGTTTTATTTTTGCAGAACCTCTGATACTGTTAGTCGAAGGGGGTGGGTGGCAATCAGATATGTGGACTTAATAGGCTGACCCGTGTAAGTTAACTTTTTTGTCAGCTTCAGCACCAAAGAGTGCATTTCACGGTTTCAGACATTGATATTAGAAGAAACTGAACCCTTTGCACTGTGGAAAAATGCATTCTAGCTCAGGTTTTTCTGCATTGACATGTCATGTTAAAAGCTCACAGGGGACACATACAGTGCATTGTACCCAGAAAAATGCTGTAGGTTGTGGATTAAAAGCATGTTTTGTAGTTTATTGAGGTGTGTTTTAATTGCACCCTTAAAGAACAAATGTAAGCACATAACCTTTATTTACTACATACGCCACTCCAATATGATTAGTCAGAAGGCTGTTTGCATTAATGGAAGGAGACGAAGTCCCAGGATGAGGCCTGAGTCGACATTTTTTAATATCAGGTGTTTACTTCCTGATGGACACATGGTTAGGGCTGATAACATTCAAGAAATTAGCATACCTGAAAAAAAGACCGGTATAAGCAGTACGGTCACATTGCCTGATCTATTGGCCATTAAATGGGACCTTACACTGGGTTATTTTTCCCCATTAGCTCAGAATTTGGGTGAATGATAGAATTGTGCATTGAACCGAGGGTAAGTAATGACTGCACACCTGATGTGAGCCACTGGGTGGCCAACAAGATAAACTTGTATGTTGGGGTCATTTCCTTGGGGGTCCAACTGCATATTGGACAATCGAGGTTCTGCTGTAGTTGGTCTTTGAAAACAGCCACACTGCAAGTAAAATGTTAACTTCTTTTGTCAAACAACGGCTTTGCCTGTGTAGAAAGATACCTGACATCAGAAGCTCGCTCGCCTGATAAAATTACAGGATAAGGCAAAGCGTGTTGTGGAGGATTGATGTTTTTACAGCCTGGATGAAATAACATGTTTTATCGTGAAAAAAATAAAGGTTGCTTTTGTACACAAGTGTGCTGGTGTCTTTTTATAGACTTATGGGTAACTAAAGGAATTTGTAGGTCTTCTTTTATAATGTCCTGCATTGGAATATTGGCCAATTCCATTTTAATGTGCACGGGAGGAAATGAGTACCTGGAGAAAACCGTGCATATTAGAAGGTAGTATCAGATCCCTTTTCCATAAATATAAAACTAAATAGTACCCTACCACAAAACAAGTGTCTGGATAGATTAATTAACCCATTTACTGCCATCTGGTCACCAAGCAGCAAAGCAGGTTTCAAGTTTTCACAAATCTGCATTATTCACAAACCTTTGCTTCTAAAGCACTGGATCACCCGTGTGGCACCACACCTTGTCTTTGAAAACTAGTCGCCATAAAATCAACATTGTGCATGAACCGCAGCCCTGACTGGAATTGACTTCACACTTAAAACATTGTACTAGTCAGAACTGATATAGCATATCCTTTATTTAGGAAAAATAGATGTTGGAGATTGTCTTCATTGTAAAAAAATACATACGCGGAGAACAAGTAAAATTCCTAACTCGGATGCATGTAATTTCCATACTTGGGATTTAGACTGCCTCCGACACGTTAAATTATGTTACAGAGTAATTAACATCCACTCTACATCATCGGAGCCTCCGCTTAGCATGCTTGGCTACGTACGGTGCGAAAGAAGTTCTACATACAGAGTGCATGCTGTGGCAAGTCTATGCAAATTACAGTACTGCACTTCTGCAATAGAAAAAAAATGCCTGACTTGGTACAAACTGATCAGGTGGAGGTTGGCTGTCCAGGGGAGTGCATTTTAATGGTAAGCTCACCATGTGCTTACAGATCAAGCAGACGGCGCCATCAGGTGGACTCCTATCCCTCCATCCCATTCGTCAAGCAGTGAGGTGATGGGACCCTCAGGTGCAGGTGCCCCGGAATACATCTAGCTGGTGCAGGGTGGAGCGCAGGTTGACAGCCAGAAACACCTGATGTGGCTCGGCTGTACGCAGCATCTCTTGCAGCTGGATGTGAAGGGAGCATGCCTCGAACAGACGCCGGTTAGTCCTGCACAAAAGCACACATACATATTTAAGCAGCCAGGTCAATTGAACAAGTTATTTTGATACCCTGGATTTTATTCTTACTGGATCTTGTTCTAAATATGATTGGCATTGTTGCAAGTTAAACACATCGATTTGCTACATGTGATAATTATTCTTCAACTTACCGGTGAGCTGAAACAATAATGGACATGTAAAATATTTTTACAAGTTACAATTTTATTGGTTTTGCTATGTGTGGTGGAGGATCTATGGCACATTTGGCAAAATTATACAGCCTGACAAATAAATTATGACAGATACTCCATATATCTTTCATACACTTGTGGCAAGTGATGTTAGCAAGCATCTAACGTTGGCATAGGCTATGGGCAGGTGGTTTGGCCAGACACACCCAGCCACCATTGCCTCCCAAGTGCCGATGTTTACAGAGCATGACAATTTCCTAATTTATGGCTGGGGGGGGGGCAGGACCCAGTGGTAGTCGGGTTTTCTCTGACGTGTAAAACTCCTCAAATATTTGGCTAAACATCTAAATCTTTTTATGCACTTTTAAAACCAAATTGAAAACTCATTTGTTTCGAACTGCTTTTTATGTGTTAGTTTGTTGTCTTTCCCACACCTCCAATTAGCAGTTGGCTACGTACACTGCGAAATACATTTAACATACAATCTAGGACCCTGGAGACAAATTCTTGAGACTCCAGGAGGCATTCCTGGACAAATAAATGTCATTATTCTTTGACTGAAGTGACTGTGTATGCATCTGAATGTTACAAACAAGATGTTATAGAAATATTGTCTACTTAATTCATACACTTCCGTCAAACAGCACTAACTGAAAATGAGCGCTCTATGCTTTGTAGTGTCCTCCAAGTTGAGGGCACACTGGTTGGAATCCTGCTTCAACCCCTGACAGTGTACTATGCAGTCCGACCCCCATCATGGGTCATACTTGATCTTGGAGAGCTTCTGCAAGATGACACTCATCTTCTCTGGGATTAGCGGGTCAAGATGTGGCGTGCGCAGCAGCTGAGAGCACGAACGGAACCACACCTCTGTGCTGCACGCCGCCAGGAACTCCTCCACACAGCCTAAACAGGCAGGCATGCACTAGCACGTATGAGCATCTACATTTACAGCCCTTTCTCATGAACAAAGCTTCAAACTTGTCTTATGCAAATGAGACAAAGCAAAAGGATTCACATTTTCTTTTTTAAATGCATCACAATCTTGACTTAATTACATGTTTAATAACTACAAGATAATAAGAATGTTTTTTTTAGGTGTTGCTTCTTCCTTTGACTCAAGACTGTGGGCTGCAACGGGGGGGGGGGGGGGGGGGGGGTGGGATGTGCTGTACCGGAATCTATGCTCATCGCTAGAAGCAGTAGGACGCCCACAGCGTCGCCCAGGAGCCCTCTGCAGGGCGACGTCAGCAGCGCCGTGACCACCGCCACGCCGCCGTGCCTCACAAAAAGCCGCTTGCTCTGCTCACTCTGCAGGTCTGAGCATACGCTGTCCAGCACCTGTGCCAACACGTCCGCTGTGGACACCCGCACAAATCACACACTCTCCGAGTAAGCTGTGGGTTGTTATACAGTTCCAGTCATTCGGCATTTTATAAAGATAATATTAAAGGTTGAGGTAAGGGATATTGGTATGGTTAAGGTTTTAAAGTTAAGTGTTTTGAATAGCTATATTAAAATGTAGTTGTTAAAAACGTTAAAAAAAGGCCGGCCAATTGCAATTTCTTACTCACGCGACTGCTCGTGGAACTGCCTCCACTAGCGCAAACTCCAGATGGTATTTGGTCTATTCTTGCACGTATTGAATGAGGGTGTAGCCCACACTTTAGCCCACCACATGTGACCCCCCACTAATTGAGTGTATACATATTTATACTGCTGGGTGGACAGAGGCAGGTGGATTTAAGAAACATTGGCAATTGTTTCAATTATTGATCCAGAAGAAGGAATCTAACGGGTGATCTATGCATTCAGTTTGTTGTTGTAACTTGCTGACCTGCCTATACTGGACATCTGTGAAAGAGAGTTTCATAGCTCATCAGATTCCTCCAGTCTAAATAAAGATTCTGATTCAGTGTGCTGATCATTATATCATAGCAGCTCCTTGTAGTAAATGCCATGATACATTAAGGCTACAATTGGGGTTAGTGTTAATGCTAGGGCAATAGCTAGTATTCCTGTCATTAAGATTTTCCAATGTACTATCCACCACCTACCTATCCCCTTCTCATCTCTACTCCACTCCATCCTCTCTATTCCAGAAATCAAGACCTTGTCAAAACCCCCATACAACATTTTCAAATGAAGGCCACCATCTCTGCTGCCCCAGTTGCCCTCAACACCCTCTCCTTAACTGTTGGCACTGTCCAGACCCTTCCCACATTGAAGTCTTGGTTCAAGACCTTCCTTTTCTCATTGGCCTATGACTGTTTCCCCTCACTCTATGAAATGTCTTAATTCTCACCTCACTGTTGTCTCGTCTTTCTTCATGCCGCAGTATCTTTTCCTACCTTTTCTACCCTTTGAAAAAAAACTCACAAAAAGACCCTCTGTTCAACACGCTACCAAGATATGCACATTCTCCCTATTTGCTCAGCGCCATGAGATGAATCCAAATTGTATTGAATTGTATTAGGGGTCAGGGTACTATAAGTATGGGGTTATTGCTGCGGTTGTATAAGTGCTCTGGGCCCTCGTTGAGATTGGTTCATACCTTGCGAGAGGGTGCGGAGGATGACGAGCGAGGAGAGCAGTCGAACCTCGGGCTCCGAGCTCCTAAAGAAGCTGCCCCCCATATGGGGCTTGGGCTCGGGCGACGACTCAGCCGACCCTTCTGCTCCGCGCGTGCTCCCGCCCGGCTTGAACAGCTCCTCTCCCAGGCGCCGGCACGTCGCGGTGAGTGTAGTGTGCTGGAGCCACGAGGGGATGAGACAGCACATGCACAGGCATAGAGGAATCCTGACAGAAGTCATGGTGTTAGGAACAAAAGACAGAGGTAGTGCCATGGAGAGTGCACGCTACCTGTGAGGTCCCATCCATGCGGCCCAGAGCCCAGAGCACAAAATTGACGAGTGGCAGCTGCAGCCTCTTGCTCACAGATGGCACGGAGGAGAGCTGCTCCACCACCAGTGGCAGGGCCTACAGCCAGCAAGAGGGTGGCGGTTAGTGAGGCTGCAGTTGGAGGTGCAGCAGATAGTACGGCAGTAAATAAAGGTGCAAAAATTGGATGGGCAGCAGAGAATGTTTCAAGCTCGACATAGGGTAGTAATTATGGTAGCAGTCAGTGGTAAAGCAGTAATTTGTGCAGCAGGCCGTGGTTAAAAAAAATAATGTGCAGCAGTCAGTGACAATTAGTATTAACTCGTGTTTACAACGGAACGGTTAATGGTGCAGCAATTAATTAGCCAACAGTCAGTCGTAAGCAGGCAGTGATTAAAGCAGTGCAAATAATAAGTGACTCGTAGTAATAATTAAAAGCAAGCAATGGTTATCGCAGTGACGAATGCATCACATTATGGATACCGCTCTCATTTTAACCAAGCTGCCGCTGTGACTCAAGGACCTCGATGTGTATGTATCCTTCAAGGCAGCTCACCCATTAGCACAGTTTTACTAGACTTCCGTATTTACTTTAACATTTGTTCTGGTGTTTTGTTGATGCTCTCTTTTGTTTGGAAACTCCAAAAATAAATTTTAAAAAATCATAACCCTTGAAATGTAAACGGCACACTCAATGACTACTTAAATCTTTACACGTCAAACATACAGAGTAAAACAACACAAGCAGTGGTATGTAAATATTTTTTTGTATATCTTCCCTTTGCCATGAGGGGACATGCTGTCAGTCTCAGATAGTAATGCTCTTGTGAAGTCATTCACATGAGCTTTCTATGTTGATATGAGAAGGCGATATCTTGCTAGACCACTAAGTATTGTTCCTATCCGCTTAAAGAGTGAAGCAACTCTACTCAATTTCATATTCACATAGATATATGAAAGAAACGTATTATTTGTATTGTGCTAAAACTATTCCTGATAAAGTGTCAAGGTGATTAAGCATACCAAGTCTAGATTTGAAGCTTTCGTGACTGCAAGGATTCATACTCTTTGGTTTTATTCGGTAAAGTCACATAGATAAAATAAAACAAAATAAGAGAAAACAATTAAATCACGACGTTTCGGAGGCAACACAAGCTTCCGTCTTCAGGTGGAATAGTCAACGCAGAATATCTGTCAGGAGCACAGTTCAGAGACGACCGGGATTATATACAGGTTAAGGGGGGGGGGAGGAGTCAGTAAGGGGGCGTGGGTGGGTGGGAGGGCTGGGTTAAACAGCCTTTTGATAGACTGCTGCGGGCAACAACCAATTCGCACTGCACGAGAGTGGGTAAAACCCACCTTTTGTTATGCTGCGTAGGGGGTCGGATTTTGAAAGCGGCAGCAAACGACTGTTCAATTATAAGGTAGCTAAAGTTTGATATACAACCACTGAAAAAAGGAAATGGCTGTACAAAAAATTGAAAGGCAGCTAACGTTTGACTTGATTTATAACATCTTTCCAGTGATTGCTCAATTTGATACCCCCATGGGTTCCCCCTTATCACCAGTGATAGCCAATGTTTTCATGGAGAAATGTGAATCAGACGCCATCCAGACATCCACCCTCAGCCCTTCCCTGTGGAAGAGATATGTGGATGACACTTTCGTCATTTGGCCACATGGCCTCCCAGCTTTGAACCTTTTCCTAGCCCACATCAATTCCAGACACCCTTCCATCAAATTCACCATGGAAGTGGAGAAAGATAGCAAGCTACCATTCTTGGATGTCCTGTTTGAGAGAAGGCCTGATGGCTCTTTGGGACATTCTGTTTACAGGAAGCCCACCCACACAGACTCCTACTTGAAACCTGATTCCCACCACCACCCGACTCAGAAGAATTCTCTCATCAAAACGTTAATCCATAGGGCTCATTGCATTTCTGACAAACACCACCTGACCAGTGAATTAAAACATGTACATCTGGCCCTCAAGATGAACGGTTACTCTGACCGTACCATCCGCCAAGCTGTTTCTCCCACCATACAGAAACCACTTGACACTCCGATCAAAATCATCACGTTACCATACATAGCAGGCGTTACTAAAAAGATTTCCAAAATTCTAAACAAACACAAGATCCAGGTCCGGTTCAACACAGTGCACAAAATCCGTGATCTGATCCCGTCAGTAAAGGATGTTATTCCTGACTTACAGACCCCGGTGTTTACAAATTGAGTTGTACCTGCGGGGACTGCTATATCGGGGAGATGAAGCGACATATCTCTGACCGAATTCGCGAGCACAAATCAGATTTGAAACACGGCAGAACGAATTATTCTGCCGTGGCTGATCATTGTTACAACGCTGTGGGTGATCATGATATTGTTTTCTCCGATACCAAGGTGCTCTGAAAACCTACCGGTTATTATCAGAGATTTGTCCACGAGGCCATCCAGATTTACAAACACAGACACAACTTCAACCGAGAGGATGGTTCAAATTGAGCAATCACTGGAAAGATGTTATAAATCAAGTCAAACGTTAGCTGCCTTTCAATTTTTTGTACAGCCATTTCCTTTTTTCAGTGGTATATCAAACTTTAGCTACTTTATAATTTAACAGTCGTTTGCCGCCGCTTTCAAAATCCTCCCCCCGACCCCCCACGCAGCATAACAAAAGGTGGGTTTTACCCACTCTCGTGCAGTGCGAAGTGGTTGTTGCCCGCAGCAGTCTATCAAAAGGCTGCTTAACCCAGCCCTCCCACCCACCCATGCCCCCTTACTGACTCCTCCCACCCCCTTAACCTGTATATAATCCCGGTCGTCTCTGAACTGTGCTCCTGACACAGATATTCTGTGTTGACTATTCCACCTGAAGACAGAAGCTTGTGTTGCCTCCAAAACGTCGTGATTTAATTGTTTTCTTTTGTTTTATTTTATCTACGTGACTTTACCAAATAAAACCAAAGAGTACATACCAAGTCTGTTGGTCTCAGCCTCGTCACCAATGACGATGTAGTGATGGTAGCATCACTACTGTGTACACACGCACACATGTGACGTCACTATGCGGGGGAGCGTCACGACCACGCGGGTCTACACACACACATGACGTCATCCCGGCTGGAGGCAGGAATGACGTCCGGGCCGGTTCGGGACTCGGGAGGCCACGAGGGTGGTGTGAGGTCGTGGCACTCTCTGTGACCCCGGCTGGACACGTGACTCTGGACCCCAGTGGGGGCCGGGGGCCTAGGGGGCACCTCGGGGGGCACGTGGATAGCAGGGGGGCTTCGAGAGGGTTCTCGAAGGGAGGCGTGGCCGGGGCTGGGCCCGGGCACGCCAAGGCCCATATAAGCAGCCTCCTCACGAGGTTCGCTGCTGCCCGTATCAAGAATGAAGATGCATCGTGAAGACGCCAAGAAGAGATCCGTGTGTAGGTCCCAGCCGGAGGACTCTAGGATAGCGGTAGACGTGTAAGTAAGTCCCGCCAAAACAGGAGGCTGTACCTCCTTAGGTTAGCAAGAGATCTGTGTGTAGGTCCCAGCCGGAGGACTCTAGGATAGCGGTAGACATGTAAGTCCCACCAAAACAGGAGGCTGTACCTCCCTAGAGTATCTGAGAAGTGTGTGTTAGCTAGAGTAAGTCGGTGGTCACCACCCTATGCGTAATGTAAGAGTTAACTGTTGTGTTCATTAATAAATAAGTGTTGCCTCCCAAGAAGTTGTGTGCACCTAATTCGAATCCACTACAACGGCACAAAAACTACGTTGTTGTATGGGTTCTCACCTGGTTAAATAAAATGAATCAACCACGAATAAAATTAGTTTTCACTTAAAATGGAATATTCTAACTTTGACGACCAAACATTATCGGATTAATTGCCACATAACAAACACTTCCATAGCAGGGAATGTGAAAAGGTGCACTATGGCACTGTATAGAGTGGACTAGAGGTAATAAATGCAGAAACTTCAGAACTAGTTCAGTGATGTCAGCTTCCAAATGCCATTCTTTAACATGTGACAGTTATAAATGAGAATGTTTGTAGAATCACATGATGCTGGCTACACAAATTAAACATATTTAAAACATTAAAAACACAAAACCCTAAAATTACAGCAGCTTAGAATTCAATATCATGCCATGATCTCTTTAACAATCTTGAAGTATTTTATCTTCAGGGCTTTATTTTAGGTGTTTATCTCTATTAAAATGGTGAATAATGACAGATCCCCAGCAGACGCAGATGTATATATGTGCAATAAGAGGCAGGGGGACTACAATGAGTGATTTTGCAGGATTTCTCATGGCACCATCACTAGAAGCAGTAAATTAATTATCAGGGTATGCAGTGTTGATGGGAGGTGGGCGCCACCTTGCTGCATTTCTCCAGCGAGAGAGCGACGTTCGGGTCTGGTGAGGGGTGCAGGTCCGGCACCCACAACAGCAGCAGCCCCAGCAGCTCACACAGCCCCACACTTGCCTGCTGGTGACCAAAGCCCACGGCAAAGACACGAAGATGCCCTAGTCATGCTCATCTGCTATATGTAAATGACACTCTCGGCAGCAAACTGAATAACATGCACAATCTTTAAAAAGAGGGTGCCATGAGCAGTCAACAGGCAAGTGATAATGCAGTTTAATAGATCAAATTGATTGTTACACTTAAAACACATCTATCCAATGTTGTGATAATTATCTATTCCTGCTTACTAATTTCTGCAAAATGTATACATTTACATCTTTATGGTATAAATAAAACTGTACAAGAATAAAAAAAAATCACACAAAAGAAACATCAAAAAGAGACCAAAGAGAACAGATTCTTGAATCGAATCACAACCACAAATCGTGACATCAAATAACAGTGGGGGTCCATTGCTACATGCTTGGCAGTCAGTGCACTGTGTTGACATCATTCCAAGTTACCTTGACCTTGTGAGGCTGCGGTGGCGGCTGTTTGTCTGGCTTTTCCAACGCTCTCCGCAACTGGCCATTGTGGGCCTGCGTGAGGAGCACAGTCCGTCCTTTTTGCGCACGCTGGAAGTCAAACTTCCTCTGCAGGATGCACCAACCGTGACGGCAAAAATGGTGAACGTGGATGGACAAGGTGCCAGAGGCAATGCACACAACGCAGCAAGGAGTGATGCTCCAATTATTCAGGAAAAGATGCTCAGATTTCCTTACCGGCCGTTACGTGAAATTAATCCCCATTTTGCTTTGATACTTTAATGAAATTCCTTCGCATATCTTGATTTGTGATGCCTGCTGTTACCTGCAGGTTTTCCAACCGCTGCTGCACGCGGTGTGCCTGGGTCTCCAGCCGCTTATTTTGCTCCGTCAGCTCGCTCATCTGGGGCAACACAGAGAGAGGGTTTGAGGTGGCAGAATTGAAGCTATTTTGAAATCGGCCACAAACCCCCTGATAACACACTACTCTCATATCTAAAAACCAAACAATCTATGTTAAAACCAATATTCCCTCCACAATAAAAACCAAAACAGATTCTGATGAAGGGGAATGTAATGTCATGGTTTAAGGCAGGGATCAGCAACCAAAATAACAAGACCCTTTTTTTTCAAATTCGGTAAAAAAAATCAGATTTTCAAGACCTACAATGCACGTGAATAATGTCACGAAGCAGTCATTAAAAGAGCCGCATGCGGCTCTGGAGCCTCAGGTTTGCCAACCTCTGGTTTAAGGCCTTACTGTCGGCAACTGCTAATTAATTTACCGATGTGTGGCTGGGGTTAATAGTAGATGGACATAACCGCCTTGACCCACTGCTTTCACAATATTCGTAATCAACAGAAATAAATGTCTCTGTAAGGGATGTAGACAATACTATTTCCACGATGACTATCTAAGAGACAACAGCACTCTAAAAAAAAAACAATCTGAGAAAAAAATTAACCTTATGGCGGTACCCCGGCTCTCGCACAATGTCCGTGATGCAGTCATTCTTAGTCTGTTGATGGTCGGCGATGCGGCAATCGACTCATCTCGACGAGCTGTACACGATGCACTATGGTGCATACGAGCGTTCAGGGTTTCAGCGTAATCGTCCTCGCTGTGTTTCGACATCGCAGAGTAGCACTGATTTCGGATTGATTGGTACCCCCAGTCGCGGAGTTAAGTACACACTTGTCCCAGAAATAAAATATTTAATTGCCTCGGCCATTTTGAGTTATTTGGTACTCCGGGGTACCGCCATAAGGATCAAATGTTAATTGCATTTTACTTTTAAACTTACCTGCTTCTTTAGGGAATCGTTCATATCCTTCAGTGTGTCAAACGAGGCTTTTATTCGCTTATTCTCCCGGGATTTCTCTCTCAGTGCTTCGCTCAGCTCCTGCACCTCAGCAGCGTGTTGCTGTGGGATACGGAAAGCGAACGGCTCACGAGCAGCTTTCCAAAGGTTTGTCACCTTGACAGCCAGACACGGGTGTGTAACGCATATGCATAATCCAGCCAGAGCCTGGGTGGACGACGTAACGTATTATTGCTGGACAAGAGTTTAACCGTGTATGTGTGTAGTCTCTAGAGGAGCAGTGGTCAGTACACTGTGCTACTCACTTAGCGACTAGAATTATATTCCCAGCCATAGATAACATGACAAGCATGTGATAACCGATTTAACCTGTCCTGGCTTCCTCTCCATCAACTCAGACTTAAACGAGTACAAAATGCAGTATATTAATAATAACCTAATCAGCAATAGGGAGACAAGGCTGACCAGTTGTGCTATGCTGGCCTAATAGGTGCTCACTAACAGTCCTTCCCCCTATAGTCTGTATAATTATAGATCTTAATTTGTTTAACTAAGCGTAAACAAGTTTGGCATCCATGGTGTGTGAGAATATCTTTGACAATTTAAGAAGAGTATTTGGCTGCTATAAATTTCCACATGATGAGCCACTTCGTTGAGCTACCAATTTGTGGCCAGGTCGTTTCTGAAAAAGAGCTACATAGCTCAGCCAGCCTTACCTGGTAAATAAAAATAGTTTCAACTGTTTAGTTTTAGTATACCGACGTAAAACCTCACCCGAAGCCTAACTCCTGCATGTGTACCCACCTGTCGCAAAGCATGCAGCGTGCCCTGCACCTGTGCCTGCACCTCACGCAGCTTGTTCAGCGCGCCACCGTGCCGCACTGCCACCTCCTCCTCACGTGCCGCCAGACGGCCCTCACGCTCAGCAGCCCTCACCGCCCTTTCCGCCAGCGCCGCACTCTCCCGCTGCAAGATAGACAGGCAACAAAAGCCGGCATATAGGGGAGGTCGCTAAGCACAAAAGCAACACCATCTTTCCTGCCAACCAATGGTGCAATCAACCGCCAGGGCGACCCGTTTTAGTGCAGAAGGGTGAACGGAACCACAAGGAGACAGTGAAAAGGAACCTGCAGTTTGCTGTGGATGGCCTCAAGCTCTGCATAGACATGTCGCAGGTCCCCCAGCGAAGAGTCAGCCCCCTTCCTCTTCCACTCCGTGGTACTGTCCCATCTCTTGTCCTCGCCATTCTCAGCAAGACCATTGTCAACACTATCGCTGGCTGCGTCATCTTCAACGTCGTCGTACTCATCTTCATCGATGTCTCCTACAATAGTAAGGGGTAGGAAACTTTAAGTGAACTATGAGGGGGGACTGGGAGTGCCTATAAGTCACACACAAGAAGGAAGAACACAAAGTCAACTACATGGCATCAGCTTCAAGTGATCCACCTATCCCATGTCCAAGTCAGTCGATTACAGGAATACATCCCCACTAAACTTGGAGCATCCACATCAATGCACACCAGCACAACACCAATGTCAAACCTGAACATTCCCACGACACGTGGCTTGAGCAAGCAGGGTCCTCTGAGCAGGGGTTGCCGTGGATTGCTCTCCGTCCCGGTCGCCTTGCCCTTGTGTGCCGAATCCCCCAGCTCTGGCTTTTGCGGCGGTTGCGTCTGGATTCCACCCTGCTCGGCGAGGTGAGACGGGAGTCCGTGCCGGGTGGGTGCGTGAAGCCAGGTCTCGCCTTGACCAATTGTGATGTCAGCGTCACGTCTGTGTTGGAATTACACAGATGCGAATCTTTGTAATTACGGTACCATATACATGCAGATTATTATCATTAAAATATGCATACAGAATGGATAAATCAAACCGTGTACCGAGGAACGGAAAATCACTCTGTATCAAACGTACGTTACAGACACCCTTGACTCAATTAAATAACCTCACTGTATAACCCTATCAAATATTTCACAGGTGATGCTCCACTCAGACGCTTTTGCCAACACTGCAGTTGCAATAATACATTACTGGTATTGTAGCCATATTACTGAAAAGTGGGCAGAGTTGATACATTTATAGGTGTTGGCCTGTAAGAAGTTGTGGCTTCAACTGTTTGGACTTTGTACATCACTATCTCTGCAACATCTTATATTATCTGCCTGACGCCACCCTCCACGACAGGCTACATAGTCTGAAGTGAGGCTGACTGACTGCCACCCTTACCAGTCTCTGTGTAGGCATCGTGTGTGATGCGGCTGTGGGCTGGCTGCCCGTCACTCTCCCCTTCACCACTTGTTGCCTCTCTGGTCCCCCCACCTGCCGACCGGTGGCCCGAAACCCCATCAAGCCTGTGACACGCACGGCACACAATCACACATCCATACACAAAATATATGCATGTGTATCCCTTTTGTTAATCCACTGCTGTGTTGTGAAAGGTATATGACAATACTTCACCACATTAGTCATTGTGGCTTGGTGAAGGCGATCAGCACAGATTCAGGAACATAGTACAGCAATGGCTTTTGCTGCATTGCTCTCTGCTGTCGTAACCCTCCACCACCCGACACCGCCAATCAGAAAAAAAGGGTCACGTTGACAAAAGACAAATAGTTCACTACTTTAGCCGAATTGCCCGATGATGCTGGATGTAATTACCAGCGAAACGTCGTACTCAAAAACTGTAAATGTTGTGGATTCACTCAACACACCGGTGGGCTAAAGTAGTGAACTATTTGTCTTTTGTCAACGTGACACTTTTTTTGCTGATTGGCCTTGTCGGGTGGTGGAGGGTTACGACACATTTATAAATAACGCGATCTAACCCAAAAACGTTTATTATGAATAATATTGGTCGCGAAAGCCTACGTGTTAAACTTGGTGTTACTGTGACTGGAAAGCAACCAATGATGGCTCTGGACACACGTACCGGCGTGTATGCATCTTTATGAGGGAATAGAGGTCTTGTAATGCCCGCTCTTCATGCCTTATTCCGCCACACTTCGCCGACATCCCTGGCTCCTGGAGAGTGCCCTGGGTCACGCTATCTGGAACGCACACAGCATCGCATCACGTGCATCACGTATCTATCTCTGCCTTTTATCGATGTGACCAAAGCTATTTGTGTGTGCACAACAAAGCCTTCAGACTCACCAGCACACAGTGGTTCAGGGGGTTTCACATTGTTTCCTCTGTCCTGGAACAGCACACAAATCCAGAAACGCCACAATTGTGAGGCTTACGGTCAGTCAGTTCCCAAAAACATTCCTTGATTTAATGCAATGTTATTATATATACCCTATCCTTCAGTTAATTAGGTGAAAACTCGTCGAGTTTCATTACTTCCAATAGAGCCATGAAAATTAAGGACAGTAATAAGGTTCATATTCTTGGGTCTTTCGATAAAGTCACATAGATAGGTTAAAAGAAAATAACAAAAACTACGAAGTTTCGATCGCGGTCGCTTGTGCTGCGATCGAAACGTCGTAGTTTTTTGTTATTTTCTTTGAACCTATCTACGTGACTTTACCGAAAGACCCAAGAATATGAATTCCTGCAGTCACGAAGGCTTTAAGTCAAGATTTAGTAATAAGCTTCAACAACAATGTGCTGCAATTGAAAGTAATTTTGAAATCAACAGTAACCAGCACGCATTAAGAGTCGAGTGCACAGTATTGAACCCGGTGAGCTCTCACCGCAATTCGCTGTGAATTAATACGGTGGTTGGCGATTGTCAAAACTGTGATTTGGGCACAATAAAGAAACAGTGGCCAGAATGCCGAGGCTTCTAAGTCTCAACTCTTAAGCAAACAAGATGCAGTAAAAGGCGCCACGGGCCCATATAAAGGGCGGTAAAAATGAACTGCTTCACTCCAACTGGTAGCATCCTCTTATCAACTGTCTACAACAGGTCCAACAGCAACATCTTGTGTTCAACTATCAGTATCTTCATGTCAAATGCTCAATATTCGTAGATTATGCCAAACTTATTTCGCACGGTACATAGCCAACATGTACAAATCGGAGGTGCGGAGGAAGGACACAAACCAAAAAAATGTGAATCAAAGTAGTGCACTGTGCTACGTTACATTAAGTATTGTAGTTTCTAAGATTAATGCCTATATTTTTCACATGGTACTGACATGGAAATGGAGGACTTTATTAGTAGATTGACAAATGGCTGTCAATTATTATTTTATCATAGGTGTGTACTCCATTTGGGAGTTAATTTAATAGGGCTCCAATGTGGATGTTAAAAGGTCATACATGTTAATAGATCATACATGTACAGTATAACGAAATTAACCTCAGATTGTTGAAACATCTCAAACAAGGAGACACACTTTCACCAAAATCATTCAGTGATATTAACAAAATGTCTTCTAAAAACTGTACGCATAAATGTATAAAAGAACATTAACAGTCTCAACATTGCTCACCACAGTCATTATAATAAGTTCAAATTAACAACGGGGAATTATTGAATAAATTAACAAAAGGCTAACAAACGAGAACATCTCAAAAGCATGAACGAATACTTGGAAACAGATAACAAGAAGCAAATACTGTAGAGACAATGACTGTTACGAAACAGTATTTGGGGCTTGGACAGGACACATCACTAACACAAAAGGGATGACAGCTGATGGACGTCTGAGACCAGTGACAGAGTGGCGAAGGAGCATCGCGTCCGAGAAAACTTCAACCGAAGAGATGGAGCTTTAATCAGTTCACGTGTCGCGGTGAGATGGGTCGTGTGTGGTGGCATCGCAGGGCCCCCTAGAGCCGATAACGAATGTGCATGGCCCTTCCTCCATCATGGGCGACACCAAAAATTACCGACCGAACATCAACGAGCTCCCTCTCCTCTCTCTATGAACTCGTGTTCAATAAAGCGCTGCGCTGTAATTGACACGCGTCTCAAGACGCCCGACCAAATCACACGGAATTCGTACGATTTCGCCACATGCCAAATGCTGGGGCGGGTTTGAACCTCGATGGTCGGCGACGTGCGTGGAGCGACCACCATTCATTAACACAGCAGGTGGAGAAAGCCTGCAAGCAGGGCAGTGTTCGGTAGGCCGAGGGTATTTACAGAAGTAATACACTGCTGTGCTGTAACGTCTACACCGCCACCTTCTATGCTTTCTGCCCCTTCACCACCCCCGCAGTGACCAGGGTGGTGAAGTATGGTTCAGCAGTGGAGTAACGGGGAACTGTGCACGCTTCGCGGGTCTCACCTGGCCCAGGTATTTCTTCTTGAGTCTCTCCACAGATTCACTCACCGCGTCCGCGCCAGACGCCGCCATACTCGAGGATTTAAGACGTCCCGTATCTACCACCTGAACAAACTCTGTAATTGTTAACCGTGGTGATGATAAAGAACGTGTTTACACGTTTATATTTGTGAACGCTTCAGGGTTGAGGAGCTCTGTTGCCGTGGAGACGCCACGGCCGAGCACCGCTCGCCGCCATTTAAAAGTTCGTTCAAAATCTCCCCAAAGTCTCGCGAGACTTGACGCGGCTCCACCTCCTTCGCCAGCACTTCACCTTGCGCGAGTCTCGCGAGATTTTGTTCTCTCGCGCTCCGTTTGCATTTCGCAGTCAGCACGGGCACGGGACATCGCGTTCCTCGCGCCGCGATTGGTGGAGACGGCTCGAGCGCTTCGCGGGTTCCGCCAATCAGGGGCCGGCAACGTGCTCCTAAGCGCTGTATACAATTAAATCACGTTAGCCTATTGATGCCAATGGTGGAGGAAACTTGTTCTTATTATAGCCTTGATGGTTTTGGTAAAATCATCTTGGGACATTTAGTATCGAAGTGTGGCGAGTAAGCGAGGGATGCTACGCGTGGAGCGGCTGCGGAACGTTTTCGCTGCTTTGGTTCGTTCCCGTTGCCACTCTTCAGTTGCCGAAGGTGAGGATTTGTATTGAGGATCGGTGACTTGGAATCGCTGAGCCCAATGTGTACATTTATTTACTGCGGTATAAAACTAATCACAACATTATACGTGCTGTGTCATGTACGTATTGTGTGACGCATGGGCAGCTCCGCGGTTTAGGACGCACATGCCTGCACACGTTTGTAGATGTGAGGCAATTATTAAGCTGTCTGTATAATCACTCGAGGCATTGTACAGTACGTCAACCAGTTACGACTGCGATACGGCTCATCTGTACAGCTTACTTGCTCATCGATAAATACTCAATGCCAGTGTCGGGCGCACTCGGGACAAACTTACTTTTTCATCCACGCCTGGGATGCGTGTCAAACCCATCGACTTACTTCATACCTTCAAAATTTACCTAATTTATGAAACTACCCACATGTGAGTCATAAATTATGGATAAGAGCCGGGCACAGTCACGCAGGTCAATAGCCTAGGCACGTTTAACAATTTAGTGTGCATTAAAGACCGTTAAGGTGTTTACGTGCAATGAAAACATTCCGTCATGAATGCTGTTGCCATCACATACATACTGAATGCACTGAACCACTAAACTGCCGAATATACAGTACCACTTAGTAATGTCTGCTGGTTACCTTTGTTTACCACCAAAATACGTACAGTACAAACGCCGTGCATTTTATGATGTACACCATCACTGCGTACTTACTTGGGGAGACAAAGGTGACTCAGTTTTTTAATGTTTTTTTTTTTACCATTCTGTTACAACTTTAGCACACGATTATGTATGGTACACTGCGAGGGTTCTCGCCGTTGTTCAAGCCACTCGGTGTAATGGAAGTGGTCGCTATGGATGGACTTATCCCCGCGGTTGTAACTTTCCGACACTGGTTGATGCGAATACAACTCTGACTGTTTATCCTGACAGTTGAAATTACTCGCCCAAATAACGATAGTTATCCTCGAAGTTAACGCGGTCCCTGCAATACAAATGAAGAATTTCCACTACCGCCATCGGATTGTGAAATTTCCATACTCGGCGCCACCGGAGATGTGACGCTCATCAATTATCTTGCCGTTCAGCCTCCTCACTGCATTACCAACAGCGATTGCTTCTGTGGATGAAACTGTCATCATCCGGCAGCGGAGACGAGCGAGACGCGTCGGGTCTCGGCACAGTTCAAGCCACATTCTGCCGAATGAGAATTGGCGCTCTTTGTAGATGGACTTGTCATCGTCATGAGAATGTGGAATTTCAACTTTGCGGCGTTGACATTCTGCGGAGAATTTGGGACCCAGTGTGTGCCCGTGCGGTTACCCTAAGGCTATATAATCCGCGTGTTTACTTCGAAGAACCCACGTGGACTCAACCCACGTGTCTTGTACAACTCCGGTTCCGCCGGAACCGGAACCGTAGTCGAACCCGGATCCACAACCCGGGTCCCGCGGCGTGAACGCGGGAGAGGGGGTGGAGCCTATACAACTAACTTGCATATATTATAACTTTGGCTCCGCCTACGTTGACGTCCCGCAGCTCACATTGGCCACCGCTGAGGGATCGTGCGCGCTGCGTCGGCCAATGAGAGCGCTCGTGCGGGCAGGGGGAAACGCCTACCTTCGCTAGGGCCCGCCCATCCCTACCCACCCGCGCTGTCGCCGTGGCTTTTGACGTGAAAACTGTACTTAGAATGGGCGACGTTTCGGACACTGTCCCTTAATAGATAAATAGGCCAGAGATAGTGCACAATGCGCGTTGGATACTGCACTTTGCCACTATGGGTCCTCACGATAATTATATTCTAAATCTCTTTAAAATTGCTATGCGAATATTTGGCTACTAGCTGTTGAGTAACATGAATTCCTCAATACAAAATTAATTCATATTCTTTGGGTGTCACGTAGATAAGTTCAAAGAAAATAACACAACTACGGCGTTTAGATCGCAACACAAGCGGAAGCTAAGCGGATCTTGTTCAGGGCTGGCCTGGCCCTGATCACGGATGAAGACCGCTTTGTGTTGCGATCGAAACGCCGTCGTTATTTTTGTTATTTTTTTATTTTCTTTGAACCTATCTACGTGACTTTACCGAAAGACCCAAATAATGTGAATTCCTGCAGTCACGAAAGTTTTTTTAAGTCAAAATTTATGAACTGATATGTAACTATTCATGACAATTTAAGCATTGGTCATCGGGAAAAAAAATATCAAATGCAGTCACCAACTTGTATTCACTTTAGGTTTTATTTTGTCACGGGTAAAACCCTTGTTACACCGTAGAAAGCTGGTTCCAACAAACTACTTAAAATCCACAAACTGCACACGGCGAGGTCCCAAGTGGCAAGGTCGTGGCATCAACATGGTGCACGGCTCTAGTACAAAAAAGCAAGGCAATTGCCCGAAACGTCGGCTGTAGGCCACACGTTATTGACAAATGCGTTGAGTTTTTCGCTACTCCATTTGTGTTTGGACGCCACTGTAAAAAAAAATAGCGTCACGACTCGTTTGCATATTAAGCCACGCCCAACATCTATTGACAAAGACAAAGCTCCCCCGTGTAGCCTGCACAGACTGGCGGGGCAAGTGCTCTTAGCGAGCACCCTATGAAGGCCGGCACGGCACAACGAGGGGGTGGGTGGCCGGCACCACGCCCGGCCGCCTTTGTCTCCACCCAGTGACGATGTTTTACTACACACCGCACCAGGTGCTCGTTTGAGGCTGAGTCGACTTAGGGGAGGCCCAGGACTCCGGTTCAGACAGCCGTCACTGGCGTTGACCGTGAGCGGGATTCGATCGGGTGGGCTGGGTTCGAAGCGGCAGTGCGCTCTTACCGCTACACCACCGCTCCCCAACTCTCATTTACACGCCAAATAACACGAAGTGACGGTGACGTCAACCACGGCGCCTGTGCCAGGCTAGGTGCACTTCGAGGCCACGTGAAGGCTCGCTGAGACAGGAGGTCTCGGGACACACCCGGCAGGTGCCATTGGTTGGCTGACTGAGATGACCGGCTGATGGCAACTCGCTGCGTTTTATCCGCCCGGCGCTCCGCTCGTTGTCGTGAGCGTCTGCCTTCGTTGTTGCTGGAGGGCGACTACCAGCCACCCTCCCCGACCCTGCATCGCAAGCCCCGCCTCCTCCCCCCACCGCCAACGTCATCACAGCGAGCCACGCCCACCAGCACACCTCATGAATATTAAACAGCAGCCCCGCCACGGTTCCAACGCCATTTTGTAGGACCGCGCAAGGGGCCCGAGAGCCGCGGAACCGGGGCGAGAGGATTCGATCCCGGGTCTGAAACCCGGCACGGAGGAGACCCCTCGCACGTGTGTGTGTCTGTGTGTGTGTGTCTGTCTGTGTGTGTGTCTGTGTGTGTGTTTCTGTGTGTGTGTTTCTGTGTGTGTGTCTCTGTGTGTGTGTCTCTGTGTGTGTGTCTGTCTGTGTCTTTCTGTGTGTGTGTGTCTGTGTCTCTGTGTGTGTCTGTCTGTGTGTCTCTGTGTGTGTGTCTGTGTGTGTGTCCAAGGCTAAACGCCGCGAGGGGGTGAGGGTGCTGGCTCGAGTTAGAGGAGGGGTTTCATGAAGTGGTGGTTGATGAGCTGCGAGATGGAGGCCGCTTAAAGAGCGGCAGAGAAGTGGGGGTGGGGGGAATTGCTCTGGTCTGGTTCGGAGTCTTAACCCCGTGCAGGTTGCTGTGCGGTGCTGTTGGCTACTGTCAACGCGTGCACGATAGCATACACATGCACGTGACACGTTAACAGTGCGTTCATCGTTTGGGTGGTTTGTCAGGTAAACTAGTTTGCATGCGTGTTGAACTTCTTTCGCTCGTCGGAGGTGACGGGAGAGTTGACCGCGAACTAAACGCACGCAAAAAAGCAGTTCTGAACACACCCGTTCTCAGTCCGTATTTAACAGTGCATAGCTCCAGTGGCTTCCTAACAATAGGAAGGAAGAGCGTTCCAATACAGTTCGCCGCGGAAGGGCTTCTGAAAGCGCCGCGATGCAGTGAATACAATTTGTTTGACGGCTTGCAGGCAGAAGCCGTGAGGATGAGCGCGGAGTTGGTATGATGATGATGATGGTTTAAGCCCCTTGACGAGATCGGCGAAGCGTCGTGGTTCATTCGCCGCATGAGTGGGGGGCTCCCAATGTATTCGTTTCAGCAAACGGGAGCATGCGTTGCAATTGAATCGTGTGGTTAGCGCACGTTTCGGTACGTGTTGATTAGTGTTTGTGTGCGCTCGTGTCTGCCGGGTACACGTGTGTAACGCGTGTGGTGTCCGTGCATGCGTTGTTTGCACGTGTCTTCAGTTGCGCATAGTCTTTCTTGTGTGCACGTTCGCTTACCGTGTTTTGCGTTGGTGCATATCGGATGTGTCGGTGCACTGCGAGAGAGAGAGAGGAGTGCGTGTTGTGGGAGGCGTGTGGAGCGCACACGTGTGTGTGCATTTAACAACAAGTCTCTCACTCTCGTGTGTATTATACAAGACAGCAGGAGGATAATATTGTACTATAATATTTGCATGGCTATATCGTTATATAATTGCCTTTTTGTGCGTTAGTTTGTTGTCCTTCCCCCGCACCTCCGATTAGCGCGGTTGGCTACGTACGGTGCGAAAGAAGTTCTACATGCATACGTATACACAACTGTGTACTTTCACTGCGATGCTACAAATAATAATACATGAGTAGAGGTGTCAAGCTCATTAGCCTGATAGGTCCGTGCATACCCACACAGAAAGAGGAGGACATTATCCGAAACCCTGCCCGCCCCACGTGGCGACGTTTCGGGGCCGCATCACGCAGCCATGACCAGCCTCAAGTGTTACTCCAAGGTGTGGGAGGTGTTTGAGACTCCCAACAACATCACCAAGCTGGCCCAGTGCAAGCTTTGCCAGAATTTTCTCGCGTACCGCCAGAGCACCAGCAACCTGCGCAAACACATCCGCTCCAAGCACCCGGCCGAGTTCGAGAAGCTCTACCCGCCCGACGAGGTCTCCTTCGCCATCCAGCACCTGTCCACCAAGACGGACCCGAGCGACGGCGTGACCGAGGGCGTGCAGTACGTCTTCGAGACCATTGACATCCCGTCGGCCAGCATCCTCACGGCCGCCACGCAGGCCGCGGTGCACGCCGAGGCCGGGACCGTGGTGGTGGAGTCGGCCGAGGCGATCGAGGAAGAGGAGGAGGAGGCGTCCAAGTCGGGCAAGAAGAGGAAGAGGCGCCAGCAGCAGCAGAGTGCGGCGCAGACTTACGCCAAGCGACTGGCCTTCACAGGTCAGGGGAAGCGGAAGGATGAAGTGCTGATGGTGGTGCCCACATGAGAGACGGGTTTTGCTTGATCCCACGTGCTTAAGATGTGGCGCACAGTTTGTGTCGGCATGGAGTCGGCAAAAAAATTTGAGAACCCAGGTTGATCAAAAAAATTCCAGCCACCCCTGAGTAAACAAGAGTTCTCAAGCGTTGATGGTCTCACCAATGGTCACATCAGCAACTTGTGCAAAAAATCCGCACAGTTATTTTAAATTAGTTTACCAATTTAGCATCTTTACATGAATTATAATTTTTTATTCAGTTGTCCATGTTATCTAAATATTCTTTAGATGTTGTAACCATCTATTAAGGATTATGGGCATTTAAAGGAACCTCAGATATAGTTACGTCATACAATACTGTGGTACTACTTTTTGCTTGAGTGGACTTTTGTTTTGTGATGCGACACCGAAAGCGTGAGCCGAACTTTATTGCGAAAAGAATGTCAAAATCTGGCACACGAATTGATAAAAAAAAATATTCAGTTGGTCTGCCATTTCTTATAATGCTTATAAACATTTAAATATAACTTTAATAGGCTCAAATGAACTGTAATTCATATTACATTCGCCTTGGTTCTTTCGGTAAAGTCACGCAGGTGTAAAATTAAAATAAATCACGACGTTTCGGGCGCAACACAAGCGTCCGTCATCAGGTGGGAAAGCCTTGGTCTGCTGCTGAGGCAGACTGTTTTAAAACTTACTCCTTTTAAAGCGGTCTGTCTCAGCAGCAGACCATGCTTTCCCACCTGATGATGGATGCTTGTGTTGTGCCCGAAACGTCGTGATTTATTTTATACCTACGTGACTTTACCGAAAGAACCAAAGAGTATGGATTCCTGCAGTCACGAAAGCTTCAAATCATATTACATTGTGCCAGGAGAGGGCACTTTGAGCTTCATCACTTGTTTTTATAGAGAGATGTTAAAAAACATTTAACTGCAGACACAATTATAGATTTGTGAATTGAGCCGTGACACTGCTGCTGAAAAACAAGCATTGATATCGTGTCTGTGGTGTACGTCTTGTGTGTCCGACTGTGCATGTTTGTGTCTTTATGCCTGTAGTTGTGTGCGTGTGTGTCTGTTTTTGTCGTGTACGCTAGTGGGGAACAGCGGTGCAGTGGTTAGCGCGCTGCGCTACGAACCCGACAACCCAAGTTCGATTTACACTCATGGCCAACACTAGTGACGATTATCTGAACCAGTCGTGGGCCTCCCCGAGGTCGACTCGGCCTCAAACAAGTACCAGGTCCGGTGTGTAAACATCGCCACTGGGGAGACAAAGGCGGCCGGGCGTGGTGTTGGCCACCCACCCCCTCGTGTGCCGTGCCGGCCTTCATAGTTGCTCGCTAACAGACTGTTGGGGCAAGTGCTGTTAAGCCTACACGGGGGTTCTTTGTCGTGTACAGGTCGGATGGCGAGCCCTCTGGAGCAAGTGCGAGGCATCATTCCTCCGCTCTCTCCCTCAAAACACAAAGGCCAAGCCGGCCGCGTCGGAATCGTGGGCGGCTCCCGGGAGTGGGTTCATTCAACTCTCGCACGTCTCCACCCGTTGGTGTTGTTTCACTCGCAAACTTCACTCTCCCCGTTTTACAGACAATGTTGCGACTAAAACGTAGATCTTCGTAGCCATATCTGTGATCCATATTTGTTTTTTTGCGGTGGATTTTGTCGTTACGAATAGATGTCCCAGTTTACGTTGACGTTCTTTTAGATAATTAGCGGAATGAATGACTTTTGTCAGCAAGCTTGACCCTTTTTTGTTATCTATGGCAGACGGTCACCGAGTTTTAAGTCTACTCGTGAAGCATTTCCTCCAAAGACGAGTCTCAAAATAAAATACAACTACCATATAAGACACTAGTGTCATTTAATGATAAATTACTCTGCTCCTCAACTCACGATTCAATGAATTGTTCGGATTCAATGTAGAAACCAATTATTGTATTGTCTTATTTCTGCTGTGCTGTTTGTCTATGTTAATGTTTTGATCTATATAATTTAATCCGTTCCATAATACTTATCATTTGCATATATTTGCTTAAATCATATTTTCAATTACTCGATGTACAAAGTAATGCATTTATTATAGTGAGCATAAGAATTAACTTGAACAAATTGTTGCATGCTTGCTTTCTACCATTCCAACAATAGCTTTTTTGCCAAATGTTGAACTTAGATATTGTGGTATGTATACAATTGACCTTTCTTTTGTCTGTGTATCCTACAGCTATGCTGGAGCACCGTATTTTGCTGCCATCTCTGCTTTGAAAGTGGTAAGAAACTTCACGCGGCCACTTCCACCACCGCCAGTTTACCCGGCATAGTACAACGTTGCAATATCCGACTCGCTGGGGACTGAAGTATAGGCGGAGATTTTAAAATGTCGAATGTCTACAAATATTAGGTCTCCGTGTAAGGGTGGTTAATTGGTCAGAGTGGATATGTAATGTTTGAAAGTTTTGCAGAACCTGCCAACAGGACATATATGTTTTATGTTTTACAACTGTGTGACCGAACTGCATGCTGTGCTGAGATATATGTCAGTGAATACGTGCGTGAAGTTTATAACCAGGTGAGAGTCAATTGAGACAACATCTCATCTGCAAGGGAGGCCTGGGGTGCTAAATACTGTATAAAATATCTGCGCTCAGGAAAAAAGAACAGTACAACCACAAAAATCAACGTACATATTTACTCGCAAGTGCACTGTTTACATAGTTATATAATTGTGCAAACCTCATGCATGCAATGCTTATAGATCACAATAAACTAGAATAGACAATATTCTTAGTTTTTTTCGGTAAAGTCACGTTGAAGAGAAACAACAAAATAACAAAATATATATAAAACAATAAAAAATTCTCACGACGTTTTAACCATAACTCAAACGGTCATCATCAGGTGTGTCGGTTTGCATAAATTTATTTTTAAAACGGCATATTTATTTATTTATTTAAAAAACCGTTGGCGTCACGCGCAGCGATTGGCAGTTTGCCCAGGACTAGTCCATCTATTTTTTTATATATATATTTTATATATATTTTGTTATTTTGTTGTTTCTCTTCAACGTGACTTTACCGAAAAAACTAAGAATATGAATTACTGCAGTCACGAAAGCTTTAAATCAAAATTTAGAATAGACAATGTCAATTTGCCATCCATCCCAGTGAACTTAATCTCCAGCTGAAGGGATGGTCAACTTCTAAGTTATAAATGCAGACTTTACAATGACCTGAACTGTGGCGGTTTTATTAAGCCAATCATAGTGGCACAAGCCTGAAATCTAGTGCTTTGGAGGAAAGAGATGGGTGGAACCACATAGGATTGTGAAACTCCTGTTGCTGTGTCTTAAGGTGGCCAGGAGATGGCAGTACAGCAAATGAGTTGTGAACTTGTCAATGCAAAACTTTCTGTTGCCTCTTGATTCCTCCAACCTCCAACTTAATTCACCATTAATTGGCCAAACTTTCCAATGCAGGACCCACCTTTAAATTAGTTTTAAGACTTCGTGAATATTTAACGGAGAAATAAATGACATTAAATATATTGTGAAACTTACACAACTGTGGTGGTATGTATTTGTACGAACAAAGTGTGGATCTAAAATTTAAGGGCAGGGTGGTGTACGTCTGTACTACACCGGGACTGCATGCCCAAGCTGCTGCCTGGCAGTGTCTGACCAGTGCTTGTCTCCACACCGTGCCAGTCTCACTTGTCTCTGTGTGCACCCGCTCCCAGGGAGCCGACCTCTCCCATGTGTTCTGCACGAAGGACACAGCGGTGGTTATCAAGTCCTACAGCCCCGAGCTCATCGTTCACCCAATCCTGTAAGTGGACCTCCATCACAGCCTGGCACCTTCATGATCCACACACCGATAAGCCCCTTGAGCAACTTAATAATGGCATCCAAATTACTGAAGAGGTCCTCATTGACTAGATTGGACATTCAGTAGTGGATGAAGCCCAGAAATTACCTTACATTATTTCATTCGTCAGGTCTGGAAAACCCATACAGGTAATTTGCTCACAAAAGGTTACTTATGGATCCTAATATGTAGTAAGATGTTACATGTCTTGTTTAAGGTCTTGCAAGAGCATGTAACATGTAAACCAAATACATAATTTCTAGGTGTCGTGGACCCAAGGCTGCATCCGAACTGGTGTTACAAGCCATGAGATTATAATTCCTCTTGTTATAGGGGGAATTGCTCCTTCGAAAGGCTCAATTGCAACTTGTGACAGGAGGGTATCAGCCACAGAACGAACAGTCCCTTATAAATGTGAAACCGATATACGTTTGCCAAATTACTTCATTGCAATGTCATAACAAAGATGAGTCGGCCACTTTAATGCTAGTGGTTAGGAACCAGCTGCAAATATCAAATAAGGTTTTGTGAGTTTTTTCTTATGATCCCTTGCAGCTTAACTCCCTTATCATCAGCCGCACCTCCGATTAGCATGGTTGGCTACGTACGGTGCGAAAGACTGTTGGAGGAAGCCCTCCACGAGTCACTGCCACCTCTCTCGAATTTGTGATGTAACAATCGCTTAACTATTGCATCTTAACTATTGTACCAATGATTGAATCTTAGCAATGACGAATAAATTAAATTCACCACCATTCCACTCATCCTTGAAGCTTCACCCACGGTGTTCAGTGAAGCAACGGTGCAGTGTGCACATGAGAGTTACGTGCGTGTTTGTGTGCTCGGTGTCCTATTGTGTAGGGACCACGAGAACATTGGGCAGGAGATGGACACATGGTTGCCACGTCTTAACTCCCTGGTGGTTGGGCCAGGGCTCGGCCGTGACCCCGAGATCCTGGAGAATGTCAAGGTCAGCCTTGGGTTGCCCGGGAACACGCGGGCACCAGTCTGAAGCAAAATAGAAAACCCAGCGAGGAAAACGCTGAGCTTCAGCGGCCACACACAATGACTCGTTCATCATGGCACTCAGTTACTACGATTCTTGGCCTTGATAAGGAGATAAGGAGATTTCTCTGGGCTCACTTTTATGAGTCCAAGATAGTGATGTGTATCAGGTCAGGTACCCACGGGTGACCTGCGAAGCGGGCCACAGCTGTTTTTAAGCTTGCCTATTCAGATGCAGGCTGGACATGACGTGAACATGATGTGATGAACATGAGCTAATGAAAAATGGCACCCGACTAATGTAGGACTCTAGTCCAGAGTTCATATCATGACCTTGTCCATGCATGATCACTTCATATGGCAACAAGTGCGTTGAAACCCCAACGATTTCCACTGAGCTCTTAATGAAATAGATTGATGACGCCGACAAACAGATGTGCCCACTTCATTACGTGCAGGTCAGTAAAATTCCGGTCACTGGGTAAAAAAAGGCCAGGCCGGTTGTCTTACAAGTTCAGTTTATGCTTGGTATGCATGTTTTTTTTCCCAAAAAGGGTGAATATCAACTATACAATCCTGGTAGCATTTTGCTCTGTGGACATGATGCACCTTTTTACAATTGCCAGGTCTCTCCGGATGTATTGGGAACTGATGTTCTTTTTCATCCATTTCTGAACAGATTATTATTGAGAAGGCAAAGAGCAAAGGAATTCCTATTGTCATTGATGCTGTAAGTACACAATCTGTTATGCACACTCCCACATGTGTATATTGACCATATGTATCTGCAGCCAGAAGATAGTGCAGAATTCTGATAACTTTGTTATGCTGTGAATGAAATACATCTAAAACTAATACAGCTGTTGGTGCACCATGAATGCAATTCAACAGGTTACTCTATGATGTAAAACTATTCCCTTCAATTAAAACAAATATATGAAACAAGTGGACATTTTAGCAAAAGGGCACTCCCATCAGCTTGCTCTCTCTTTCGTGGTATTTCATGTGACAGGATGGCCTGTGGCTGGTGACACAGAACCCTGCTCTCATACATGGACACCGGTTCATCATCCTCACCCCCAACGCCATTGAGTTCAACCGGCTGCAGCAGACGACCGTGAGGGATCATGATGATAATGAAAATGGTTACACCCATTATGAAGTTAATCTGATTATTGTATTTTGTAATGACGATGATGTGAAATGTTGACAGTTGATTAAATGTTGACGATTAAGATGGCAATTAGGTTTAATAAGTTGAAGGTGATGACCAGCATAATGATCTGGACTTGAACTCACCATCTCTCGAGAGCAATGCTTCTACCAATGGAGCAATACTCAGCAGTCATACTTGTTAAAACTATATAAGGCCACTACCAAAATGCCTTGGTTTGGCCAAGACAGACCAAGTTTCAAAAAGCCTGTCCAAAAGCATTTGAAAAAAATAGGATTTTGTTCCATTGTAAAATTTTCTAGCCTTATTATTGACGCTTGTTACAGGCAAAGGGTGGGGCTATCTAAGTAGCGAATGGATTCACATATTTGGTGGGGTCAAGGTCAAAGAGAGCAAGTGGTTAAGTGTGGCTATGTAAAAGTTGACGGCTGATGGCTGGAGAAACTGCCAACACACCATGTGTCGCAGTTGAGCCTCCCATGAATTTGGTAGCTATATAATCCCAGCAACAGGGAGTGTACACCGGTGACGGACAGGTGTGCATTAGTATCGCGACGTCGGACATGACGCCATCCTTTGTGGTCATGCTGAGTCTGGCCCACAGCTGGGAGAGGGCACGGCTGTGCAAGGGAACAAATACGCGGCGCTCACGCAGCTGTGCCTCGCCCTGGGAAACGTCACCATCGTGCAGAAAGGGCAGGAAGACCTGGTGTCGGACGGGGAGACCGGTGAGTTACTGTATTGCAGTTGAGGCTTCTATCCTGAATAACACTATATAACTAATGTTGTTGAACCAGCAAAGTACACGACAGAAGCAGTTTGGTCCTTTTTTTCCATTCTAAACTACGTGCAGTTCCACCACAGTTTATTTTATTATACAGTGACCACTGCGGCCACCACAGGCTGTAGAAACCTCAAAAAAGATTTGTTCACCAAAGTTTGTAGTTGGATGCTATCTCCAAGTCTGATTCAACCGTGATGTCATACATATGCATGCATATCAAAAATACTCTTGAAACTGGACATCTGTGAAAGACTACTGGATATCTGTGAAAGAGCTTCAAAGCTCATTAGATTTCTCCAGGATAAAGATTCTGATAGCTAAAATTGCAGCTGGTAGTGGTTTAAAATTACACATTTCTTTACACTGCGCCTGGTGCAAGTCATTTGCACTGCTCAAAAGCTACCATGCTGCAAAGCAAATGCAGCAGCTCGTGTCTGGAAGAAGTAAATGGGGGCTCCACCCCTGATCGTGCAATTCCACGGTAACACATCGGCGCTTTGCCCTGTGCCGCTTATCTCATCAGTGCTCGTGTGTGAGCACGAAGGCAGCTTCCGCAGGTGCGGTGGCCAGGGCGACCTCCTTTCTGGTGCCACGGGCATCATGGTTTACTGGGCCCTCGCCGCCAACCCCACCATCTCCAACGGGTAATGAATGTGCCCCCATATCACGGGCATTTCACACTCGCAAATACCAACAAGCTAAAGCTGATCAAGCACGCATTCAAGTCTAAATTGTACAAGACTTTTGTGTCATCTGGTTATAAATTAATTTAATTTCTAAGTCAAAATTAGAACTCACTGGTTATATTATAAAAGGTTGATGCACCCAGAATTGTATTGAGTTCATTAAATGTTTTGCTATTTAAAGTCTCGAACAGTATTTGACAATAAAAAATAGCTCCAAGCAAGTCTCGCATTTACTACTTTTTAAGGTGTCACAAAGTAACTTGCAAGATGCCCTCTCCAAATCTAAGTTTGTTTTAAAATTCTGGCCACCGTCTGCAATGAAGCGCCCTTGCCAAAAGCATGATTATTGTATATGTTGTTTTAAAAAGGTAGCACTAAGTGATATTCAAGAATGTTTTAACATATTTTTGAAATATCCAGTGTCCTGTTTTTGTTCAATTGTGCAACCACAAAGCCACAACGAGCGCGTGTGTTCCCATAGCGTGAACCCTACGCTGCTGGGGGCGTACGGAGCGTGCACTCTAACGCGGCAGTGCAACCGCCAAGCCTTCCTCAAGCACGGCCGCTCCACCACCACCGAGGACATGATTGCCGAGATCGGGCCCGCCTTCCGCATGCTCTACGGGGACTGATTGCGCTCTCCAGCCTGACCTCCCACCCCATACTGCTCACCCAAGCACATGGGACAGCCCCGATCAAACAGCATATTAAATCTTCTTTGGTTCTTTCGGTAGTCACGTAGAATGAGAATAAAATAATAAAATAAAACAAAATTCTCACGTTTCGGCCACAACACAAGGCTACTTGTGTTGTGGCCAAAAAACGTCGTGAGAATTTTATTGTTTTATTTTATTCTCATTCTACGTGACTTTACCGAAAGAACCAAAGAAGATGAATCCTTGCAGTCACGAAAGCTTTAAATCGGAGGCATATTAAATCTTTGCTTTTTTCTTACACCGAGTATAGAAAAGCGCTAACCTGTGCTGTGTAAGGATGACATTTGGGGGTGAAATGGTTTTGTTCAAAATTTAAGTGCCACCCTTTCTAGGGAAAGTGTGATGATTTACAAGTTTTATTTAATGCGTAATTGACAGTAAGACACATTTTTTCCTCCTGCAATATAAACCAGAGCATTAACTGCAGTGTTTCTCCAACCGAATTGATACTGTGCACAAATCCCACAGGATATGGCCATGCTTAATTATAACTGACAGCAGGATTTAAAACATTCAAATGGATGAAGCAAGCAGTGCTAATGGTGAGGGGGAGGCACCCCTCCTGAGAAAATGTTGCCTTCAGTCTCGTTCTGTTGAACGTGGCAGGGTGAACTTGATCATTAGTGGAAAATTTAAATAGCCTGCATTACACAGCCGCTTTTGAGGAGAGGTGCAGTTTTTACATAGAAGTAAACAGCAATTTGGTTTGGCAAATTATCTTAAGGTTTTGCCACACCTTCATCAACACTCTTATGATGTGCAAGATGTATTTGGGTGTGGTGATTAAATACACAATGATAGCTACGTGTTTATAATATGCCAAACAATGGGTACTATTCAGGCTGTCCTATATCACTCAGATTTAAAAGTTGTACAAAACTGAAAATAAATGTTTTGAAAATCTAAGCAACCATCTTGATTGTCCCTGCACCTGTCACCATGGTGGTGTTTGCGCTATTTGAATGTTATGCATTGCCTCCTGCACACAGTTATATAATTTGTATGCAAGAAATAGTTTATTAAAAATATTTGTAACTAGGAACAGAGGGGACTTGCATTTAGCTTAAATTAAGCTGATGGCAAGGATAAAAATTAATCCCTCCGCAATTCAATAGTTTTTTTATATGGATGGTAGCATCGATTTATTAATCTGCCATTGTGGTACATGTACAATCTATAATGGCTACAGGATCTTATGAACCAATCACATACATGATTCAATGCACACATTAAGAGGGTAAAAATCCATCCATGAATCATCGTTCTTGTAAAGGATTTTGAATTTTATTTAATTAACATTTGCCTTTACTGAATTGGTGGCCAATGTGGATATGTTATTCACCTGATGTAAACAAAGCAACTTCGTGTTTGAGCCCAGCGACCTAACTGATGAATAGGCATGGGAAGTCGAGCTTTGGCTGCCACAGCCAAGACAACTTAACACCGCTCCACGTGCATCTACACGGACAGGTTAACAAACACGTGACTACGATCAACAACATGTGCTGCAACAGCGGTGCGTCACTGCACGGATTGCATCGTATTTACAGCCTCGCCAATCCCTAACGAGATTGAGAATTACGTGAACATCTGCTCGCATCCCCGTAATGAAATCACTCAACACTTCAACGTATTCAGTCCATCCCACTTTATAAGTCCCCTTCCAGGGAAAGCAGAGTCAACATTTTTCAGACGTTCATAGCAGGTCGTGCTAATGTGTTTGGCTGGCAGCATGAAGGGGAATTGAATTACCAGCCGCAGCACGAGCCAGGATAGAATCCACCTTGTCAAGGCAAAAAAAGCAATCTGTTTAATGTTCAATTGTTGCTTTGTAGGCAGTATGCCCAGCGACATTAAGTGACGTGAAGAAAAACGTAGGGGGTGAAAATCAAGGCATACTCGGTAAATTTTAAAAGCATTCGTCGGTTCCTCGGGCACTAATCTGGGTCAATAAACACAATATGTGGGGGAGGGAAAGTTTAAAATCGGATTTCCTGTCAAAACCTGGCAAGACCTGAGCCTCGTATAATCCAATTGGGCATCGCTCAGTGCAGTGCCCATCCATGAAGCAATTGACAACCTCGCCTCTGCTGAGACTTGGGAGCCACAAATTGAAGTATCGGCACCCCTGCAAAAGCAATGTCTTGGCACCGGAGTGGCACCCTCAAGGCAAACAAGCCTAGGCTCTCTTAGCCGTAGTGCATGTAATCGTCCAGCAGAGGCCTCTCATCGGGTCTCACTCGGGACTTCCCCCATGACGGAATTGAGCCGAGGGGCTGGGCTCCGCTCCAGGACGCAGGTCCGACCCCGGACCCAGGATTCACCGAGGTTGAAGCACGCTTCGTGCGATTCAGCGGAGACTCGCTCGTGCTCTGCTTTGGTCACTCGCCCCCTCCCGTGCCCCTGTCAGTCACCCTCGTCTCCGTGTGTCTCCAAGTGGATGTGTTTCCCCGGTCCTGTCGGAACGAAACAATAGCAGATTTTATCAGCACAACCCAAATATGACCACAGCCTCTACCAAGACCGCCAAAGGGATTGCGCCATCAACATCGGCACTGAAGGTACAACTTGTAAGGACTGTAATGGCAGTGTAGACCCAGACTGCAAATGCTTTACTGTCGATGCTACAAGCAACTGAAGCACTTCGACACGGCACGTACACTTCTCAGTTATAACCAAACGGTGTTTGTCAATGAGAGTGTTAACATCTTATTAGCTTGCATCTTGGCTCAACAAACTCGTCAAATTCCAGCTAATTGAGCACATGTAAAATTGGATGAGAAAATATTTTACAAAAAGACTGGTCCATAGGAAAAAGGAATTAAATACACATGCATTATTTGTGTGGTGCAACAGATACTTGCCTGCCTTAATTTATCACCCACAATCCACCACATCCAACTGTACAGTTTGCAAGTCATTTAACTGCCCATCTCTGGTGGGAAAGAAACACTCGACTTGTTACTTGCAACGTTTCCTAGCAGTAACAAATGGTAGCATTTTAAATGTCACTGCAAAGGCATAAACTTTAATACAAAATATATTAAATCCCCGCAGCCACGGCTACCGTACACACACTTGGAGTCCAGAATAATCCCGGTTCAAGTCGCGGCGCCCACCTTGAGCTCGATGCCGCAAGAGGCGAGACGCTCGCGCAGCCGGTCGCACGCGTCCAGCAGCGCGCGACGCTCAGCCCGGGCACCTCGGCGCTTCTCCTGCATGACGTCCCCTGCCAATGCGAAGTCGCGCACCTCACTGCGGAATGCCACCACGTGGTCCAGCACGGCCGCCGGAGGCCCCGCGTCGACCGCCGCCACCTGCTTGCCGTGGTGCCACCAACGTTCATAAGGGACCTTTAACCTCACCGACGACAGGTTTAACAAACGAAGAGGTGCATGGGACGACTCACCCACACCCCCTCCCCGCGATTTGACATTGTGGCGATTCTGGGTGGCCCTGCGATTTACGAATCGATTCAGTATTGTCTGTTTTTACTGTCATGGTATTCTCTTTGTTTCAGTTTTATTTGTGCAGTTTAGTTCATTAGCCTGTATGAAACAGCATATAGTTTGTATAAATAATATAGTCTCAAGCACATGATTCAATTCATGCACCGTAATTACATGCCTACAAAAAACTGTGTATGTCAGTCCTGTATGTGAGCCCCCACACCCTGACAGACAAATAATATACTGTCACCATTATATAGAAAGAGGTAGAGCAGTGGTTCCTGCGCTGCGCAAATATTGTACACGTATATCCATTTTGCCAATCCACTGCTGGATGATGGCCTTCCCATGCCGTGTGAATTGCAAGAGCTATTTGACCATACTTCACTACACGAGTCAGTGCTGGTTGGTGAATGCGGACAGCATGGGTCTTAAGAGCATACAAGCACATTTTCAACATATTTCAAGTATTGTCGTTTGCAGCCCATTACAAAGGCCCACAGCCTCTACAACCTATTATGCATTGTGGTCACCGGTCCAGTCTCAACCCTGCATGGCTTCTGGGCGATTTCATCATAGGCTTAGAGTACATTTAATTTGTACGATAACCAAAGCAGAAACACTTGCTGTATGACAACAATCCCCCATGTAATCCTTTAACAGACTGTCGGGCAAGTGCTGTTAGCGAGGACCTGTTCAGGATGGTACAACGCACGAGGGATGGTATGGCCACCACCACAAACGACTGCCTTGGTCTCCCCAGTACTGATGCATCGCACCAGGTAATCATTTAAGGTCGAGTCGACATAGGTGAGGCCCAGGACCGATTCTGATTATCGCCACCGAAGTTGGTCATGGCCATGAATCGAACATGGGTATCCGATTTGGTATTGAAGTGCGCGGACCACTGCGCTACTGTTCCCCACACACAAAAACACAACTCCAGAGAGGGTCAAACCCTCACCTGGTAACAAAATTATGTTTACAATGTGTACAGTGCACTTTACATCACACATAACCCTATAGGGAGGACATGTTCTTGAAGATGCTATGACCTATACAACAGCACATTTATAAAGTGACCATTTGTTTGCTAAAAATTATGCGTCAGATATTAAAATCGGCCAAGTACACACATTGCAAAAATGAGGATTTAATGACAAATTTATGGTTAAATCTCCGCTGCATGTTATAGTCACAACACTCAAGAGTGAAAGAGAATTAAAGAGCTGTGTATTGGGGGTGATTGTGGCACCTGTGCGTCACTGAGCTGGAGTCCCCACGTCTCCATCATCCGCTCGATGAACGCGGCGATTGCGCCCAGCACGCTGGGGCTCCGTACTGCCCCCACCACCTGCAGGACAGAGCGGTGACATCATCCAATCTGAAAATAATCCAGATACAATCTGGAAAACGTTCCTGAAACAGTACATAAACTTAGGCAAAGTACACAAACAATGTGGACACAAAGAAGCAATACAAAACAATCCAAGCACAATCTGGATTTACCAAGGACAGAAACCATCCCGATTGTCCTGATACAAACCAGAAACAATCCATATGTAATCCAAATGCAATCCAGAACAATTCTGACAGAATGAAAAAAAACTACGTAAAAACACTCCAGAAACAACACACATGGACCTTATGGCGGTACCCCGGGGTCACCATAGTACCCCGGCTCTCGCATAATGTCCGTGATGCAGTCATTTTTAGTCTGTTGATGGTCGGCGATGCGGCAATCGACTCATCTCGACGAGCTGTACACGATGCACCACTATGATGCGTACGAGCGTTCAGGGTTTTGGCATAATCGTCCTTGCTGCGTTTCGACATCGCGGAGTATGGCACTGATTTCGGATGGATTGGTACCCCAGTCGCGGAGTTAAGTACACCCCTGGAAAAAATAGTGTCCCAGAAATAAAATATTTAATTGCCTCGGCCATTTTTTATTATTTGGTACCCCGGGGTACCGCCATAAGGATCCTATAATAACATCTAGACACAATCCCAATTACACCAGAAGCAATCCGGTAACAATCCAGAAACAATCTGGATATAGTTTGGGAACACTCCAAATAAGATCCAGAAAAAAAATCTAAACACAATCCAGACATAACCCAGCTCACCAGCGCTCGCCCTGGATTTGAGCTCGTCCTTAGCACGTGCACTGCTATTGCTGAATCAAGACCACTGCGAGTTGGTTGAATTGGCTAGTGTTAAGTCACTGGGTTGTTGGAAGGCAAGTAGATCTGATTACCGGGATGGCTGTCTGCATCTGCCTGTGCGCGTGCTGCACCAGCGTGATGAGGGCACCGATGGCACGCGGTGTATCCATGTCGTCAGCCAGCGCCGCCCGCACCGCGGCCCGTGCCTCCGCCAGCCTGCACGGGACACACGCAACACACGGTCGGCCAGGCTAACACGGCCGCTTATCTACAACGTCAATACCATCACGAGCGGCACAGTCATGATGACCAGCACCATCAGCAACCCGACTACCACCATCACCAGTGACACTTACGCAGCCACCAACATATCAACGTCACCGCGGACACCACCACCCTTATTGACATACAACACAGCTACCTTCACGGTTTGGACATGTTTTGTTTGTTGTAGTACGGAGTTAGACTGATGGCCTTAATCTAAGTTTTCTTGTGGTTGTTGTTGTTGTTTGACTTGCATCCCACTGGGATTTTTTTGCACACAGCGTTGGTGTACGGTGCTTTTTTCAGGAATATTTTGCTGTTTTTTTCATGGATTTTCTGTTTGCAATGTCACATAGTCACTTTAAGATGTTTTCTTGTTCGTGTTTTTGTTTGTTGTGGTTGCACCCAATTCAAGAGCCGAATGGCTCATAGGACTATACCAAAATAAATGAACTAAATGAATTGAACTGAACGGTCACCATCACCGCTGATGCTTACACTATCATCACCGACATGACTGCCACCAAGCCCAGCACTCCATGTTAAACTGTGACGCCTTAACAAAACAATGCTCTGATAAAACAAGGTGAGGGGCCAGTGCAAACAGGTGTGCCTCCTACAAGGGAGACCTGGACAACATGGATGTTGTGCTTTCCAGTTCCCACTATTGGCAACAGCTGAAAGGATATGCTTGAAAAACCAGTGGTAAATTATCCACACTTAACGCTACATTAGACTGAACCATACTTTGCCTTTAAGCAAAAGGAAATTGGGAACACACCGTTATTATTTACATGTATTACTGCTCGTCCTGTATTACTGGAAGCAATTTGTGCTACCAATACTGAAAATGTCATTTTCATAACCTTTGAATAAATTAAATGACAACAAAAATACAATTATGAAATGAAGATGCAGCCACATACAAAATAACAGAAAATTAATTTCTGGAACAGTGCCCCGCTGCTATTCCAGGATTTAAGGAAATCTCTGTAATGCACTCTGTTTCATTATAATCCCACACCTTGGCTGGAAATAAAACTACCAAAATAAATAAAAACATTAAATACGACACTGCAGTGACACTCGTTTATGTGCCCAAATTAATACGAGTATGGTCCTCTTAATAACTTCAAATTTCCATTCTTGCCAACACTAAACAAACCAAATTCAATTTACAGCCAAGTCAAGAGACGAACCACAGCTGAGCGGAATGCTGTGCACATCTCTCCTTACTCAATATTCGGCATTGCCTTTGTATTCTGACAAAGCTCACTCCAGCTCCTGCACTAAAGTAGATACAAAAACAGCCATCAAGCAACCACTGCTTGGCCCGGCCAGCGGCGCAAAGCAACCGGTGCCTTGATGCACTTTGCCATCTCTGTACTCATTTAAACAGACCCCGTTGAGATGATGACAAAGTATCAAATGTGAATGTAGTTATCTATGGAAATGTTAACGTTTATGATATTGTGATAATTAACTTTTTTTTAAGTATGAATAACTTGTAATAAGTAAGACTTTTCTGTCGCTGTTGTGCTTTGGCCGAGTCAGCCTTGACAGGTATCTGTCGAGCTCAATGGGCTTTACCGAGGAATTAACTTTTCATTTGTTTCTGCGTCCCAGCGTGCAGCGGATCCACATTTGCCCGAGAGGTCACAAAATGCGGTGAAAGCGCAACCAGATGTTTGGATGACACTGCCACGAGCCTCAGGAAATAAAATCACCCGTGAACTCAGTTCAGTAGAATATGTCTGGTGACACAGGAACATTAATTTAAGCCCACCGTGCGTAATATTAAATGACGCATTTTTTTCAAATGAGTTGGTAAGCCACCAAAGTTAAATTCCTTGCCTGATGATGCTCCAGAGCAGACAGTACAATTCGGAAACATCAAGTATCATCAGAGCTACGAGACTCAACTCATCAAACCCCTGGCAAAGTGGCGCAGTGACAAACACACCAACCAACGAGTCAAGCGCGTGCAGTAATTACGATTCACACAAGTGACATCGAATATGCTGCACATGCACTCATCATTTTGCCAAAGGTCACTACTTCCAGTAATTTGCTGTTGTGGTTTAGAAAATAATTTTAGGCACCAACTGGGAAATGTATTTATTTATCATCAATCAACTTTATCCAATTCATGAACTGTTTAATTAAACAACCCGTATGCGGATACAGTAACCAAATCTCACGGGGACATGGGAGTAGAGCAATAATACGACATTTTCCCATAAAGGTCCAAGTCTCATGACTGGTTTTCAGGAGAGTCCTGCTTTGGGATGCTTAGCCAATTCCTAATTATTACTACTTTCTTTCATATAGAGATATATATTCGGGCAGGGATCTCATATTATGTCAATCTTCTTCGTCCACACATTAATTCCAAATATAAGGTTTCTATTTAGTCGAAGATATTGTTGTGAAATGCAGAAAATTCACATCACTCACACGTGTACTTTTTACAAAACTATGATTTAAAAATCCTATTTTACGCTATCGTTAAAAAAGCAGAGAATCTTCCGCAAGAAAACGCCACAGTGGTATAGCGTGCGAAATGATTACATGATGCGCATCATTCAAAAAACCAGAAGTACACGTGTTAAGACGCAAGAACATACATAATAACACTACTACCACGAATAACCATTAGATTTAAAACACAAAGAAAAATAAACACTTTCAGAAAATAATGTATTAAAGGACTAGGCATCGCTGCAAGTTACCCAAGTCACACTCGACCATGTTTAGAATTCTTAAGACTTAGTGTAATTTCCAAAGACTCAAATAGCTCAGGAAAAGCAACTTATAAAAGGACCTAAGAGAAGCAGGAGAAACGTTCAAAGTCACCCTGCTCAGCTGCCTTTTTAGGAGTGCTTTGCATGAGGGAGTAAACCAGAGTATCCGGAGAAAGCTTATGCATGTAAAGGGATGACACTCGAAGAAACATACAGACAGGCTCATAAACCCTTTTGCAAAACTTCCATCTACTGGCCATCTCGCAGCCCAGTGAGTTCTGGAGTTTCACTACTCTGTGTAGACCACCAACTCTTGCCTCCAAAAGCGCCACTACACCTGGCAGTTTGAGAACCCAGCACAAGTTTAATATATTACAATGTGGGTATTTCATATTCTTAGCTCTTTCGGTAAAGTCACGTTGAAGGGAAACAATAAAATAATAAAATATATATAAACAATAAAAAATTCTCACGACGTTTCGACCATAACACAAACGGTCGTCATCAGGTGTGTCGGTTTGCATAAATTTATTTATTTTTAAACGTTGTATTTTATTTATTTATAAAAACCGTCATCGCCACGCACAGCGATTTGGCAGTTTATTTAGAAGGACTAGTCCATCTATGTTCTGAAAAGAGGAGGGGGGAGACGAATTTTTTTTAATGTATGCTGTCTGAAAGCCACTGTAAGCGTGAACAATCAATTAAGACCTGAAATGGTTTATCAAATCTTTCCAATGATTGTTAAGCCAGAATCCATCTTCTCGGTTGAAATTGTCTCTGTGCTTGTATATGTGGATAGCCTCATGAACGAATCTCTCATGGTAGCCAGATGGCTTACAAAGAACCTCTGTCTTGGAAAAGTCAATGTCATGTGAGCCTACTGAATTATAACAATGATCTGGCACGGCCGAGGTGTTGGTCCTACCGTGTTTAAGGTCTGCTTTGTGTTCACGAATGCGGTCCGAGACATGGCGTTTGGTTTCTCCAATGTAACTACTACCACAGAGGCAACTTAGTTTGTAGACACTAGGGTACTGTATGTCCGGAATCACATCTTTTACAGACGGAACCAGATCACGGATTTTATGTAATGTGTTGAAACGGACCTGGAGCTTGTGTTTATTCAAGATTTTGGAGATCTTTTTTGTGATCCCCGCATTGTAGGGTAAAGTGATGGTTTTGAAAGGCTCCTCAAGAGGGTCCTTCTTCATGGTTTGAGTGATAGCTTTGCGGATTGTATAGTCGGAGTAACCATTAGCCTTAAGAGCTTGGTGTACGTGCTTGAGTTCACTGCCTATGTGTTCCTCTGTGGTAGTAGTTACATTGGAGAAACCAAATGCCATGTCTCGGACCGCATTCGTGAACACAAAGCAGACCTTAAACACGGTAGGACCAACACCTCGGCCGTGCCAGATCATTGTTATAATTCAGTAGGCTCACATGACATTGACTTTTCCAAGACAGAGGTTCTTTGTAAGCCATCTGGCTACCATGAGAGATTCCTTCATGAGGCTATCCACATATACAAGCACAGAGACAATTTCAACCGAGAAGATGGATTCTGGCTTAACAATCATTGGAAAGATTTGATAAACCATTTCAGGTCTTAATTGATTGTTCACGCTTACAGTGGCTTTCAGACAGCATACATTAATTTTTCGTCTCCCCCCTCCTCTTTTCAGAACATAGATGGACTAGTCCTTCTAAATAAACTGCCAAATCGCCGCGCGTGGCGCTGACGGGTTTTTATAAACAACTAAATAAATAAATACACCGTTTAAAAATAAATAAATGTATGCAAACCGACACACCTGATGACGACCGTTTGTGTTATGGTCGAAACGTCGTGAGAATTTTTTATTGTTTTAAATATATTTTATTATTTTATTGTTTCCCTTCAACGTGACTTTACCGAAAGAGCTAAGAATATGAATTACTGCAGTCACGAAAGCTTTAAATCAAAATGTGGGTATTCTCCAAGAAACCCAGTTGCTTCCCAATCACAACAACAAAAAATGGCTCCAAGAAGACATGGCCAAACCTATCAATCGGGGCTCAGGTGGCGTTAAGCACGCTGCGAGTGGAGGGCCAGGTTCACTCTGAGGTGTGGGGCGTTGAGGCGGTACCTCTCCCAGAGGAGGGCCTCGTCAATGGGCCTCGTGTGCAGAGTGCCGGCAACGTAGGCGCGCGCATCCGACAGAAACGAGGACAGCGAGTCCAGCACGTCCACCGCCGCTCGCACGCTGTCCTCGCTGTACTCCACGGCTGTTGTGACACCAGCAGCAGCAGTAGCAGCAGCAAAAGCAGCAAAAGCAGCAACAGTAGCCAGCACCTCCGATTAGCGCGGTTGGTTGGCTACGTACGATGCGAAAGAAGTTCAACATACATCACCGCAACAGTAGCAGTAGTTGCAGCAGCAACAGTATCAGAAGTAAAAACATTTACAGAAGCAGCAGAAATAGCATCAGTGGTAAGTAACAGCAGCAGATCTACAACATCAGTATGTAGCATAAACGTTTGGTCAAAAGGGAATTAATAAATAACCACAGACATTCGCCACTAAGCTACAGTGAAGTCATTGCAGTGCCTGTGCCAGGCGAGGTCGTAAGAGGCAGGGGACTTGGACTTCAGAAAAGGTGTTATAGGGTAGCAGACAGAGGAGACTGGCAGCAGCAGTTACAACTATGCTTCCCACATAAACCAGGTTCTCAAGTGTATCAGAGGTTGATGCTCTCAGCCTGATCACCAATGACTGCACAAAAAAAACCACTACATTACATTTGGTTGCACATTAAATGTCTCTAAACTCCAGATCTGCTAACATTACTCTGTAAGAAATAGGAGAGTGCTGCCCTCTACTGGGCAGATCAGAGGTCCTTTACAAGGATCTCAGAGGTAGCTCTGTGATATTCGCTTCCGTGGGCCATTCTCGAACACGAAGAAGGTTTGCACTACTCTCCGAGAGAACCAAATGGATACTTTGTCCCATGGCGGAATACGAAGAGAACAATCAGAATAAAGCTGGGGAAAATAACTAAAAACTGCTCCCCACTGTGCCAACTCAATAAGTTTTAGCAGAATGCAGTCAACAACCACAGCAACCTTTATTCACTCAACCACTTCACTCACAATGGAAGTGGATTTTGCAGTTCAAAAACATAACCTTAGACTTCATTACACTCAGCGTATATTGATATGGAGATCATTTGATCGGTAATATAAAATGTGAAAAGTGTTGTTTAAAATATATGGATAAGAAAAGTACAAATTTAAGAAGCGATCGAAATTTATTGTATGAAAAAACTGCAAAATATCTGTTACTTCGGTTATAATGTGTCGGTCTTTTCTTAGAACAAAAAAGGCAAAGGTCCAGCCCTGCAATTTCTCGCTCAAACCACTGCTAGCAGAAGGGCCTCAAATTGCTGACCCGACGCCCATACTGGACATGTGTGAAAGAGCTTCATAGCTCATCAGATTCCTCCTCCACTCTAAACAAAGATTTTGATTCTGAACATGAGGGAGCTCTAGAGCCCCTATAGAAGGCAATTTCACCTACTCTTCCATGCTTGCCAGACGTTTTTAACTGGAGTACCCACACTTTTCCCCACCACACGAGATCTAATTCAGCTGTGGTGTACCTATTTTATACTGCTGGCGAGTGGCATTTTAGAAACTTTCCAACTGTTTCCAATAACACGCCGGCAAACCGAACCAACGACCTGTGTATTTGCAAGGCCGGTGTTTGGACTATTACACCCGAGCCATCTCCTTCTTAGAATAATAACACGTCTTATTCCTAAGAATCACGATAAATATGTCGACTGATTTTTGGTCTTCAGAGTCTTACTGGCACCAACGAGTGCAGCCGGTTTCATCAACGCGTGACAAATCCACTTTATGATTGAATACTATTGGCAAGAATGCATAATGCTCTGGCAACATAAAATACTGAAGGCACAATCACTTTTGGAAGATATGCATTCGGAAAGCTAGCATTGATAGCAAACAGTACACTGTGTCATCTCCAAACTAAACTGACAGCCCTTCAGATATGTATTACAAAAGCACGACTGCCAAGGTCGCACTGAAAGCCCAAGTTATGCAAAACAAAACCAATAAACAAGTGAAATGTTTCCAACATCAGCAACATTAACATTGCTACTACTTTAAACGGGCTCGTAATTATGTACAACATACTCAAGTACTATGCACCTCCGATTAACATGGTTGGCTACATAAAGTTCAACATACATGTTAGGCGTGAGCATATACGTACACTGTAAATATATACAACTGTGTATTTATGCATGTGCATTTTCCCTTTTAACAATTGTCAGATACTTGTGTGTATGTTTAAAGTATATGTTTAAAAAATCAATAAACTCACGGGAACGGTATCTGGACATCAGACAGAACATGCGGAAGTGATTGGCCGTGTTATTCTGAAGGAACTCCTGGAAATCATCACACGCAAACCAAGAGGGCGAGAAAGAACGAGGCAGTGAGACGGCGAGAGAGAGAGCACGCAGGGCAGACATCGCTGCCAAACAATGATTCAAGCACGAGGATAATACCACGTCCGCCAGCGAGCTGCATCATATAACCAAGTGGGAGGCTTTCCTGCCCATGCCACGCTACGATCCAACTCGAACATCCCCAGCCCTGCATCATATAACCAAGTGGGAGGCTTTCCTCCCCATGCCACGCTACGATCCAACTCGAACATCCCCAGCCCCACGCTCCCAATTCAGCACAAAAAAACTATTGCATTATCTATTTCAGAAAAACCGCCACGTTTATTAAAAAACTATAATGCATGTGCACGCTGAACTAATTCCAATTTTCCATGCGCGCTCATGCGTGAGTTACTACGCCTGGTTGGCTTTGGAATTCCACGATCCCCAGCAAGCCCTTTGTCTTCTGTGTAAAAACTAAGTAGCTTTGCAATAAAACAACCACTTTCTGAGAAGCAGTTTGTGGTTAACCAATTAACAAACAAAAAACACTTAAGGTAAAAAGGCTTAAAGGATTGCACCTACTTTTGTGATACACATAAGCAATGAGTGACGTGATTACAAATAAAATATCTGCAATAGGCCCTGAACCAACTATGTGTCAATTACTGGTATTGGCTGGCAAGTTTAATTGTAAACGATCGCACTGAGTAAAGAAACTAGCCCACAAGGGTCAATCTACCTTGACGGTGATAAAGTTCTTGAGAGACTTTGACATTTTCTCCTCGCTGCCCTTTAGGTGCAGATGTCCTGTGGAGGTGGAAGGCCACAACACCACACATTCAAACACATATTGATGTTCTTTATTTATTCAGGAAAGCCTCACCAATTGTCAAGACTTTCAAGAGGGCACTGATTTGGGATGTATGAGCAGAATCCATTTTTGAAGGAAACTGGAACATCCACAGAAAACTCCCTTGCCAATAAGGAGAAGAAGAAAAGTCAGAACAGATGTATTTTATGAACCCACTTCCTGTAATTCCACCTCCTGGCCATTTTGCAGTACAGCGGATTTTTGTATGTTGGTATGCATGTATATATGTTTAACTTATTTCACACCACACGTAACCAACCATGCTAATTTCACAAACCTGTGATCCACCAAAATTTCCTCCAAAAGTGTGACATTTCACGCATTCATCGCCACTACTTGATTTTACAAGATCACGACAGGGAGGCCTTTTTCCAACAGTGAACTAATCATGGCTGACGATTATAATGATAAAAGTCACTTACGTTCACGTTTTCCAAAAACAGCGGTTTAATTAAAAGCGCTGTAATGTGCTAATGACAGAGGAGCTGTGTACCGGAGTGCATGAAGTAGTTGGCCCACTGCTCGCAGCCATGGTACGCCTCACTCTGAGCTATCTCGTTCTCATGGTGCGGGAACTCCAGGTCGATGCCTCCCGTGTGGATGTCGAGCTGGCTCCCAAACACCAGGCTGTGCAAACATAACAACCGTCCACTGGCACGCGAGTCCCACTGCCATGTCGCACCACCTCGCTCAAGGAGCTTGTCTACCATGCCCATTGCTGATTCGCATCAAGAGGGATTTGCGGGGCAAGGACTGTAAGTAAACACGCTGCTGGCCATGCACACAGCATTTCTCTCTCACTCACGCCTTATGGTATAGTTTAATCAACTTTTTCTCATACTCTTTGGTTCTTTCGGTAAAGTCACGTAGATAGAAAATTAACAAATCACGACGTTTCGATCACAACTGCGTCAGCAGTTCTCCTGCTGTGTTTGTCTCACCTGATGACAGTTGCTTGTGTTGTGATCAAAACGTCGTGATCTATTAATTTTATATCTACGTGACTTGACCGAAATAACCAAAGAGTATGGATTCCTGCAGTCACGAAAGCTTCAAATAAACTTTTTCTCAGGTTACACTTAAAAATAAGCTCACTATAAAGTCGGCTGAACTCTAATTTTAGCACTTATTAATGAAGATCAATTTCCAAACGGTCTACATTAATGTGTTAAATTCACAGGCCTATTGTGAACCTCCTCCATTCAACACAATGAAAATTACCATCAATACTACTCACGGACGATAGCTTGAGCATTCGCTCTGTGCCCCTAAACATTCACCACTACTGCCGTAGATATCGAGTGTCCAGGCCCAAGTGCTGAGCTAAAAAGAAGACAATTTGACATGGGGCTACATTTAATTATTTGCGCCAAGGGCCATACCAATCATGATAGCCACTGCACCACTAATTAAAAAGAAAATCCTTCAATTTAACAAAACGTTTCATATAACATTTTTAAACAATTCCTTATGCAAAAAAACAAATTATTCCCATTAAAATTGCAGAAAGTCCATAAAAACAATCAAAACATAGTCAAAGACATAGTACCGTTGGCATGGGCGCTGGTGCAAGGAACAAAATAGAGCCTTTCCAATTTCTCTCCTCTTTGTCACCCGGCGCCTGGGTTCATCCAGCCCATGGGCACCGGTGCAGTTGCGTTATCTGCACACTCCATGGCTATTCCACTGCCAAAGACGGTGCCTAGCTGTGACCGTGTCTGCAGGTTCGTTTAATTGGCGCTGGTGCAAGGAACAAAATAGAGCCTTTCCAATTTCTCTCCTCTTTGTCACCCGGCGTCTGGGTTCATCCAGCCCATGGGCACCGGTGCAGTTATGTTATCTGCACACTCCATAGCTATTCCACTGCCAAAGACGGTGCCTAGCTGTGACCGTGTCTGCAGGTTCGTTTAATTGGCGAGTGAGATGATGCGCGGGATCATCGGGTGCGATTCAGACCAGACCTAGCGATGGCCGAGCACTCGATGTGCCACCCAGGTCGGCCCGGCCCCCACGGTGAGTCCCAGGATGGCTCGGACGCCTTTGCCGCTTTCCACAGCGCGAAGTCTCTCATGCCACGTTTCTCGCCCTCCTCTGTGGATGCACGAGAACACCACACGCTCTATGAAAATTGGACCCCAACACCGACGACAAGGGAAGAACAAACCAAGTTTACACAACTTTACCTGCCTCGGGTGTGACGTCTGTGAGGACCCTCCGTAGCCGTCCGTAGCGCTCCCCAATCGACTGCACGTCAAAGTACACGTTGCCTGCGCAAAACAAAGGTATAAACAGCTCAATGAAAGATTATTCACTTAAAAACTGTCTAGGCGCTGCACCCTTGCAATTACTTATTCACGCCACTGTCGGCAGAAGGGCCTTCACTAGAGGGAGCTCAAGATAGCCTCTCTAAGAGGGTATTTGGCCAACTCTTCCACACTGGCCATGTTTTGGAAGAGGCGGGACTACCCACACTTTATCTTTCATACACGACCTGCCAAATAACTAACACAAATAGCAGCAAATGTCTATTATTTGCGAAATAGTAAAACTACTTAAAAGTCTGTTAACGAGCAGCTCAGAGATACTGCGTTCAGCTATAACCACAGTTGCACTCATCTAATTACTCAAGATAACTTAGTTCACGCTGGGCTGAGAAAATCCCTTTACACCACCTGGAACGGTTAAGAGACTCACAACTACTTTACACCTTATTGACTAAACAAGGCGAGCCAGAAGAAATATTACATTCTTCATTCTTCTCAGTGTAAACTCTATATTTTTTTTACTTAAAACTTTCGTGACTGCAGGAATTCACATTCTTTGGTTCTCTTGGTAAAGTCACGTAGATAGAAAAAACAATTTTAAAAATAATAAATATTAAAAACAATAACTCACGACGTTTCGATCGGAACACAAACGGTCGTCATCAGGCGGAGAGATGACGACCGCTTGTGTTGGTATCGAAACGTCGTGAATTTGTTTTTTTTATTTTTACCATTATTCAAAATATATATATTTTCTATCTACGTGACTTTACCGAAAGAACCAAAGAATATTTTTTTTTACTTTAATTTTAACTACAGCATATCATTCAAAAGATAGCGGTCATTTATGTATCAACAAAAGTCGCTCATTCAAGTGTCCCGCAATCGAACGTTTTATCAATTGTTTTTTGATGAGTGTTTTTTCAACAAAACCAGAGTATGTGGAGAATTGCCATGCATAATAACAAATAATACCTCAAGGTCCACAACCAAGCGGGTTTCAGAGTTTCACAAAGCTATGATCCACCAACACTTGACTCCAAAATGCTGACTATAGGCATGCACAATCGCAACAAACCTGGAAACATTCAACATAAAAAGTAGCAAAACATAAATAATAAAAAATATATTTCTTAGTCTTTTCAGAGACCTGGCTAACTATAATGCAGTCGTGATCTTGAATATTATACGTGGATATTATAAGTACACGAAAAATAGTTGAGTATAGTAATTGTACGTCATTTGCAGCAGCAGCTCGCATGACTTATCCAATGGGCCTTAATTTGTAAAATAAAATAAAAAGCTTAGTTTTATTTGTATATTTTTTAAGTGGTTTGTTTACCTTGTATACAATTTACACTCCTAAAGTGTTTTTTCATTATTATTTATCATTGTAACGTTCTGACCTGCCCCTATTGGAAATCTGTGAAAAAGAGCTTTATAGCTCATCGGATTCCTCCAGTATAAATAAATGTTCCGATTCTGACTGCTGGATGAAGTGTCCCCACACCGACACCATGCCTTGTGGTCTTGGGATGCCACAACCCATCCCGCTCCAGCACGTTAACCGATAATCTCATCGCTCCTCCTCCAAGGTGGTCATCCACTTGGGCGAGTTTCCTCCTTTACCTGCCAATGTCTACAGTCTCATGTCGGCAATTATCCTTTCAAGCAATGTATCCTGCCCAAGCCTACTGACTTCCCTTAACAGGCAATATGAGGTCTCTAATTTATATCTGTTTCCAAAAGAGGTTTTTTTTGGGTTAGATCGCGTAAATATAATTGTGTCGTTAAACCCGCCACCACCCAACACAGCCAATTAGTAAGGTTTGTCACGTAAACAAAACGTTCCAATTAGTTACTATTTCAGCACACTTGTGCGTTGTAGAGTAAACCCACAACATTAACAATTTTGGTACTCTCCAACACACCGGTGTGCTGAACTAGAACCTAATTGGCATGCTTTTTTTACATGCCAAACCTTACTAATTAGCTGTGTCAGGAAGTGGCAGGTCTCACAAAACTTATATTTACACGATCTAACCTAAAAAAAAACCTCGATTATGGATGTTTGTCGCGAACCCCTACGTGTGTATTAAACTGAGATATGTGTTCATCTTGCTGAGTTTTATGTATTCTACCTTTCGTTAGGCGTTTTAATGCCTTGGAATTTTCCGTTTTTGTTTGGCATTTTCAGATGAATAATAAATTGTAATAATACGTTTTTTTCCAGCCATGTCCATTGACTTCTGGATGAAGACCTCACCACGATACGTTAATCATGGGGTTGCTGACCATATTTCACCACACTGGTTGCTTAATGGGGGAGCCGTAGATTGAATCAGAAATCGCGCACCACTGTTAGCCGCAGGAAAAAATAAAGCTCAGGTCGCTGGGTTCAAATCGCCTTGCAATAACCACTGCTCTTATTGCAATATAAACGTACTAAACGCACAAAACCTACACCACGCTTATTATTATTGAGCACAAGTGTTGTGCTTCTAAACATCACGCGGTCCATGTGTGGAGGGGTCACGCGGCCCTGTGTTTGTGTGCGCACACGTGTATGTGTGTTCTTACCTGACGGTGTGACGTACGCGTGGCCCTTCGCCACGATGCGCTCGATGAAGCTCACGATGGGCCCCACATTGTCGGTCACGCGCATGTACACGGCGGGTGGCAGCACCTGGACCGCGCACACACACAGACAGGCACGCACACATCGTTCCACTCCAAAAGCAGCTCAGTGTTTAAGGGATGATGTGTGACTGGAGTCTACATCATTGAATGAATGACTAAACAATGCCCCTTGGATCAAGTGAAGAGGGTTGCTGTAAAATGTATATCAATACCCAGTCAACCTCTGTTTACTGGAAGCAGTGGTCACTCACTTTCCCTTTGGTGCCCTTTATATATGGAAGTTTATTTATATGTATATCCACACTGTTCACACTGACCACCAGTTAAGGCTCTATTTACGACTATTTTAGTCTTCTTTGCTTCAGATTAAGTATATCTCAAATTTTAAACAAATCCTATTATTAATTAAAGCTTCTGTCTCTACCCGAATCTCTAGACACTCTGGCATATGCAATTATCAACAATATACCATAATAAAACCGACATTTACATATGCGATCCATCAGCTGTGAGACACACGGACAGGCTCATCCAAGCATCTTACGTTGAGAGAAGCCATATCCTGCTTGAAGTCTTCCTCATACATTCGAGCTAAGACGTCCGGTGTCATGTTCAGCTGCACACCACAAAACAAATTACAGCAAATTCGTCGCACTATGAAAGGGAGATCTTTAAAACTACCACATTTCTGAGAGGCCCAACCAGGATATGTTGTAAGATAGCAGCTGCTTCCTCCATCAGCCGCGCGTACTTTAACATCGCCATGCCCACTCAATCACTGCACCCACCCACATTGAGCATCTTGGCTCATTCTGGTATCGGCCCCGCCTACTAATCATAGGCCCCCCTACTCCTCTGACAACCCCACCCACTATTAAGGTACCCCTGCCAAGTGCCAATAACATGAGTTAAGCACGAGGTCAAAACATTTGAATGTGCGATACCTAAGTAATATTTTAAAAAAACCTTTTTTCAAAACACGCTTTAATGAAATGGACCGTACTCGTAATGGAAGAACTCCACGACTCCAGGAAGTGGCCCCGAAGCTTGCCATCACGCAAAGGACCGTAGCCAATTACAGCCAACGTCAGTTGACCGTGGACAATTAGAGCCAAGCCGAAGCATAACATATAAAAAATGATTTAAAATATGTTTATTTTTTATGATAGAATGTAGTATTGTCATCAGTATGACATAAGCATACCAAGTTTGCAGTCGCTACCACATTTGGAAGTGGGTTAAAATTGAGTTACAAGATTTGAGGATACAACAGTGAGTTAATAAAAAGCGTGTAAAAAAACTAACTGTGCCAACCAGACCAGGTGTGTTTGTCAACTTTAATGTTTTTTGACAACTGTGCAATGGTCTCGGGCGGCCGAATCAGTTACGCAGCTCAACATGTCGTGACGAGCGAAAGCAGGCAGGCCCTTCCCATAAATCGCGTATGCCCACACACCTCCCGAGCGCGCTTGATGATCTTGTCATCGATGTCCGTTATGACCATCGCCATGACGACATCGACGTCGAATACAGCGGTGAGGATTCTCCGGATGATGTCAAAACGCACGTACGAGCTGCATGGGGAACATGTCCCGAAGGTTAAAACCTCCACAAGCAGGACTGAATGTGCGCATGCATCCTTGTATTAAACCTACTACCAAACCTATTATTAGCACCACGGGTAGTTGAGTTGTGGCCATCTTCTGCACAGAGATTTGTTTTTCACTGATGACAACCAAATAACTAATGTTCATCTCCCCCTGAAGATGGTAAAAAAAATGTTTTATATGGAAGATGCCGATATGGACTGTTTTAGTTTCCTTTATGCTCCAACAAGTGTCATAGATCTGAGCAGAACAGTTTTGGAAAATGTCATGGGTATATGTGCATATCTCCTAGAAACAATGTATAATTAGTCAAGATGAAGACAAGATTTTACAACTATACATTTTTTGTTATATTTTGGATGCAGTAAATGTTAAACAGATTTGTTTTAATTCCTATAATTGGGGTCATTACCTCTAATAGAAAACCTGTAATGGCGATGTTAACATCAGGGCAATGAACCAGGACAGATCCTAGATTTTAATTTTGGCTCAAGACACCTGTAACTAAACTGGTTTCTCAAGTGTAGCTTGGTCACCAATGACTGCACACAAAAAATGCATCACGTTAAATTAAATTCAATATATTCAAGTTCTGCAAATTTAACATTTTGGTCTGATTGACTTGCACTAAACTCTCTATGCAGGGCATACCAAATTTGGGCCCCTATAGTGTGGATGCATCGGTTCGAAAAAAGGGTGATGGTGATAGACTGCTCTCTCGCTGTGAGAGTTGCAACATTAACTTTATTTATCTTTACAATGCAGATAGCAAAAAAGCTTGTGACATAGAGAAACGTGAGAAATGTTTCACTGAGAGGCACTACCATGCGTGTCCCAAGTGAGCGTGGTCGTAGACTGTGGGCCCACAGCTGTACCTGTCACACAGAGATCCACCTTTAAGCAATGCGAACTCTTAAGGAAAGTCACACACAGATATTCAAACACGCAGTCCTGCACCTGGCTGCAATAACAGTAGCTTCACGCGTTCTCAGCAAATGTATATTATCCATGCACCTGATACTTGTAGCTTAGTCTTATGTTATTCTGCCTTAATAAACATACACAATGACAGCTCTTTGTAAATCCATTGCTGGATCAAGGCCTCCTCACGCCACGTCGTTGATGAAGATTGTTTGATCATACTTCACCATGCTGGTCAATACGGGTTGGTGAAGGGCCGGGGAGCCAGGACCAGTTCAGACATCACTTGCAACTGATATTTGCAGTGGATGGGAATTTAACTCAAGTCACTGAGATCATAGTTCAGGGTGAAAACACTCTACCATCCCTCCCCCCCTTAATGTGCCTTCATGTATGGCTGTAATTAAGTAAACTATCAGCTGAGGACTCGTGGGTAGAGGTCACTACAGAATATTTGGTCTGCAAGAGAACCCCAATTGCCTCCCACAAAGTAACAAAAACAACGCACTTCTTTATGCCACACTTTCTGGGTTTCTAATTTAGTTTTTTTTTCTCTCCCACACATGTCTGACAGTCAACACACTTTGAATAATGCAACAAAGCTGAGTGCTAAGTTGTACACACAGTTGACAGGTGCTTTTTCGAGAACTATAACTTTTCCTTGTCCGGCCTGAAATAAAGCCTCCTGTTGTGATGGGTTTTCCTGTCTTTATCGCGACTCCTTTACAGATTTGAAATCGCAGTAATCAAGGCTACCGTACAGGAAGGTTTTGGACGTGTCTGCCTCCTACTCTTAGCAATGCTGTTGTTTATATTTGTCTGTTGGACTGACATCGACAACACATTTTAATGTCAAGTCCGACAGGAAAATTGCAGCAACCAAAAGCTATTAAATACATCTGTCAATGTACTGTATTGTTTTCTTAAACCAATTATTACAATATTAACCGAAAACTAAAAAACAAATCGATTTATGAATAATATCACGACTAAATCTTGATGGTTAAACGAATCTCTGGTGCCGTGAACCACTGCACGGTTGCCACAAAATATCTCATTGCAAGGGACTTTCGGAATTGTTGGCTTAATGGTGGTGGGGAGCAGCTTGCGACGTGGTCTAGATATCCTGAACAAAAAGGGAATTCTTAATTAACGATCCTGCAAAGGTTCGGAAAGCGTAAAAATTGCTTGCCGCAGAGATTACTACTTGTTTGGGTGGCGACCGTGTATGGTTGTTATAGGCTGCGGGTCTGCGTGGTCAGGCAACAGGAGGGCGGGCAGTGGAGCAAACCCCACAGCCCTCCTGGCGGACACGCGACCCACGACCGGTCTAGATCACCACCCCCCCACCGACCCCTATCGACCAGGCGTATTACTTCTAGATTTGAAGCTGTCGTGACTGCAAGGATCCATACTCTTTGGTTCTATTCGGTAAAGTCACCTAAACGTGACTTCGCCTCCGTGACTTTACCGAATAGAACCAAAGAGTACAGGCGTATTACATCCAGAAAACCGCGCTTCGCAATGACCCCCAACCACGTGGGGGGGGGGGGACACCCTTTTAAACACGCGGGTTGCAATGACGCTACGGGAGGGAGAAGTTTTGGGGAGAGGGGGGGGTAAGAGGAGGGGGTTAGTACCACGTGACGAGCCGGTCGCGTACGAAGGGGGGGAGGGTGGATGGGGGATTTGGGTGGCGGGGAGGAGGGGGGGGGTTAGTACCACGTGACGAGGCGGTCTCGCGCCAGCACGAGGGGCTCGCGCGCGCGCGTCAGGCCGTTGTGCACGCGCGCGCCGGTCTCGTGACCCCGCGGGCGCGTCCACTCCGCCCTCCGCCGTGGGGGGGAAGAAGGCGGCAATGGCGCCACCTCCTGCTCCGCCGCGCCTTCGTCGACGACGCCGTCCGAGGCCGACGGCGGTGGCGGCGGCGGCGGCGACGACGAACAGTGAACGACTCCAGCGGAAAGGCTGCGGCAGTGCCTCGGGGGGCGGCAGCGAAGCGCAGCGGCGGCGGTGGCCACGCGACAGAAAACGGCGGCGTCACGCCACCTTCGGCTGGCTAACATGGCCGCCGTTTTGGCAGCTTAAAGCACCAAGTAAAATAATAATAATAATGAATCGTGGGCGCTACGCAGTGACGGCACGCGGGGGTGCGAGCCGCCCCTCCCGCTCGCCCGGCCCGCCTCTCCCCCTCACGTTCCCGACGCCACTCGCACCCCTGGCCCTCCCTCCACTTCGCTCCCAACCTTATCCCCATTGGGCTAATCAAAACGCCACGTGACGAGAGGGAAAGCCAATCTGGCGCTCGGTGTTACAAAAGCAACGGGCGCAAGCTTCGCGTCCCCGCGTGTGATTGGTTAAACTGACCGTTTTGAACTCCCACCACCGCCAAACCATTTGCCACCAACCCTCGAGGGGGGGGGGGTTTTTCCTTCCCCCCCCCCGCCTCGACGTCACCGTATTAGTAGCCCCGCCCACATTCGATGTAGCGGAACCAATGGGAGGGCACGCTCGCGCGCGGCGAGTGTTTACGACGCGAGCGAGAGCGACTGAAAGGGGGGGGGGTTGGGGTAGACAGGGGGGGAGGAGGGGGGGGGTCAAAAGTGAGGGGCGGGGGCTATGGGCGAGGGGCGGGGTTTAAGGGGATTACGTAATGCGGAAGTGCTTGCTGCAAGTTGCACCATAGCAACGCGCGTCGCCCCCCCCCCCGCCGCGTGCCCCCCCCCCACCGCCGCCCGCATTCCGACACCGAGGACAAACGCCGCCTTTTACTGCGCGCTCGCTCGCTCCTCGTACACGCGGGGGCAGCTGCTGCTGCTGCTGTTGTTACTGCTGCTGAACGCTCGGCGTGCCCTTCCCTTTAACCTCCTCCTCCTCCCTCCTAAGCAGCCCAAAAACCTCAAACCGCCCACAAGCGAAACCCTCAAATAGAGCCAATGCCGCCGCCTCTACTGCACTGTACACGTTTGACGATGTTACAACAATGTCAGCGCTCGCCCTTTCGCGTCGCGCGGCTTCCTTCATACGCGGTCGTGTACACGGCGGAACGCGTATACCGCTACAATTCCCTTCCTCTCTCGCTCTCTCCTGCACGCTTTATTGTGGAAAAAAAACAAAACCCAAGCCGAGCGTCTCCTCTGTCGCGCTTATCCGCCCACCACCGTAACGAGTGGCGAGGCTCTTCCTCATGGTAATAAGCCAAGCCCACGCCTCCACCAACGCGGGCTCCCCGCCGAGTCGGCCGCCGTTGCGCTAAACATCGTTGTTTCGCATAGTGCTCGCGTTATTGTTGTGGATGTTGCGATTTGCTAGTGTGTTGGTCCGGGAATGAGGGGAACCCGGCGACGCGGATTCCCGCGCTTTCCCTTCAATCCTGCGAGCGCCGCGGCCAGAATTGACGACGACGGCGGCGGCGGCGGCGCGAGTTGACAGCCCCGCGCCCGTGTGGTGGTGGTGGTGCTGCTGCTGTTATTAACACTACAATGTGTGTATGCGCATCGTTGTCACGTCCGTCGCTTTGGTTGTTTACACTGGGGCTATATATTCATGTTCATACATTTTTTTTCGAAGGAAAATATTGGCGCGCAAACAAGAGGGAGTGGAGTTGTGGCCCCGCCCCTCGTTCCTCACCCCCCCCTCCCATTGAGCCCCGCCCCTCATTCCATTCAGCCCCACTACCGCCCCCGCCCCTTCATCCCCCACTTCCCCCCGCCCCTCACTACTTTCCCCCCGCCCCTTACCCCTTCCCCCCGCCCCTTACCCCCCTTTCCCCGCCCCTTACCCCCCTTTCCCCGCCCCTCACTACCTTCCCCCCGCCCCTTACCCCCTATCCCCCGCCCCTTACCCCCCTATCCCCCGCCCCTCACTACCGTCCCCCCGCCCCTTACCCCCTTCCCCCCGCCCCTCACCCCCTTCCCCCCGCCCCCCTGACTCACGAAATGGCGCGCACTGTCCCCCCTCCAGTGCTGTAAGCTGCTGAGGGCGGCCTCACCGCCCGCACCGCGAGCGGCGGTGACGCTGAGACGCGATCCCCGCTACCACGTCGAAGGCTGCTGTGATCGCCCACACAACCTCCCAATCCCCGACCACAAAATGCTCTTGAGTGTTGTCCGTGGGGTTTTTGTTGCGGGAGTGCGGCTGGAAAGGGCGCGCAATTTGAATGCGCCCGGGAGTTTTAACCATTAAATGGCTCTCGTGACAGCCACTTTGTATTCCCCTTCCCCCTCTTATACTTATTTAAGTGTGGTTTCAGTTGATTTAAGATACATTGACGTCTTTTTCGTTTGTTAAAACTTGTTATTGTGGGGGGCAATTTACGCCCACACCTGTGTCGTGAATGATCTGATGCACATTTTGCATAATTAACACCCTACGGTAATTATATTACTGTAGTTATTAAAGGTGACTGCGTTGGTAGCTTCATTAATTAAATGTCCAGATGTCAACTGCAAGGAAAAGTAATTTCCCAAGAACTTAAATGCATAAGCTATTAATGAAATCCACTTTAATAAATAACGTTTCGTTACATATCACATTACCAATTGATGTTCGTATCTTCCGGTGTTTATTTCAGCCATTGGCTCTAATTTTACTTTCACATAAGCTGTTACTGTCACCAATTTACTGTTTACAATCAATACACATTTATATAAGTCCAGTATAAAGAATGCATGTTGGTAATAGGTATAATGCACCGATATACAGCATTTAATTGTGTACCTTTAACCCATGTATCATTGTAAAATTTTTGCTCTGGAATTTATTTTCGTTAAAGCACAGTACATGCTGTACTATGCAAGTATTGTCCACATTGCATGTCAGTGAATGGTTAAAGACGTTCGATTAACTTCATTGCAACGACTTTTCAAACAAATTAATATCACTCAACCTTTGTGTTAATATATTTTAAGAAAACATCAGCAGCTCCTGAATGAGATCATTGCTTTGCGGTAAGTCCCATCCACGTATACCCCTCATAAAAGTAAAAATTGCGATGCATTAAGCATGCCGTTTCAATGTGCTCCTCGATATCACTGCATAGCAAAATACTACATTTGTGTAGATTTGTTAAATAAAGCGGGCTAGGGCAGGACAACGGGGACGATGAGCAAGACGAAGAATTTAGGGATGGGAAGGCCTTCAACCAGCAGTGGATAGACCACGGCTGATGATTGTTCACCAACACTGTTCTGTAGGAATGAACGCAGGCAGCTGCATTTGCTTCTGTGCATTCCCATCGTGCGTTTGAATTACAGACGAGATTTACATATACAATCGACGTACGAGGTGAAAGAAATGCGTGCATGTAATAATGCGTTCATATTAGTAGTGTTGTCCAGCAGTTGTCAACACCAGCAGTCGCATTATATCACATTATTGCTGCTGTGCATAGAGTACTTGTGCTTCGATCTGCTTTGCGGAAATGTAACTATACTACAGCACAATATCTGCTACAGTATACTCGTCAGAGCAGTTCACAGCTGCTGCGATGGAAGCGTCCTCCACTGTCTAAATACCGTGATACCGACTCAATGTGTGTTGCAGCAAACTCAACCGCAGTACTTCAAGTGACTACACACTACACACACACACGGCACGACAACAACGTGCCTGTGTCACGAAGCCACGTGACACAGCTACAGCGATACAATACATTCACGATAATGCACTACGGCTATGTGCTACAACGAAAAGTGTGTAACAACAGCACATTACACACCTACAAAATAGCCACACTTACACTAAAACACCGCTCGACATTTCAGTCGAACACCACTGGCAAATGTGTCAAAACTGCAACCGCATACCGACGCTCCGGCCACATACTGCACCAGAGACGGAGCCAAACAATACAATACACTATTAGCCATACACGACAACCACTCGGTGTTCACACCATAGTAATTCTCTACAGCAACACCGTAACACCATTGCTGCCGCCAAAACAATAAATCCACACGCGACACTACAGCCATACACTGCATTACAGAAACATTTAAAACTACAGGCACACAATAATCGAACTATACACTGTGCACAGGATCCGTATGTTTAGCCACACTACACGTGCGTCACTACACCGCACCTACTGCATGCACTACAGCCGCACTACGCATACACATTACAGACAAAATACTGCCTTACACTACTCAATGGAAACACACTGAACTACAACCACACCTGTGTATGCACTATTATATACACGGCACTGCATGCACACTATATATGTACACTACGTTTAAATGCAACTCTACCCTACAGCCACACTGTATACCTACGCACCATCCACTGCAGCCAGATTACACACAGTCTCACACGACACCCATACACTGCAGACACTCTACACCCATAGACCACAATAAAGCCCCACTCTGCACTACAGCCGCACACCACGCTACACCAGTACACTAAACTACAGACCCACACCACGCTAGTACATTGCACTACACCAGTACACTACAGCTGCACACTACGCTGCACTAAAAGCCTCCCTAAAAAAACTACACACATACTACAGCCATGGACAACACACACGTCATACACTGCACTACTGCACGAAAGCCACCCGACACACTACAGCCCAACACTGCACTTCAGACCCATAGTCCCACTAACACCCACACACATGACAGATTCCCTACACGCCACACTACAACCACCCTACACTCTGCACAACAGCCTCACACACTACACAAAACAGCCACACACTGCAGGCCCACACTTGCAGCTACCCTGCACTGCACACACACACTTCAACGCCACTGCACATCCCACTTCATATCCACTGAACTACAGCCCCACCACACTGCACAACATCCTTACACACCACACTACGACCACCCTGCACACACTGCAGATACCCTGCACTGCAGAACAGCCTCACACTGCACACACTTCGGCTCTACTGCACCACAGCACCACACTTCAGACTCGCACCATACTACAGCTCCACCGCACTACAACATCACACTACAGCCACACCAACACTGCACAACAGCCTCACACTACACCTGCACCGCACTACCTCACACACTCCTGCCCCAGCAACACTGCACCACAGCACAGCCCTCACACACAACACCACAGCTCCACCGCACTACAACCTCACACACTACAGTCCCACACACTACAGCCTCACACACTACAGCCTCACACACTACAGCCCCACCAACACTGTACCACAGCACAGCCCTCACACACAACACCACAGCTCCACCGCACTACAACCTCACACACTACAGCCTCACACAAGACAGCCTCACACACTACAACCTCACATACTACAACCTCACACACTACAGCCACCAACACTGCATCACAGCACAGCCCTCACACACAACACCACAGCTCCACCGCACTACAACCTCA